CAGAGTCTCCCTCCTCCACAGAGCTGATGATCAAACGATAATCTGTCTGTGACTGATGAGTGGAGGTGAATTTAGGAGAGGAGAAACCAGAGCCATAAAATGGCTTGCTCCAAGTGTGACGCAACCTCACAATATGCTGAGGAACTCCTCCAGGAATCTGTTTGTACCAAAAAGCAGCACTATCAGTCACAGTCCCCAGGTTACAGTCCATGTTGGCTGTCTCTCCTCTCCTCACAGTCACAACAGGAGGCTTCTGTGTCACCACGGTAACAGCACTTACACCTGGAAACAACAAGATGACATGGAGTCAAGAGAAACACACAGACTGATGAATCCAACATGAGCTGAAAGCTGCAGGAAGTCAGCCTCCTTACATGTTAGAGCAGTGATGAGAGTGCAGAGGCTCCCCAGCATGTTGTCAGTGTGTGCTGTAAACGTCCTTACTGTCCAGCTGAGAGGTGAGCAGGGTTGGAGTGTGAGGAGGAGGAGAAAGACTGAAGCGTATAAAGACCCTGAGGAGGAGGAGGAGGAGGAGGAGGAGGAGGAGTTTCAACACTCACTGCCCAAACCATCTTCTTAAAACCTTCATCAATCTTAGTTTTGATCACATTCTTGATAAAAACAACATCTTCAATTCATCTCAAGCAGCATGACACAATGAAGTACCTGAAATGAAAACTAGACTCTTGTTCTTTGTATATGAATGATAAACACCATGTGAACAAACCCATCATATCAAACCCAGGTCCTGTCAGTCTACACTCAGGGACAAGCGCCCATGGGTGTGTCAGTCTGGATTCAGAGAGGTGGTCAGGCACAAAGTGACATGAGGACACAGAAACACAGAGAGTTTACAACAAAGTGTCTGTGTTTTCCTGATGAAGTGAATTTCAGGTTATTTGATTTGATCTTATTGATTTTGGACAGACTGATTGGGGACATAAGGGACGTAACTGAACCTCTTTGGGCCCTGAGCTTCTTTGAGCACCAGGATTGTGCGCCTCTTATCTATCAACATGTGGTCGGACAGGCCCTGATTCACTTTGCTCCGTGTGCTTTAGATCATGTGATCAGCCAACAATGAGGGTGAGCTGAGGTGCTGTTGGAAAGATGTGACAGGTGATGAGAACAGCTGGAGACTTGAGGAAATAAGAGTGAGCATGTGTGGAGGAGTGACTGCTGCACAGTGAGTGAAGAGAAATGAAGACTGGATCAGCATGCAGAGCTGGAGCTCCCTTTTTCTTCAGCTCCACCATTTTTAGGATTGATTGAAGAGAATAATCGATCACTCCAGGAACGATCTGAGTGAATAATTATTTGATCAAGAAGATTAAAAATTGTATTTATGTTTTATGGACTGTTATGGAGGCCTCTGGTCTCAGACATTAGAATAAATTCATCATATTGTCACGATAAAAACACAAATATTTACCTCCTTCAGTGGTTTAAAAGTTTCTTCTAACTTTCTACAAACACATTTAGCAAAGTGAAGACTAATTTATATTCAACTTTAATGGGAAATTTCTAATTCTGTGACACTACAGTAGGATGATAATGTACGTTACAATAAGACAGAATATCCTCTTATGTTTCCTCGACTGTAAATGAAGAGTCCTCTTGATATCTAATGTGCTTCAAGAGGAGAAGAATTCATCTCTACAGTGATGATTTTAGATCACTCTGTTTGTTCAAGGACAAGTAAGTGAGTGAGAGCATTAGTAGATATGTCAGAGACTCAAAAAGCAGAAGTGAGAGTGAGGAGGTTTTTGTCATGGTGTAAATCACTGTGATACCTCCTCTTTAGCAGAGTCGTCCCATGTGCTACAGTAATAAACTGCAGAGTCTCCCTCCTCCACAGAGCTGATGATCAAACGATAATCTGTCTGTGACTGATGAGTGGAGGTGAATTTAGGAGAGGAGAAACCAGAGCCATATCTTGGAGAGCTCCAGCCGTGATACATCCTCACAACATGCTGAGGAACTCCTCCAGGAATCTGTTTGTACCAGCGGGCAGAAGCATCAGTCACAGTCCCCAGGTTACAGTCCATGTTGGCTGTCTCTCCTCTCCTCACAGTCACAACAGGAGGCTTCTGTGTCACCACAATAACAGCACTCACACCTGGAAACAACAAGATGACATGGAGTCAAGAGAAACACACAGACTGATGAATCCAACATGAGCTGAAAGCTGCAGGAAGTCAGCCTCCTTACATGTTAGAGCAGTGATGAGAGTGCAGAGGCTCCCCAGCATGTTGTCAGTGTGTGCTGTAAACGTCCCTTACTGTCCAGCTGAGAGGTGAGCAGGGTTGGAGTGTGAGGAGGAGGAGAGAGACTGAAGCTTATAAAGACCCTGAGGAGGAGGAGGAGGAGGAGGAGGAGGAGTTTGAACTCTAAGCTTTGACAACATTCACTTTTCAGTTGATTTTTCGATTTTTAACCTCACGTTGGTCCATGCTGAAGAATTTTCTTATCATTAAAAATATGCCCGTCTACATTTTGCTTTAAGAGTTTTCTGATGTGTTTTAAGGTTAAAAACTAAAAGAAAACTCAACATATAAATAAAAGAAATAGGGTTTGATATCTGCTGCTGCTGAAGGCCAGTAAAAAAAAAGATGAACAGCTGAGTGACCTGCTGTTCTGGTTATAAAACAGACAGTCTGTTGAATTTTGGATCATCTGCAGAGGTTCGACTGTGCTCACAGGGAGTAGTCAGTAGTCAGTGTGTGATATTACAAGAGCATGACACCCAGATTCAGGGACTCTAGTGGGCACAGGTTCATTTGATCCAAGCTGGATACTGATCTGTGGTTGTATGGAGGGACTGGTTGGAGTAACAAGTAGCTGAGTTTTGGACAGGTTGAGTCATTGAGAAATATCACTGAGGCATGAGGACATTCAGGCTGAGACAGTTGTGTCATCTGGAGGGAATGAAGGGAAGAGCTGGGTATCATCTGCATAGCAGTGACATGAGGATCAGGGAGATCTCTACAGATACAACATGTTAGACAGAAAAATGACTTGATGTCAAATAATCTGATGTGTTCATCATTAATCTCTAAATCTAGATCATCTGTAAAGTCAACACAACTTCTTTAATAATCACTGTTCAGCTGTGGTGGAAGAGCGGACATTTTTGTTTGATATTATAAACTAAGTTTTGTTTGAATGGTCGACATGAAACTGTGAACATGTTGTTTTTATCTTTGTGTGTGAAAAGAAAAAATCCTGATATTCAAGCTCCTCTATAAAAAGATCTGTGGACTCTGATAAAAAGGTTCAAAACTGTCAAATAACAGTTTGAAGTTTCAGGAAAGAGTCGCTGTTGATTTGAAACCACCATCACTGTGCAGCAGCTGCTCAAAAAGCAGAAGTGTCAGTGAGGAGGTTTTTGTCATGGTGTAAATCACTGTGATACGAACTCTTCAGCAGAGTCATCCCATGTGTTACAGTAATAAACAGCAGAGTCTCCTGCCTCTACTCTCTTTATGATGAACTGATAATCTATGTCTGATGTGGATTTAGAGTTGAATCTGTCTGAGGAGAATCCTGATCCAAAGTTGAGATCACCATCCTGATGGTCATAGTTTAGCACAAACTGAGGAGCTTCACCAGGATTCTGTTTGTACCAGCTGACATACACATTATCATATCTCTGAATGTTACATCTGAGAACAGCCTCTTGTCCTGGAGAAACTGTGAGGACAGCAGGAGTCTGGGTCAGAACGATCACTGCATCAACATCTGTAAAAAAACACAGAGAAAAAGACAAGAGTCAAAGGTGTGTGTGTGAAATGATGGTGTGGTAAAGGACTGAGAAGAATCTCTTACATGTTAGAGCAGTGATGAGAGTGCAGAGGCTCCCCAGCATGTTGTCAGTGTGTGCTGTAAACGTCCCTTACTGTCCAGCTGAGAGGTGAGCAGGGTTGGAGTGTGAGGAGGAGGAGAGAGACTGAAGCTTATAAAGACCCTGAGGAGGAGGAGGAGTTTTGACTCTCAGCTCTGAATTCATTCATAAATTCATTTTATCATTATTGTTGAAACACTTTTCAAGAACTTCTCTTTTAACTCTTTTCCTGTTTTTTTTTTCATGTTTTCATTTCACTTTATTATTTATTTTTATTATTTTTATTTCTTATTTTTTTGTTTCTTTTACAGATTTAACTAAGGTATTCTCTTACAATTATAGTCCTGTTTACCTGTCGTATTCTTCCTTGAATTAACTTTATTTACACTTCTTTTCTTCTTTATACACTAAATTGTTTTTTTCTGACTTTATTTTTTCAACATGCTCTTTATTGTGTTCATACTTTGAAGGTCAATCAGACTTCTCTCTGCTGATAATAAGTCGAGTTCACTGAAATCATAAACTGTAAATGCTTCTTGCTTCCTCGCCATCTGTAGATCTCTGTCACTTTCAGGAGATTTTTCTGCAGGTTCGAGAAAATGAAAAAGTTCTCAAGTTTCAGTGTTTTAATGTTTTATGCTGTCATGTATATTTTTCCAAATCAGCAGGAATGATTTTCTTCCTCTCATATTCATCATCAGTGGGTCACTGTTTCTCTCTGTCCTGCTCCACTGGTTGGTATGTTGTTGTGTTAAAATGTCCCTTTAAAATCCTGCACATATGACCTCTATGAGAAGTTGGTCCTATCAGATGTAGTCCTGATGGTCTAGTGGATCTAAACTTTAGCACCAAGGAAGACAAGAATTGAAATTAACGGCTAAATAAAATATCAGAAGTACAGCAGTGACTGAGAACCTGAATTCAAAAGGGTTTTTGGATTTCTGAGACCAAGCCTTCCTTTGAGAGACAGCCTCTCAATTTCTGTGTCTCTCTTTATCTCAGCGACAATGAAACTGAAAAACATGATCAATTCTTCTGGTGTCAATTATTTCCTCTTTAAGAAGATAAACTGAGACAGGTTTTCTAAATGGTTTCTTCTACTTTGTTACAGAAAAAAGCAGAAGTGAGAGTAAGGAGGTTTTTGTCATGGTGTAAATCACTGTGATACGAGCTCTTTAGCAGAGAGGTCCAATGTTTTACAGTAATAAACTGCAGAGTCTCCCTCCTCCACAGAGCTGATGATCAAACGATAATCTGTCTGTGACTGATGAGTGGAGGTGAATTTAGGAGAGGAGAAACCAGAGCCATAATGTGGAGCACTCCAACCATGATACATCCCCACAACATACTGAGGAACTCTTCCAGGAATCTGTTTGTACCAGTGGGCAGCAATATTTGTCACAGTCCCCAGGTTACAGTCCATGTTGGCTGTCTCTCCTCTCCTCACAGCTACAGTAGGAGGCTTCTGTGTCACCACGGTAACAGCACTCACACCTGGAAACAACAAGATGACATGGAGTCAAGAGAAACACACAGACTGATGAATCCAACATGAGCTGAAAGCTGCAGGAAGTCAGCCTCCTTACATGTTAGAGCAGTGATGAGAGTGCAGAGGCTCCCCAGCATGTTGTCAGTGTGTGCTGTAAACGTCCCTTACAACTTGGAAAGTGAGCTGACTGCTGACAGATCTGAGGATGAGGAGAGGAGGTGCTGGAGGAGCAATTTAATACAACACTGTGACTGAGGAGGAGGAGCTTTCATTAAATCTGCTGAGTTTAACATATTTTTCCCTTTTGAGAATGAAAAAAGACATGTTAGGTTTTGTTTAAGTTCTGGTAGATGGGGAATAATGACGTACATAAACACAACTATCACAGGATAAGTTAATGGTAAAATGAAACACTTAATTTATGATATGATATATTAACTGTGGCTTTCACATGTGCATGCACAGCTATGCAAACAAACTATGGAAATCATATTAATTTAAGCATCAGCGCTCAAGTTCAGCAAACACAGAGAGCTGATACTAAACCTCTTCATTTACATGAACCTAAAGAAAGACATGAAGCTTACAGATGTATCCTGTAGATGACAGGGGACTTCTGGAAGATGAAATCTCACTTCTGCTGAAACCAAGACTTGCTTTCGTGTGCCATGGTGTAGATGTGGTTTCAGAAAATACCCCAATAACATGCGGGCTGTCGTTTTCAAATGTTATCCAGTGCTGCTCTCTAGTGTATATCAGACAGAATGACAACACAATATGTGCTGATGGAATTATCATCAGATTTGTGCTGGTAAACCACACAAAGACAAATGAATGAAGGTTTAATTCATTGTATGAAATTTTTGCAAAACATGTATTGAATATAACTGCAGATAAACTCTAGGAGCAAAAGTTTGCATACAAAAATATCAGAATATACCTTTTTAAATACTTGCATATGTTGCACAGTTCACTGCAAAACAACCTATTTAAAGGCATTCTACTTTAGAGCAGCAGTGTCTCCTGTTTCCTACAATAATCCTGTATTACTGCCACCAACCAGCAGAGGGCCCACAGCAAACATCATCATGTTCAAGAGCGAGAGAAGAGAGGACAAAGACAGGATGAGAGATGTAAACTTTTTCTGAAGACTAGCAGCCTCTGACATCTACAGACCTCCAGGGCGTTTGCATAGAAATAATCTGAGTCGCAAATCTGAGGCACAGCCCCAAAATTTCAACCTGGGATTGGTCATTTGGTTCGTCAGAGACAGGACTTCTGTTGATGTCAACTTTTGACTGTGTTTGGACAAGCAGATAAAGGCTTTCTTTGCATTTCAGAGTGACATTTTGTTTTGATTGTGTTTTCGAAGTACAGTGTGTAAAAATATCTCTGTCAGGTTCTGAACTGAAATTACCCTTGCCAAGAGAAATCTATTTTTAAGTGTGTGAGTATACCTTGAAGGTCAATTAGGCCTACAATATCATGCCCATCCAAAGGAGAGGAGAGACAGTTGTAGTAGAGGTAGAGTGTTCGAAAAATTATTTAGTCATTAAATTATTTAGTGATATCTAGTGGAAGGTTCTAGATAAAAATGATGTCTTCCTTTTAGCCTTTGAGAACACAACACAAAACATGACAATATCAGAGCCACATTCTCACCTGTCCACTAGTCCTCCTCTACTTCACATGACCATTGGTACAGTTACCATACAGAAGAAGCTTGTGGTACTTCCTGACTCTAATGATGACCGGAGCCTCATACAGGCAACCAGTTGTCTAACCGCACTTCTTGAGGACTGCCCGGTTCGCTGCTTTGCCCTTCTCCACCACAGTAAACTGTATGTCAATGCTTTTTTGGAAATAGCCATGGACTGTATATACTTTGGACAACTTGGCTCTGACTTTCCTCATTATATGAATTTGAAGTCAAAATGCTTTCGTACGCCCAAAGGCCTCATCAAGTATCAATCATAGAAAACATAAACCCTATATAACTTTAAAAAATACGAGCTTTACAGAAAAAAAGAGGACTTCAGCCCAAACCAATAACTACTTGTCATCATTGCAACCAGGGGGGAGAAAACATTTAATTCTGTGTAACTGACTTCTTAAGTTTGTCCACACCTGTCTGAAAGAGGCAGGGTTTATGACCTATACTTCAGCCTGTCACCAGGGGGTGCTGTTCTCACAGAGGTTTCACCCAGGAGGCAGATGATGATGTCCGTTCTATATACAGTCTATGGTGGCATCCTTTTGGCAGCCATCTCTACTTGATGATACAGTAAGATAAGATTTACACTGCAGACATATTGGTTGTAAATATCAGCAAAAATATTCATATCTGCCAATAGTGATATTTCTTGAATATTAAAGCTTCTGTCTGTCAACACCACTGTCATGCTGATAATATTGTGCATACCTAGTTTTCTGTCTTGTTACTACTTAGTAAAAAGAATTCACTTGCAGGGATGGAGATTGAAACCTGGAGGTATAAAAACCTGTTTATGTATTTTTCAAAACCAGGGAATCAATTATATTTTAGCTTATCAATGCAAAGTGTCTCAGTTTCTCTGTACAGTGTAGATAAAGTGTACATTTCTCACAAGATTTGACTTAATTTTGAATGTAAATGTCCATGACAAAGAAACCGAATGATGGTATATGTAAGACAAAATGATAGATTATGTAACAGTGTGTGGTAGTCTGTGTGTGAGAGTTTGATAGTGTATGTAAGTGACTATGATAGTGAATGTGAGTGACAATGGGGGGACTTTGTTATATTGGAGGAAACCGGAGCACCGGGTGTAAACTCCTTTTAACAAAAAAAGTTAAAGGGGAAAGCAAGCCCTGCTTTTTAAAACAATGTTTCTTCTGTAGGAGCTGTTTGCCTTGAGATGATTCATTAATCTAAGTCATATGAGTTGTACTTTGAGGCCAAATCTGAGATGATCGGGAAATATCTGGGTTTTCATCTCTGAACAAATCTGGGTGTTCATTTAAGAGATACTCTAAGAAATCCTCTGGGGACATAACTGTTTAGTCTCCTTAGGAAAAGGTAAGTCAACAAACAAGTCTGAGTCGTTCTCTGCGTTGCACTCTGCATTAAGATCAAAATCAGCAAAAGTTATTATCATTATTATTATTTTGTTACGTTTTGTTTCTTTAACCAAGAGCACTTGTAAACCTTGGAGGCCTGGTTTTGGCACTTTTGGGGGAAATATAAGTCAGTTTTTTTTGTCAAGTCTGTCTATCTATCTATCTATCTATCTATCTATCTATCTATCTATCTATCTATCTATCTAATGATAAATAATATAATATATTACACAAATGTTAAGTGTCACAATATAATTTAATTTACACACATATATACACATGTGCATCTCAATAAATTAGAATATCATCAAAAAGTTGATTAATTTCAATAATTCAATTAAAAGTGATCATAGGCTTATCACACCCAGACAGGTGTATTTCAAGTGTTATTTCTGTTCACAATGATGATTACAATTTCAAACTAATGAAAACTCAAATTTGAATATCTCAAAAAATTAAGTGTGGGTGAGTTTGTTTTTTTAATCTAGACTTTTTTTCATTTTACGGCTTTTATTTTGAAATCGGAAGTACTTTAAAGGCATGCTGTGGGTGTCTTTACACTGCTGCAAGATGTCGCTCATCCTGACTGAGTAGAAGCTGAAACCCAAATGCGCATCGCCTCCCGAGGTGTCTTTTTCAAATCCAGCAGCTGCTCTTCATGAAGGTAACATTTTAGCTCTAAATAACAAGCAACCGGAGGTGCACTCTGAAAACAACTCAAACGAGAGATGCCCAAATGTTTGAGACGGCCAAGACTCTGCAGTAAATAAAACTGATGTCAAAGACTGGTTCTCGTTTCGCTGGGTAACCGAGTAGGTACACCTAACCTGGCCTGACTAGCTGTCACGCTGAAGAGGCAACAAACAGATGTGCTGAAATGTCAACATCTGTCTCCAGGTCTGCTCGAGCTGAAGGAGGAGAAGGATTTTCGGGGCTCTCTCTGTGAAGAATAAAGGAATAAAATGCTGCGCATCACTGCTTCTAGTCCAGGTTACTTGAATCTTAAACGCACCTGAGCCGGGAATTTATCCTCGACCTTTTTTGGGGGGGAGGTGTTGAGGCTTTTCTACTGCTCTCTGCAACGCAACGAGGAGGATGGTCTTTGCCCTACATGTGATTGTCATGTCTTCGGCGTTTTTCAATCCCAGTTTTGCCTTCAGCTCCCACTTTGACACAGGTAAGGGTCACACTAAAGGATGGCTTGGATGAGATCATTTACTCATTTTCTGGAGGTTTCTCAAACACTGACACTGTGTACTGGTGCTATTTTAGTGACACATCATTTCCCCAGTCATTACACTATCACCATAGTCAGTGTCACATTCAGAAGAGGCTGGTATGGATTTTGTACATTAAGTCCTGGAACAGATTCTGCATGTGACCGACCACACTGTTTACAGAGGTGACCCGCTGATGGAGGTGTGTGGGTATACCGCCCGAAGGTGCCAATTCGGATGCAGCGTTTAATCATCTCTATTACAGGAACCCCTTTGGCGAAGGAAGGAGAACCCAGGTGCTGCTGCAGTGCTACGGGACCACCGAGCAGGAAGTGATGGCCGTGCTGCTGTGTGAGGGCTTGAAGTAGAGCAGAATAAATAACTGTGTGCAAGTGTAAACAGGACTGAGAGAGAGAGTCCCCTGCACTGGGCGCAGTGTGCTGAGCATACAAATGCCGGTGAGCCCTGTGGCTCTCAAGTTTCAGGCGCTATCTGTCCTTCCAAAACCGCACACTCTTGCTGTTTTTTTTTTTACCCTTCATGTCTGTTTGTTCCACCCTCTTTTACCTTCATATACCCTCTTATTCCTCTCATTTCCTCTCCATCATTCGCTAAAAGGGTCCTCCATTTAAAGCTGGATGGGTTATTTGTAAGATGCACGCCATCCCTGCGAATTTTTGAAGTTTCTATACCTCCAGTTGTGACAAAATTGTGCAGCACTGGTGGATGCAAAACACATTCATCCATAATATAAGCCTTGACAGATTTGCTCTACTACTCTGGCCTAAGATTTACGGCAAAGAGGAGTCAGTTAGAGACATAGATATTGGGAAAACCATGACAAAAGCAGTTTTCTGCACAGTATTTGTTGGGGGATGCTGAGCTGGCTAGACCTAGTTTTGTGCAGTGAAATATGAAACACAAAACTATCAGAAGAGTGTAATCTTTTAATTTGAAACCAGTTCAATGCTTCTTAGCTGAATAAGGGGAAAACGCCTGCTGACTGTGGCTCATCTTTGTCTTAGTGTTTTTCTTCCTGGAGGAAATTTAAATCGAGTGTGTTTGTGGAGCTCGTAGCAAGACTGAATAATGGGGCCTATTTTGCTAGCCCCCTTTCTACATTTTTCATCGATTTCCACGCAGCACCTGAATGGCAGACCTGTTATTTCCTTGTAATTGCAAGTGGGGATCAATGTTGTCTTGGTGATGAAGGTGGGTGTGTGAGGAGGAACCAATCATTTTCATGGCGGATGGGAAGGACAGAGAGATGCTAGAGCCCCTTAAAGGGGGAGGGACTCAGAGCATTTGTGTAGGTGAATATGCTGCATTTATAAAACACAAATATTTACACTCAGCGACTGAACGATAGCGCGCCTCAAGCTCTTTATAAGACAGTATAGTGTGCTCCAATTCTGCACACACCAGACAGAGGTAAATGGCTATTGGGCTTGGTCACTTGTCACATTGCATGATTATATAAGACGTCAACAGGGACCAACACACGGTAGAAGAATTTCTGATCTCCTGGCTAAATCAGCCCACACATGGGGCTTCGTTTGTGTGCATCCAGGGAAGAATCAACCTAATATGTGTGCCCTTCTGCGCATGGGACGACTGCAGCTCATACCTGGTTTACTACGACTGCTTCAGCACCATGGAGAGCTCTCCCATCAGGAGAGGGTGCAGATACTGTTTGTGTGTTTGTGTTTGTGTTTGTGATGGATAAAAACCCTAACTGCACCCAGAATTAATATGCATCATTTGACAGTCAGGGCACACAGAAAACAGGCCGACCTGGAGGGCGACACTGATACACCAACAAGCTGACAATGCAGCACCATGGCGGGACTGTCTTTTAAGCAGTGTCCTCTAATTCCTGGAGATGGCGGTAGCAGCTAGTGTGCATGTCATGGGCCACATCTACATGCAACACACACTCACACACACACACACACTTTGGCATGATGCATAATGCACGTTCTGCATGCAGGAAAGCATACACGTGCCTTCTCTTACACATGTGCGCACCGCTGCATGCTGTAATCACAGTGCTGCTGATACCACAGAGAGGGAGAGACGTTAGCAGAGATGTCTTGACTTGCACTCAAAGCTCCTCCCACTGACTCGGTCAGTGCAAACCAGCCACCACTGACTCTTTGATTATTTATCTCTCCATGTGTAACACTGAGCACTTTAGTTACATAACTCTGCCTCAAGGGGAACTAGAATAAGAATGAAGTGGACTCAAGCAGCTAAGGGGAGCCATCTATGTCTCCTCTATGTGCACTCAGTGTGATGATGGGGGGATGTGGGTTTTTCTCAGTGTCTCTTGCTTTGAAGGCTTATGTGTGCGGAATTAAAATTGAGGACTAAGTTTTCCCCCTATGTGGTAATCAACTTGTTAGAAAGTATAATTTCTTTTCATGGGATTTTAATGGTAGAGCACCCTCTGAGAGACACCTGGCATGATGGTTGATGGAAATAGAGAAGTACGCTGAGTTATAAAGCAAAGTCGAGGTTATGTGAGCTGAATTTAGAGGCTTTTCATAAGGAAAATAAAAAAAATTCAACAATATTAGCTGACACCAAACTGCTAAAATTACTGCTGTTATTTTCTTTACATCATGTGGGAACTCTTGGGTTATTCCTAATAATCTCCAAACCCATCATCTATCATCATGTGATTAGAATAGATTGGCCTTTAAGAGCAGATACCAACTTCTTGGTGATACTGTCTGCACCGTAAAAACACTGTTATTTCATATGTCTTTGAGTAGTGCCTTTCTATGTGTTGGTGAATCTCAGTTCAACTGTAGATAGAAAATAATTTACACAGAGGCTTCACTCTTAACTTTCTTAAGTTATACGACACCAAGACTTCAGAGTCATGCATTTGCATGTTCTGGTACTTCATGTAAGCAGGAATAACAGCATCAACATACAGAGACTAATCTATAATACTTGTTTTCTTGATGGAAATTGGGCTGATTATTTCGGATGTTTTTCAGGGCAATAAATATACAAGACTTTGTGACAATATCAAGCAGATTTGTTGTTCAGGTTACAGTTATGAGCTGCACTTGCTGGCAGATATCTGTTCGTATGACAAAATACTTTGTCCTTAGCTGACAGCAGGTTTTTAGTCGGATATCCTCACCTGTCGTGGTTGGGTTCTGCCTACTTTTGCTCTCAACACCAGGGAAGATTTGGCCAATTATCATGGCTGATATTCAGCATTTGGCTGATTCTTATTGGCCTTTAATTTTACAAAATAGCTAGTTAAATGAATTAATTTTGGCTGCGCTGCCAGTGGGTCTTTCCCTCTGCGTGTTTTCTTGCACCAATCTATCTCACCCTACGGCCCTGTCCACAACACCACTTTCAGTCTAAAAGATCAACCGTTTACTCCTGTAGATTATATTTAATGTTCTGGTTTTGATTAACCGGTTCAAAATATGGGCTGAGAAAAGTGTGACAGGCTTTATGTCAGATTTAAGTGGCTGCATTAGGACGAGGAAACAGGCATTTTGGTATTTTTGTTTTCCCACAGACTTGCTCACACAGACACAGGAATGTCCACACAGATGTACGCACACTCAGCCATTGTCTGCATCATGAGACTCGGGCTGAAATGTCATCTGAGGTGCATATTTCTATGTCTGCATATGGTTAGCACATGCATTTCATTTGTGTTTAAAAGCTAGAGCACTGAGCACATGTGGGCTAATCGTGCCTCTCTGTAGTGTGTGTATGTGCAGAGCTGGGTTCTGCCAGGACGTTATAGAGCGATATTATAAACTCATCAAGTAAAAGTATGTGTTGATTAGTGTTTAGCTGTATGACTTAAAAGATATGTTGCAGGTAAAAATTCACAATTCGGGTAAACTGGGTTACGTCCTGATGCAACGAGTACCCATGAGTCCTAAGCCAAGTCTCTTCTACTACTCGACTAAAGAGGATAAACATATTTTTATTCCGCTCATTCACTCCTTCAGCTGCCTGTATGCCAGTGTGATAAACTGCGAACAGCTTTTGTTCCATTTGTGCAGCAGCGACAGCTACTCCGGTTCATTTTGTGCTGCATAATAATCACCTAATACAGCAGATTTCCTTCAAAAATTCAAGCAAACATCCCACACAGCAGAGGGCTATCGCTGCTAGAAAACATTGGAGCTTATACTAAATGCGATGTCTGGAATTGTAGCTATTTAAAGCGACGACTCGAACCTTTAGTGAAGAAAGCCCTGATCAAAGAGGATGTAAAATTAGCTTTAAATATAGAGTTTTTTAAACACAGACTCTTCTTCCTCGCAGGATGCCCTTGCAAGAGCTGTCAAGAGACGCACATGACAGGCCTGTAATGCTGATCCATGGTGGTCCTTCTGGGCTCTCACTCCCATCTAATGACAGTTATCATGGCTCTCTGCAGGCCAGCGCATCCCCCCTACAATCTGCAGTCATTCACTGAGAGCATGACTACAGAACGGCAGAGAGGATGTAAACCAGGGAAGGATACTGCACCCTGCCATTAATCATGGCATGCTGTTCACTTTGCTGTCAGCTGTTCCCGAGCAAAACATATCAGTGCACATGTGTAAGTGTGTATATGCGTGCATTTACAGAGTGCTTCCTCCACCGTGCACCTCTCTACGTCCAGCCTCTCCCTCCTACACCCTGATGCTCCTCCGTCTGCACATCTCTGCCATTTTATTCGCCCAAACAGCTCCTGCTTTATTTCTTTCCCTCTTTCTGTTCCGAATATCTTCCTTCTTCATGCAGCCTGAAGCCGAGAGTTCATGTCCGACCGTTTGGTCTCCCTAGAAGAAAGCTGATTTCCCCGTCAGTTCAGATCTAGCTCTAACCAGCCTGCATCCCTAGCTGAGGCTCACACTTGATTCACAGCTTTGTTGAAAAAACTGCGCCCGAGGGGGATGAGACCTCTGTGGGTGATGTAAATCCACCTTTGCATCAATCTAAAACATGTCTGTTGAATTTACATCCGGCCATGCGGTCTTTTTAGCCTCACTTGAACCACAGAGTGCAGACTTGACAAACTCTGTCTGAACTCCGATGCAGAACAAAACTTTTAGAGGTGCTCGGATTAGAAATACAAACAGCTTGAGCCAGCAATTGATCCGCAACGATTGTCTTTATGCCTTTTATTCAAACGTACACAAAAAGCAGTGTTCGCGTCAATATTCAGCTCAGCTTATATCCAGAAGAGCTGCTCTCTCAGTTACCTGAACTATAATTCTTATTCAGCCGCAGTAAGCTGACTGTTTTCATTGTTGCCCCGGTGTAAGCTGCACCTTTCATGCAGCAGCTCCCAGTCAAGTATCAGTGCAGCCCTGCAAGTTCGCGCTCAGCTCCACAGTGTATCCAAACTCTTTGAGTCTGAATGTCCTTTAAATCTTTCTCTAAAGGTCACATTTCTCCCCCGTCTCTATCTATCTCGTCTGTTGTGTCCTGAGCACGTCCCCGGCATTCCTCCTGTTTGGGTTGTGTGAGGTTTTTGTGCGTTAGAGTTAAAGTTGGAGGCTGCTCGGTGCAGCTCAGGCAGGGCAGGGCAGATGGAGGAGCTTTTATACCCCTGCAGCACTGTCCTGAATGTAAACACGGGTTCAGAGAGATGTTACACTCCTTCTGTGTGTGGCTGTTTCTTTTTTTCTCTCCGCATATTGACTCAGATTTTTACTCTGGAGGAGCTTAGAGGGGGAGTATATAAACAGCTAAGATCTTTAATAAATGCAGCGGCGAGCTTCCTGTGGTGTGTAGGGACACTAAGTGCTTATGAATGCCTACCTCTGGAGGCAATGTCCATTTATAGTAGGCCATACTGTATTTCACAACATACACAGCAGAGGAAGTTTTTCTCTGTATGTTAAGAAAATCGAACTCTAAACAAAAAAGTTAAGACCCTGAATAAAAATAGTTAAATTATTTAAAAAAAACAGAATTTAATGATTTGCAAATCATTGAACTGTAATTGAAAATGTTAAAACTGATTATCCTGATACGAATACAGCAACAGAGGTCATTTTCGGTCATGTTCAAGCTGATTGAACTCATAATGATACAGTATACCAGCGCATTAGGCCGCCTTAAGAAGCTTCCAGCAGAGGGCGCTCTCATTGTAACCTGGCCAATCAAAGCACTCTTGACCTCAGTGATCCTACCATAGACTGTGTAGAGAATGGACGCTGTCTGCCTCCTCGCTGGGTGAAGCCACTCCGAGAACAGCACCCTCTGTTGACGGGCTGCAGTATAGGTCAGAAATCCCGCCTCCTCCAGCAATCCCTATGGAGCTGTGGACAAACTTTAGAAATTAATTACACAGAATATAAATTTTCCACCCCTCTACTTGCGGTGTTGACATCTAGTTATCGTAAGACTGGTTTGTGTTCATGTTTTCTACGATTGACACTTGATACAGCCTATGGGCGTACGAAGACTGCGTAGCTCATCAGCTGTTTTAGCCGAGCGTTACCACAGCGACTCTTTCCTTTTAACGATACAAAATTAGCATTATTTCCAATCAAATATGGATTGAAATGATTTGATTTGTGGCCGCAGAGTACAGTGACATTATTCTCAAGTTACAAAAGAAAGGCTCAAATTGAACTGTTTGGGGAATATACTTGGGCTGCTATTAGCATACTTAGGCATTAGCCATTTAGGCCCCATCCTCACATGCACTGCCCTCCTGGAAATTTCTTGACATTGTGCAGGAGGGTTGAATACTAATGAAAATGATTCACACTGATTTTATGTAAAAAAAAAGTATGTAGAAAGTCAGTCTCAGGCAGTCTTATTGTGTGTTCTCTGCTAGGAGGAAGTGGGATAATGATGTTGTTTGCATTCAGCAAGAGCTTCACTGCCTTATACTCTAAAACTGTCAGGGGTTCATATGCGAAAGAGACTTATGTGTGGGTAAAACGGCATCTATCTACACCACTAAAACTTTCCACAGACATTTTGCAGTAAAGCCAATTCCATGCGGCTTCGCTCTTTTAAGTGCCATCTGGGCTCGTTTGTTCTTACTCAGACTGTGTTACCGTTCCAATATGGACTAAGTGTTCCCAATAATACTGAGCAATGTGTCAAACAAATGTTACATCATGGTATGTGCCGTCGATTGGGAGGGAAGGTTTGAAAAGCTCAGTCTGTGGTCACTAACCAAACCACGTTTAGATACTCCTCCCTTTACATGTGCTTGTTTGTGCTTGTATAAAGGTTGTCCCTGTGTTTACCCAATCTTGTGAACATTGATTGCGGTTGAAACAATATTTCTTTTCCCCTTTTCTTTGTTTTCCCCTCACTCTTTCTCAAGACGGTTTGATTGCAGTGGTGTGGAGTTTGGCTCGGTGCCCGCCCTGCAGCACTGTCATTACTCGGTCTCTCGGTCAAAAAAACAAGACAGGGTTGTTTTCGTGAGACTGTGTTTGCTTTTGGTGCACATAAAGGAACTATACCTCTAAGAAAGAGCGATTACAGTACCGTAGAGGAGGAACCTGGAATGTCACATTTGTTTTTCTGAATCATTCCCCTTTGTGGATTTCTAAAAGGGATTGTAGCTAATAGGAGAATATATTTTATCCTGCTGCTCTCAGTTTCCAGGGAAACTTATCTTCTGCAGTCAAATTTAACACCTTGACTGGGCTTACAGAGTGGGTGCATACTCTGTTCATGTGTGACCGCAAAACACATGGCCCGGCCTTGGCCTTGCCACAAGTGTGGGAGGCATTGTAGTGTGGCTCCCTCTGCTTCAGTAAATCCCCATTTCCTCTCCACAAATCTTTCTTGCCCCGTTTGTCCTCCCTCCTTCCCCAACACGTGTCCATTTAGAGCAGATTTTTGAATTCACGATGAGCTCTGTCCTGATGCCGCACAGAGTCAATAACCCGGCAGCTGTAGACCTGACGTTCAGCTGCTGTATCGGCACGCTACAGCTGCACAGCAACAGAAAGCCTGACTTCACTGGTGCATGCTTTATTTATTATCTACCATGAAGAAATTTGCAATGCATGAACACACACACACACACCTTTGAGATAAGCGTACTTTGGCTCAGCTGTATCCCCCGAGCGCATGTATTTCTCTTTTTGCATTTTTTAAAGAAATCTCAACAATGCCCGATTTGGACCAAAACCAGGTGCCTGTACCCCGTGGTCCTCGTATTTCACCAGAAGTGCAGGTCCACTTTGATAGAACGGCGTATATTTTTCTGATGTCTTTACCAGTTTTTTAAAGCCCTCATTACTTGCAGGGTTTTAGGGGCACATATCTTTGTCCAAATGGACTGGAATCGCTCCAATTACAGCACCATTATTTCATTTAGCAGACACTTTTATCCAAAGCAACGTGCACCTGAGGGTAATGACACAATTTTAAGGCAGTTTTTTCTTTTTCTTTTTCCTTGAAATGCATCTGAAAAAAACAGGAAAGTGTTTTAATTTAAGTTTAGTAATTAAATGTGGATTTGCATTACAAGAGATGGCGTCACTTATCTATGCAGCTAATGTACCCCCTTGTGAATGAGGCCAACTGTGACTCATCTCTATGGTGCCAGGAGGATAAAAGAGAAAGGGGAGTGAACAAAGTCACACAAAAGTCAACCTGGCCAGTCTGTGGGGTTGGTTTTCCTTCTCTAAGCTTCTGCTGTACGATCGGTGCTCATTATTTGACACTCCAGCTCCCTTAAAAGTAAAGCCAGCACCTTTTGATTGTCCCCTGAAGGTGTGGATGTTAGTTTACGAAGAGATTGAGACGATATTCAGCATGAATTTACAGTAAAACATCAAAATCACTAAAGGTCAAATTGTGATTCAATGTTTAGATTGTGTGGGCAGCCCTAAAGTAACTGTGCGGATACAGTTACAGGTGTAGGTACAAGTGCAGAGCAGATAGGCTCGCAAGATTCATGAATGAAACCAAGTTAGTGACCAAAGTTTGTTCAATATTCACTTAACATAGTCCACAAAGTCAAACAAAGATACTGTTATGCTCTTAAAAACGAGTAAAAATCTGCAGATATCGTACCAAACTCATGGCTCTGGATCTAGCACAATGACATCTAAGCACTTATTCCGGAGCAGGTGCTGTGACTGTGACTGTGACTGTGGAGGAAACCACAAATTCTTAGTTTCGGTCAAGGCAAACTGATCTGTACAGGTGTAAGGAGCCACATTTAATGAAGCAAAAACACAGCAACAACCTGTTTATTCATTCGTTTTCTAAAGGCCAACACTTCTCCACTCCCTCTGTCCCTGCGTCTTCCTCATTGTCAGCCTGAATTGCTGAGGGATCGGGGTGACTCCATCGCTCTCCTTACCCATCTGTCAGGTCATTGCTCATCTTCCTCCAGTCCTGAGGACAGCTTTTTAATAAAGTGGGTATGAGCCGGGCTTTAAGTGCTATATTTACATTTGGCTGTGCAGCTGGTGTAGTAATGTGTGCTTCTCAAATATTTATGGAAAGACCCAGGGCCGTCGCTCTCTCACAGATTCTTCAGAGAGAGAGAGAGAAAGGGAGGGGGGATGGATTTCTAAAGGTACTTTAATCCCTGATTTTCCTTGTTTTACTCTTTATGGTTAGAAACAAAGATTTAATAAATGTTGGTGCATCCGTTAGACTGGTGTTGCGATCATACATTTTATGACTGAAAGGGGGCCTAACGAGGATTTTTGGTCCCATAGCTATACATGTTTAAAAGTAGTTTAAGTTCCCGGGTAGATATTTGTTAGTGAAGGATGAAGAGAACTCGACAACTCATTTTGGATCGAGAGCAGGCTCAGGATGAAAAATGGTTCCAACTAGTTTGAGCAATTGACATAATATGCTTTCCTCCTAAAAGGTTCCCATACCAGTGCCTTTGACTTAGTTTCTATGTGCAAACAATGAAGTAACACATCCTACAACCTAGGAGTCGAGAGAGGAATCATGGCAGGGGTCAAAGCCGATGTCCGATACAACTTCAACTTGTACTGTCAAGAATATCAGCTCAGAAGAAACAGAGCAGTATCACACAACGGCTTATGTTAAAATCCACTCCTATCGTGAGACAGGTACTGACTGTCGGAGACTGTACTTTCAGAATCCATCACTCAAAATCAAGGTAATCTCATGACTACAGAAATGACACCATTTTTGTGAGATGGTGCCATTTCTGTTGTGAGCTAAACTGTTATTTTTGTTTGGGTTAGTTGACTAATCAGAGGCTGTATCTGTGATCACCTGACCTGTAAAGGTCCCGTCTATAAGCCAGGCTCCCCAATCTTAGCAGAGTACTAAATAATTAAACTCTCTCATGCAGAAAATCCATATAGGCCTACTTTTTCTACACAGGACTTGATTTAGAATTAGATTGACTCAATAATAGCAACAGTATCAATAAATCTTATCATTTCCCATCCTTTGTCATGACTTTACAAAGATGGCTGAAAATACACTTGGGCAGCCCGCCCAGATATTGTCTATGTGTGAAACGTTTAGAGGTGACACTTGTTTTTTGTTCTGTGCAGGTGTTGCCAAAAATATTCTCCCTTTTTAAGGATGACCCAGTTTAGAGTCAGTGTAGCAGAGCCTTTACAATTAAATCAGCTTGTTATTTGAAATAATGGCACTTTAAAGAGTGTAACTGTTTTTTTTCTTGAGAGTTTTTTTCACGGGTGATAAAATGATAACTGAACAACTCTTGGTTTAGCTATGAATGAAACACCACACCTCATATACATACAACAACATCATCAGCATAGCAGGAATACCACAAATAATATCTTACTTGCTCTCTATTTAAAAATCACTTCGATTAGCTTCCCAAATAGAGAGAGGAATTTGGGTCTTAGGCACTGTTTGCAAACACTGTCAACAGACTAATGGGTCCCTCTTGCTGCTCTTCAGGAAACACACCCATCTGCTTCCCCCTGACTTACTAAACAAACTCACGTTCGCTTGCCAATTTCCAAAACCATTCCATTATGTGTGAAAGAGGAAAAAGTTGGTCCACTTTTTCATGCCTGTGTTCACCATCTGCTTCATCAGAGGCTGTGCAGGCTTGGCAGTTGGCAGGTACCTTAGCCTCAGGCTGGGTAACATTTCAGGGTGGACAGCTTAGCAGGATGAATGAGGTTACTGATGGGAATGTGACCAACTGAGGGGGGCAGTGGAAAACTTTGTGCACTTTTAACCCCGGGGTAAAAAGTTGGAAATTAATGCAAATTGCAATTGTTTCTGTGGCTTAATTCAACCATTGATTATTTGGATCTGTCAGTCAGGGTTGAACTCGTGTGCATGTTTACATTAAACTCCTGGTTGATGATCTGAGAAACAGTTGCAAAAAACTGAGCCATTGAGGCAGATTTGAAAAAAGCGTCCCACCCCCCACACACAAAACTCTCCCCTCTGTGCTCCACGTTAACTCCCCCCCGAACCTGTATCGCCCTCCCCACATCACACCCCCTCTGGCAAAGCAAGAAGCCGGCCGGCAGAAGATCCTACGCTAGCTTCAAATAGGATTCACCATGTCGAATTGCGAGTGACTAGCGGCAGTAAACGCCAGGGGCCTCATGTATCAACGCTTGCGGCGCAAGAAAACCTTGCGTACGCCAAAATCGGCGCACACGTCCAGATTTATCATCGCGAAACGAGCGTCGGTTCCAGCGCTAATCAACGCAAAGTCAGGAGGTGGTGTAGAAATTGGCGTTGAGCTGGATATTTGCGTTGACTGTGATTCGCACTTTGGCGACGCTGTGTGGCGGTGTTTGGTGACTCACTATGTGACAAGCGTGCACCACATCCCCGTGGCCGGGCAGCACGTCGCCCCACATGACGAACCAGCAGCAGACGGAGGGATGCGAGCTGATCCCTGCCGGGCCGCCGTCCTCGCGCGGGAGAATCTCATCGCCACAGTGTGAATGGGTAAGAAATGAATACACAGTTCAATGAGCCAAATTAATTTATTTTCTCCACCAGACGCTCGAGGAAATTTACGAGCCGGTCCAGCCGCTCGTTGATCCCCGCGATCCCCCTGATGATTTCTTCCTGCGATTGCAGGACCCCCTCCGCGAGGACCCTTCCACTGCGTCCGGGTGGTCCAGCGGAAGCGCCGCGGCTGGTGGACGCTCCACCGCTTGTCGGCGCGCTGGTGCTGATGCTGGTGCTGGTGCTGGGGCCGGGGGCCGGGGTGGCCCGAATGCCGCTGGTCCTGGCCGATGACTCCGAGCCGGCGGACGGGCTGCCGCGGGCCAGGGTTCCGCAAGCCGGCGACACGGCCGACACATTGATTTCTGTGACACAATAAAAATATTAGTTCATTTCAATTCCTGCTTCTGTGTATCTGTTGCGTTTACATCTCTCTCCACGGTATCATAGGTAATGTAATCCAGTATTTCGAGGTCAGTTATGCACATTACAGTTGTTTATTGCATAAAAAGTTATCGAAAAATGAAGTTAAGGGCGAAGTATAAATCACGTCTAAAAATAGACTGAATCCCGACGTTGAAATGAAGTATAAACTTAGACTAGACGTCTAATATACGTCTTTTGCTCAGTGGGATGACAAAGCATGTGGACATTTGTGTGACACGCCACTTACCCTATAATAATAATCGCCACCACCCGCTGCTCAAACGGTGTGAGGGTCTCCTCCCCCGGACCCCCACCTGTCTGGTCGGTACTCCTCCGGAGGGCAGCTGTACGCCGCTTGACCTCCACCTTGAGGTCCGACCACTTTTTTTTAATCTCCGCGGGGGTGCGTGTCTCGGAACCCACCGCATTCACCCTCTCGCAAAATTTCTCCCACTCCAAGCGTTTTTGTTTTGCACTGACGCCACTGGACAGGCTGCCAAACAAAACACACTATCGCTCCTCCACCTCCGCCACAAGCACCTCCACCTCGCACGCCGTAAATTTAGTTTTTCTTGTCATTTTGTCTGCGTGCGAGGACAGGGAGACCCTATTTAAATAAATCTGCATATTTATAGGAGGGCGTAACGGGGACGGGCCCAGTCACTCTGACATCTGCGCTCAATTCCACGCTGATTGGGATTTATCAAGGAAACACACGTGGATTTCGGCGCCCGCACACATTGATACATACGGATCAGCGTGACGGACCTTGCGTGCGCTCGTTTCTGGTATGAGTTCCACGCAAGTGTTGATACATGAGGCCCCAGCTCTGCTAGCGAGCAGCGTCTGCAGCTGCCTGGACAGCTACCGTGTTGACATTGCAGAGACTAATAAGAGTTATTTATGTAACATGTGTCACCATAAAAGGCAAAAACTACCTGTTCAACAAAAACTCTGCTGCGTTTCCTCTTTTTGCTGCCCTTTCTTCTGTCCATTTGCATTTTCTTCCCACTTTTGGCAGTGGGGCAAGCAGAAGTCTGTTTTTGTGTCCTTCTCCATCACAGCTCCTGTAGCTAAGCTGCTACGCTACTTTTAGCCGCTTAGAGCTCAAAGGAGGGCCGGAAGAGTGGGAGGGGACGAGACGAAACTACCGGAGAGGCGTGTGTCGAATACTGCGAGGTGATTGGATGGAGAGGCGGAGCAGGAGATTGACCAATAAGAGCTGTCTGGGACGGATGGCTCCTATTGGTCAATGTTTTTGCAGCCGTGTTCCTGCGGGGGTGAACGGAAAATCTTCACTTTGTGGAGAGCGTACTATAGGACCATAATCGCCATATCAACGAGGTTCATAATAATTACTCATCTCTCCAGTCGTCAACCATGCCTTTAAATAGTCATGAGACACGCATATTAAGTGTTGCTTAACAAAGCCATCGGTCTCTCTATGGGGCTGCAGTTGTAAGTGGTTACAACTACATTATTCAGGTATGATAGTTTAACTTCAAGAGATTTAATCCAGTCTAAGTCTAATTCTAAATATGTTGTTGACATATATTTTTTTAGGTCTAGTTTTAGTCAAACAAAACTATATTTCAAAATGATGTAAAGGTTCTGAGTCTGGGAGACTAAAGAAGTCATTCCAACCATGCTGAAATGGGTTTCCTATGGCATATCCAGACATCTCCTAGTTAACATCTGAGAAGCTGCGGTCTTTTCGCACTTCTGCATTGGCTTTATTTTCCAGCTCTTTAGGCTTCTGCTTGCTTTGCACATCATGACAGCTGATTTACTACCCTCCTCCAGAACACGGGTATGTGTGTATTTCTGTTTTATGTATCGTGTGAATCAGCCTCTGATTCAGCATGTGGTATAAATGTTTCAGGCACGAGTGTTCATCCCCCTGTTGTCCCCTTACACATCTGCAAGTGTCACTGTAATATCCTCGAATAAAGAATTGCTTTCAGACTTCCACTGAGTAAACAAGCTCCTAATCTGTTAGTTGGTAATTTGGCTTTAAGGCGATAAATGGTTGCACGAGTTTACATTAATTTTCATGTTTTAAGGGGATGCTAAAGAGGCCGGGGGAAGCTGCGAATGTGCAGACTCGAAGGGAGGCGTCATCCCTGTTTGTATTTCTTCACAATGTGTCCTATCACCACTCACTCAAGCTGTCTGTTGTGGTATGTGGTGGCTTCAGACTGGGCACTGCTTGGTTCAGCTTGTTAATCTCCTTCTTTTCCACTTCACGGACACTTTCACATGCAATCAAACACACACACACACACACACGTCTTCAAGCTTTTTTCCGCATAATGCAGGGGGACAGATGGGAGAGAGTGCCGGTGTTTGAGGAATCAGCAAAAATCTGTTTCTTCCAAGTGGGGAAATAAAGAGGGGGCACGAGGTTTACCGCGCAGTAAATGCCAATCAACTAATAAGTGCAGGCCAGCAAGGTTGTTACCATGGCGATGTGTTGGCAGGTCAGCACCCACACACTCGCTGTAGTTCTTTTGACCATGCGGGCTTTGAGCATGGACCTGTATGCACAGCCCCTGTCTGTTTTCATTTTCTGCCCCGGTGTGAGTGTAAGCTTTGTGGCCGTGACCTCGGGGTCAAGCTTTGGTTTGGAGCTGTGCTGTTTGGGCCGCAGGAGCTGTCAGGTTTGGAACAGTATGTTCCCCACAGCCAAATGGGTCAGGACCGCCGGGTCTCGGTCACTGAGGTGGAAAAATACTCACTCACACACACACGAGCTCTACAAACCGAATCTCAGCATCGACCCAATAAGAATGGAGGGAAATGCTTGTTTTGAAGGGGAGACAAACAAAGGAACCTTGCGGTGAGGATATGTCGCCTACTTTATTCTTTAAGATCGACAGATTTACAGTCTAAGTAGAGGAAAGCAGAGTGTTAAGAAATGGTGAAGAAGAGGGTAACTGCATGCGTGTCACATGGTCATTTCAGAAGCACACATGTTGGTGCTGCGTAATGGACTCTGCCACCAGATTGGTGTGGTCAGCTTGTTAAGTTCAGCTTCGGGTTTTGGTGTTTATTTAAAGCTGGAAAAGTACAACTGCGGTCGAAAATATCCTTCGCATGAATACATGTTTTGACAGAAACTGGACAGTGAGAGCTCAAAACAGAGATGCGTGTTTATGGTTCCTTATGCAAACTCTGGGAGCAGTAGACAAAGGGATTCGCTGACGAAAGGAGAAGCTCTAAACTGTGCGAGGTTTTCAGAGCCGCCATTAAGATGCAAACAATTCATGTGATATTCTCAATTTGTATCCTGTAAAATCAGATGTTTGATCTGATTCTGGCTCTGTAGGGACCTGTACAGCTGCGAGGAACTTGATCTACAAATTTAATATATTTCTGCCTCTCTCCGTTGTATTTACCATTTTCATTTGCTGAATCTACATAACAAATGCAATGCACTTTAAAGTAGCATGCAGGCAGGGGCGTGTCCAGACTTTTTAACTGGGGGGGGCAAACTTGAGATGACTTTTGTAGGATTGGTATCGCAAGTATGTGTTCATACACGCTCAAAATAATGGCTCGAACTTCCATATTATGTCTCACCTAGTCAAATTGAGTGCACGTCACTTATTTACAGGAATTGTTTTATTTTTTTATGAGAAACTCAAAACTCGAAATATCACTCTGCCTTTCGCAGTCAACCAAGCAAACAGGTGGTGGCTCCTCTAACATGATTCCCTCCTCTGAATGGGAAAAAGTCATTTTTAGTTAAGAAGTTTGGGCCATTTAGGGTGGCTGGTCAAACTGCAAAGGGGACTGGGCCACCATGAACCACTCTTTCGGACACGGCCCTGCATGCAGTTAGTCCTTTAAAGGTTTTTTGGACCATCGACTCATATTTAAAAATGCAGCTCAAATAAAATAAAAAATTTTTAAGCATTAAATATGACTGCAGGTTCAATATACTGTACAGCATGTCTTTGCAGGAGGGTTTTAAGAGACAGTGGAGCTTTATTCATCGATTGCTTCAGGTAGACACATAATGGAGATGGTTGTAAAAGGTGGTTTAAGTAGATAGCCACTTAATGATATACTTGGTTTATTAATGTCAAGTGCCTCCTTTGTTGTTTGAATGCTACAGGTTCGGATGTGAATCTATTCAGTGCAGGTCTTAACAAGTATAGAGATACAGACATCTATGTGCCTTCTTTCTTTCTCTCCATCAATTTCTCTCTACCTCTGTCCTCCTCTCCCTTTCTCTCTCCTCTTTTCTCTGTGTTGGCAGGAGGCTTAAAACTGTAAATGAGATTATGTGGAGGTGTTCCAAACTGTGACATCTGGCCCTCTGGCCCGTCTTCACTTCCAAAAAGACAATCTGACACGTATGGTGCACACATGCACGGCCGAGGACAATGACGGGTTGCAGATAACTTGTTAAAGAAGTGCACAAAACCCTCCGAAAAAAAAAAGTGCTTTCCATTTGATGATCACACTAAAACGTTTCTTTTATAAGAAGACCTTGATGCTGTGCACTTAGAGATAACTTTGTCTCAGTGAGTGCACCATTCTGCAAATAAGTTGAATAAACAAGGCTGTTATGGGGTTTGTGCAGCACACTGCAGATCCTAGATTCACAGAAAACCTGATTATTCATCGCTGGTGTTTACGTCGAGACAGAACATCGATTCTTCTGCTGCTTTATGAAATTATTATCAAGAGGGACTAATTGTGCTCGTGGGTGGTGCCAAACTTTTAGCTCCCATGACTCAGAGTGCATAGTAACTACTGTAATTAAGCCGCAGGAGCCTGCCTCCTATTCAAAGTCACAGCTGAATAGGAGGCAGAGGAGAATACTGATTATGAGTCACATGCCTCTTTCAAATCAAAGTCACAAATCATCTGTGTGTATACAAATCACCTTTATCTCTATTGCGCCTTTAATTTCCTGTATGGTTGCGCAGGTTGCCATCTGATCCCGGTGCGCTTTCCCTCCTTTAAACTCAGGAATTATCTCCATCTTGATGTTGCAGATGGAGCCCCGCTGAGCGAGCTGTCGTGGCCTTCGTCCCTGGCCGTGGTGGCTGTCTCCTTCTCTGGCCTCTTCACCTTTGTCTTCCTCATGCTGGCCTGCCTCTGCTGCAAGAAGGGCGACATCGGCTTCAAGGTGAGCTCACTGCTACCCCCTGCTGGAGGTGGTGAAGGGAAACTGAGAGTGTGTGTGAAGAGAATGAAGGGAATCCTGGTCAGTGAGTTGCATCTTAAAAGAAACTAGTTATCTTCAGGTACAAAAACATGTATCAGCGTTACTCAAACTTCTGAAAAACATGAAAAGAAAGATTTCAAGTCCTCAGCTTGTACTATTTTAAACTGCATCTATTTTAAACGGCCATTAGACGTCCTTTTAAAGTGTGTCCCCGAAAAAGCTGATATAACAACTGAAAGTAGGGCTGCAAATTAGAGCTGCTCCTTTGAAGTCAAGTAATTTGCTTTCTTTCTTAGATTTATCATTAATTATGCATTATTGAGTCTAAAAGCCGAAGTTTATGTCCTTGGAAAAGTTTAAATGCCACACACACACAGCCATGTACCAATTTACATCAACAAAAAAAAAAGAAAGACTTTCTGTCCTTTTAGTTTTGGGTGCCAGAAAAAACTCTTCTGTTTTGGAATACTGTTATTTAGCATGTATTCATTTGTGTTAAAAAACAAACTTTTTAGTTTAGATCATCAAGAAATCTGCCTGTTTCTCATGGATTGGTTTACCACCAGTAGAAAATCATCAAATCAAGTTAAAAGTCAAAAGTCAAAAATCATATCAATATATCAATAAAAAGAGAAACTATCTCAGAGACAGGTAATCTAAAAATAACGGCACTGTGAAGAGTCATCATTAAAACCTGTTAGTTTAGATTTAAAAACATTTAAAGGTACTATAAGGAGTTTTTTGCAGTTTATAAACAGGCTGAAATAAACAGTGATCTGATGAACTGAGAACACCTCCATAAGACTTAGATTAAATCAACAACAATAAAAGAGTAACCACTTTGTCCACAGGGGGCGCCAAAGTCAACACAGACTAAAGAGTGTTGATGACACCAGCTCCTTGGCTTTTAAGTTGTTCTGTGATAAATTTCAGGCTGAGGGTGCAGAAAACCCAATTTCTGTAGCGGCTTTTGAGACAAAGAGCATAAGAAAGTCCTAAGAGCACAATAAATACTGTACAGCACTTCTCTGTGTGATAAAATCACAAAGATAGGGTCAAAGAGAGTGGCCAAGACTTCCCTTATAAATGAAGGCGTATCGATGTATTAGCCTTGGGGCTGCAAGAGATGTCCAACCAACCAGGGGGTATAACTCACAGCACTGAATAAGAGCTAAATGTGCGTGATTCTGTATAAATCATAGACTTTATGTACTATAGACAACTTGGTTCTGCCTCCCGCCTGTATACGGATTTGAAGCCAAAAAGCTCTCTGTATTTCTATGATTTTTCTTCATTTTCTTAAAACAAACATTGCGCAGTAGCGCTGTACGCATTCGATAGGAGAGTGGCCGAGAGTCGCTGTGATGACGCTCAGCTCAAACAGCGTATCCCCTGGGTGAGCTACGCAATCAATAGGCTGTATCAGGTGTCAATCATAGAAAACATGAACCCCCTAACAACTTCTAAAAACGGAGCTTCACAGAAAAAAGAGGACTTGAGAACAAACCAGTCTAACAGTAACTACATGTCAACACCGCAAGCAGGGCAGAGAAAAATTAACATTACAGCTTTGCTAGCAGAGGCAGGATTTATGACCTATACTGCAGCCCACCAACAGAGGGTGCTGTTCTCTGAGTGCCTCCAGTGAGGAGGCAGACGCTATCCATTCTATCCAGTCTAGCATAAATCTATTGTAAAAAAAATGATTTTGTGTAAGTGTGAATGGGTTCTCCTGTGTTGCTGGAGCTGCCCCCTAGTGGAAACATGAAGAAGTGCAATTTTTGACACTTATGCGTCAGCTCTATTTTTACTAGGTTTTGTACATCATGACAGTTGATACAACAGCCTATGAATTACTGAATAGAAACAAATATTTGACATGGGTGTTAATTAGCCATACCCCTAGTGGACACTTAAGGAACTGCAGTGATTTTTGCAAATTATCATGGGCTTAATTTCTCAACACAGAAGTGTGAAGAACTGATTGGATTTGTGATGTATAGACAAAGGTTATGATTGTGTTTCTACATCAAACCACCTAGCTTCTTACTTTAGTTGCCCTGTGAATGTCAAAGTCTTTTATTGGGGACTTTTTTCCTCATTATATGCAAGTGATGTTGCCGAAAAAACCCTCACCCATCCCAGGCTGGCACACATTGTCTTTGTGCCGCCTTTAGCTGCCAGCATGACTCAGCCGTGCTGTGTCAAACATCAGCGCTCAACTGAACAGCTGATTAGGGCGACCAGAGCCTGACACAAGCAGGGGGCATAAAGAGAGAGAGAGAGAGAGAGGAAAAAGAGGGGAAACTCTGCAGTCAGTGTGATTTCTGCATGTTGTAGTTACTGGCTTTGGATTTATTAAAATGCTACTTCTATTGTGGCGTGAGCATCAAAACATGTTTTCATTTTTGTCATGCACTTTTTTCTGCAAAATGGATGACTAACAGCCCTGACTAAACAGCAAAGACTCCTGCTAAGATTGCTTATGCAAATTTGATTCCACACTAGTTCTCGCCCCCATAATTCCTTGCATGAATCATGAAGAAACAGAATATTGTTGATAAAGTAAGTTACAAAAAAACGTGTTTGCCTTTTTTGTTGTGGATTAGAGAGCTGCATAAAGCAGAGGAGGGGACAGAAGAGAGCTGATCAGAGCGGTTTCTACGTTTTAAAAGTCAAGTTTTGTGCTCTGGCGTTTAGGCTGAACAGCTTGTGGTAGGTAGATGCTGCAGGGATAACAGTGTCGCTAATGAGCGCAGAAAAAAAAAAGAAAAGGCACCATTACCGACTTCTGGACTTCTCCACTCTGTGTGCCCACGTCTCTTTCCCACGCCACATCGCCACTGCCTCATTACGTGAATGTGTGTTTTAATAACCTGCAGGAACAGCAGGTAGCGAGATCTGCGCCTGCTTCTCATTGGCCGGCTATTAACTGCAAAAAGATGATACATGATGACAGGATGGCGGCTCAAGCGGCTAAAAGGGCATCGGATGATAGTTGATTCACTTTAACGTTATGAATCATCTTAAGCCTGGTCAACACACGGATATGACACTATTGATTTCTGCAGGGATATTGTTTCCCAGCAGCCTGTGAGATTTGTAAAGCTGCCCTTGAAGCTGGAAGATTCGGTGTTTTCCTTTCTGACTTCTGCACATGGCTGAATGACAGACGCTTTTTGCTGCAGTCATTGTGTTGTTTTAGCACTTGAGCTGATTGTAAAAGAAGAATGCACTTTTAAAAAATCATTTGTGAGGCTCTAAAAACCTCTTTAGTCACTCTAAAACTGAATGAATAGAATCAGAAATCACAATTTTCTTGGCTCACCTTCCTCCTTTCTTTCTTTCTTAATGTTATGAATAACTTGAACAAAATAACTGGAGACGGTGTTTTGCCTCAGCGAAATCCTTAATTTGGGCTTTTTGTGTTTTAAAGAGTCAGGCAGTTTTAGCTCAAGAGCAGCTTCACTGAAATAGCACTTAAATTTTACAGCTGGGAGCCACTGATAACATAAAAGTTAGTGTGGCAGAGCTTTGACAAATAAAGGAGTGATGATGATTACGAGGAAGCAGATATTCTCCATCAGAGGGGAACTTTTTACTCACATCTGTTATATCTATGTTGTATATAAACACCTCAGGGTAGGAAATGCTAGAATTTTTTGAGTAGAAATGCTTCTACATCTTATTTATATTCTTTACTGATCAATTTGTGGCTTAAATCATGAGATTATTTTGTCTGCCAATCTAGTAAAATCCTTCTACGTGGAGAACGGTGTTGTAAATTTAGTGTTTTTGTCACTAAGTGCTTCACTTTTGGATTTGTCTTCTAACTTTTTTTGCTGTTCTTGTATCCTTGCTGTATTTTGGTGCTAATGCGAGGTGAGGCTGTTGCTGCTTCACAGCACTCCAACTGGGGCTGGTTAATATGGGAAAAAGTTGATTACGATACATATTTTTTCATATCAGTCGATATTGACATATATCAAGATATAAAAAATGAAATTTAACAGTGCTTATTGGTAGCATGTCTTTTGCAATACAACAAGCTACTGCATCTGTGAGGTCTGTGTGAGGTCTCAATATTTTGTCATAAGGCGTTGCGCTAGAGAAAGCGGACTGAATGGGCTGCTTGCTCCACTCAGGGATTGTAACCTTTTGCATTGCACGTGCTCTGCCGCGTGGCGCTGCTTCAGGTGGTGAAAAAGATTTGAGCTATTCCCCGACTTTGCGAGAACATGTATTTGACAGAATTTGTGGTGCAAATTACTTTGCTTCATGTCTGACCTGCTGCCGGCTTCACATGTTTAAGTTTTATGGTTGCATGTAGCTGCAGCCTGCTACTACGCAGTTGTTTGCTACTTGGTTCTAATTCAGCACAAAGCGGACCCTTCTCCCCTTTTCATTGGTTATTCGTATTGTCTACCAAAACATGGCAGAATGCTGACTATCGAAAAGGAAATTGAACATATTTCATACTGATATTGATTGATTAATTGAGGGAAATAAATTTTCGATATATATCGTTATCGTTTTATCGCCCAGCCCTACCTTCAACACATCCACATCGTAGTGACTATTTCATCTTTCTCTAAAACAGTGAAAAACATCCACACCGGTGTTGCCATTTTTACTCTCATCAGCTTGTCTGTATGTCCCTTTCGGCAAAGCACCTCCTATAAGGGAAAATTTTGGCTTATTGAGAAGAAAATAGAAACATCAACTGTTTTAATCATTAAACTAATAACTTCAAAACAGTCCTCTTGTTCGACAGGCTGATATACTTTGTGCATCCGCAGTATAAGAGGTACTTGAGGATGATATATGCTGTATTTTGATCTTCAAACCTCAAATTGATCCTATCTTTATCTCTGGCAGCCAACATCACAGAATGGTTAAACACTCTCCCACTCTTCCTCTCTCTCTTTGGCACCGGCTCGTCACTCAACAGCTCACTTGTAAGGTGTGCATTCGTGCGAGACTGCAAAACTCGCGCGGCTGCGCCGTCCAAAAAGCTTCATTATTCCCCTCCATCGCCGTGCTCTTACTGGAGCGCGGAGTGTGAGGCCGGGTATTAAGTGCTTTCTAAACTGAAGGCTCTCTGGGGAGCTATGCAACGCTGACTCACAGCCAGGTGCTCGCTTTCACACTCGGCTCTGTGGAGAGTGGCAGATGGTTCTGCTGAATGAGAAACACACACATGCACGCATTCCTATGTGCACACTCTGGTGTTTTAGGACACATGTAAATAGACACAAACACACACAAACAATACGCCATTCAGGTATTTCATTTTAACCCAGCCTAAAGACCACTACACCTACTTTCTTTCTCTACCTTTTCCTGTTTTCTACTCACTCTCTCCTTCTTTTTCTTTGACCTCTGTGGTTGCTGGAAGTTAGAGGTAGGCTTGTTATGAATAACAGTTCATTAGCCAGCACAGGAATGGATGGATGGTCGGCTGAATCGGCCCCTTGAACGGAGGATTTATACCAGCCTGGTCTCCCAACATGGCCGCTTTCTTGGAAACTGCTAACAAGACTGATGTGAACAGTTGAGTGATGTCGCTTTACGTGGAGAGGACACGGAGTCAGGATATCAGCGAGAGGGGTTCTGACTAAAAGACCTGCTACTGTTAATGGAAAACAGGGGTGATGTGAAGAGGTTCTCATTGTTAGATGTAGCTTAAAGAGCGTTACACACAAGGGAAATACTCTGAATGCCTCTTTCCGGTCGGTGTTGCCACTGATATAAAAGGGTCTGGAAGGATTAAAGTCGACATTTGGGTTAATGCAGGGACAGATCCAGCCAGTGGTCTCCCTCTTTATTTACCTTGACTACTGACTGCTACTACCACCTTAGATGTTACATAAAAATGCACAAATAAATAATGACAGCTCACAACATGCTGTATATGTAGATATTAATGTGCGATGAGCTTGCCATGGTGGTGCTAACTTTGCTAATGTTCGCCGCAGTCTGCGAATTAATTTGATATAATGCCTGAAGACTTTGTGTCTTTAGCCATGCTCAATAAATTAAGCTGAGCTTTTCTCATTGGAATTTTAATTACCGTTTAAACGAGAAGGGAATCAGTTTCTTCTGAACATCCTTAACCACGACTAGTACTACTGCTACCAATACTAGGGCTGTCCCGATACGATATTCATACCGGATATCGGTCCGATATGAGCCAAAAAACAAATATCGGATTATATCGGCCTGGATCTAAAATCTCCGATATCAGCACTCTGATACAAGCAGTCCATTCCAGACTCCACTCCAGCACTTCTATCTAGCAGCGCCCAGATCCAGCATGCAGAGCCCACATGATCACAACAACAGTGTGTACTAAGGTACAAACAAAGAAGCAAGGAGTAGGAGTGATGTCGGTTGTGTGGCAGTATTTTTCGTTAAAGTGCGAAAAAGACATCGCAGCTGAGTGCAAAACTTGTCATGCACAAGTTTGTGTCAAATTGGATCAATATCAGTATTGGCCGATACTAAAAGATACAATATTGGTATCATATCAGAAGTAAAAAAATTGTATGCGGACACCCCAAACTAATAATTCCTAACTCATCGTGGTTAACTGTGATAATTTGGTGAGTCTGAAAAATTCTGTGCCCGTTTATATCATGCTGTGCAGATTTTGCAATTTGACATACAGTGCAAGCATCGGCTTTACTGTGTACTCGTGTTTCCTTTGTAATGAAAACAAGAAGTATGTCTAAAGTCGGTGAAAACTTTTCACACTCCAAAACTTCATGTGAGGAAGATAAAAGACATAAAAAAATGGAAATAGCAATGCAACTTTTCCCTCAAAGAATTGCATCTCTCTGTGTTCAGTTGTATGTGTGAAGTGTTACGCAATTTAAGCTCCTGGATACCCTTTTCTATTCTTGATATACAAGGGTTTGGAGATGCAGATTTCTACAGGGACACTGTACAACGTTAGACAGCAAGGACACTGCAGCAGAGCGGGGAGCAACGACAGATGGGCGCAGAAAGACAGGGAGACAGAGCAGAGGATGTGGGATAGGAGAGGGTCACTGTTTTCCATCGCTGAGAGTTTTTGTCCTGCACAGCTGAGGAACTTTTTCTCGCTCTTATCTGAATGTAGCATGAACTATGTATCAGAGCTGATATTTACAACATAAAGGTCATCTTTTTAATGTGACAAAAATGTAGAATTTGAATCGACATGTGGGTGCAAAAAGTAAAAGCCAAGGCTTCTTACTCATTACGTACCACATCAGGCATTTTGTCCAGTTTTCTATCGTTAAGATTGAATGAATCAGATTTTTCAATGTTGTAAAAACCTTGAGGACGACAAAATAGCGAGCCTGTGACTCACTCGCAATGTGTACCAGTTGAATGATTTAAAACACAAGGCCCCTGATCTAATCTATTTGGGTTTAAAATGTCACTATTACTCTGTAAAAACTCACAAAAACTATAACTATGTAAAAAAAAATAGTTTGGGATGTATTGAAAGGGGCATTTTTTGACTTTTTTGAATTTAGCACATGTAGGAGGGCACAAGAAGAAAGAAGGTCTTTGTGTGCAGAGTCTGAACACACGCATTAGTGTTCCCCTTACAGTGTCTTTGCACTCACCCACACAGCACACCCCACAACGTACATGACTTATGTATACGGCTAGGTGGGCGTGCCTCCGTGCATTTGATTGCCTTCACAGTTGAACCATTGTCTTCCACTATTTCAGAGTAGGATGGCTTGTGGGGAGCGGATGACTAATCCCAGCGTGTGTCTTTGCACCAGGAGTTTGAAAACACCGAGGGAGAGGAGTACCAGGCAGATCTCTCCGCCCTGGCCTCGCCTTCCTCCCAGAATGGCCCCGAGGTCTACATCCTTCCCCTCACTGAGGTCTCCCTGCCTGTCTCCAAACAGCCTGGCAGATCCAGTAAGAAACCACTCAACACCACAGTATTAATTATAGAAACACCTCTGAGTAACGCCGTCTTCAACTTTTAATGACCTCTTCTTTGCTGGTGTGTTTTTTTCTTCGTCTCTTTTTGAGTATATTTCTTTAGTTTTTTTTTAAGTGTCATCTCTTTAAAAAGAATAAACTTCAGCTGTATTTAAAGAGGCTTAGGAAATGTTGTTTAATCCCTGATGCCTGTAGCACAAGTGGGTTATGAACAAATCACTGACTAACTGCATGAATTTTATAAATCCTGGTTAAAGAAGAAGAAGATCCAGCCTCTTTTGTCTCGACTTCTACATTCATGTCTCGGTTCCCACACTCAATGAGGGACAGACATCTGTCCATTGTGTAATGTATTTAGAATTGGCCTACCGCAGTGCTGTGATGTATACTTAATGTGAAAACTGCAGCCCACTGCAGAGGCAGGAATCTGACCTAACCCTATAGTGTACATTATCTCTGGGGTTCTGTGTGTTCCTGCGTTTTACACTAACATTAACATGAATTTACAGGAGCAGAGTGCATCCATGCTTGCAGTGTGTTTGCATTGTAACTTATTATTGTAACTTATGTTGGATATAGTGACTCAAACACTACTTATGCAAAGAGGAAGGGAGGAGGGTTGTCTGGACAAGCCGCCGGTTGGTTTTAATAGACTGGAGAGAGTCTGTGCAGACACTTCCTCTCGCTGCAGCCAAAGGTGTACCTCAGGGGTCTATCCTCGGGCCTCTTCTTTTCAATCAAAATGTTTTTAATGTTGGTTTTCATTTCTATGCGGATGATAATCTGTCTGACCGTTCAGCATTTATTCCAGACTGAGCTTCTTCTCTTGATTTCATCACTGTTCGACAAAATGTTTATGATTCAAAACTTATATACATCAAACAAAAGTCATGCTGTTAACCCATTTTTATTAATTGGCTTTTAACCCTGCAGGAGACTCGGCTCCTGTTTTAGTGTTTTATGGTTTGTTTTTAGTTATTGGTTTTTATGTTTTTAAATTAGTTTTTAAAAACATTGAAACTATATTTTTAATTGTTTTTTGATTGTTTTTTACATCTGCGTTGTTTTGTCTATTTATGTACATCACTTTGTGTAGCTATGGTTGTTTTAAAGTGCTTTACAAATAAAGTTGAGTTGAGTTGAGTTCCTAAAATGTAAATTCTGCTTCTTACGAGTTTGAAAATGGAAATCTTGGTGTTTAAATTAACGAATCTCTCTCTTTTTTTAGATCTCATATTCAGCAGCTGGCATGGATAAAACTAAAACTAGTTTTTTATTTCAGAACCAAATACTGCTGATCTTTTGAGTCCATAAAGAGGACAGTTACTACGGGTTTAATACCTGTCTTGGACTACAGTCATTTCTGAAACAAACATGCTTCCCTATTGGATTGTCATCCTTATCTGCATTTAAACAGCAACTCAAGCTTATTTATTCTTGTGTAAAAGTCCATTCTAAGTCTTCCTCACAATTTCTGCCCTACATCAGTCAGAAGAGCACAAGAGCTTTCAATCCAGAAACTTTTCTTTCTGTCCTGGAACTACAAAAGGAGCTGAGGCCAAATAAACTGATCTTACTGGGAGATTTTGAGGTGATGTTAAAGGACGTAGAGGCAGATGGCCAAAACGCTCTTAAAAAAAACAAGGACGGGTGCCACCTTATGAGCCAGACGCTGACTTTTGAGCTCTTAATTATTATCAGTACATTCTGACGGGGGATGATCTTGTCAGCATGTGGAAATTATGATGATAAAACTTAGCAGGTCGTCACATGAAAACACACGCTGTCTTGATCTCGCTGTAAATCTGAATTAATTGCATTTTAAATATAATCAACAGCAGTTCTTGGCTTCAGTATGAACCCTATTTTAAATTCATTGCTATCTTAATTCAATCTCACATTATCCAACATCAGTACTCCAGCACATGCTCATTACATGTTCGTACGTTCCTTCCTCTGTAACGTCACAGTCTGTCTCTTTCTCTGCAGGTCAATCCACCTCAAACATAGCCTTTCCAAACGTGCGCATGCATGTATGTAGTGTGTATGTGTGTGTGTATGTGTGTTAGCTGGTTCCTGGGTGCTCGCAGTCTCTGCCTCTCCCTGCATGACTCACTGGCTGTCTGCATGGCGCTGTGCTCAGCCATGAGGGAGGTGAGTTGGGGGCTCAGCATCCGAGTATTCCAGCTTCGGCAAGTGATTGGACAAGGCAGCCTCAGGCTCAGAGCCAATCACTCGTCTCCCCTCTGTCCTCCATAGCTACGGCTGTATGATTGGTCCAGGTGTTGCAGGGGGAGGAAGGGATATATGGCAAAAGGCAGTTAAAAAAAAAAAAAAGAGAGGAGGAATGAAAGTGTAAAACATGCTCTGTTTTGATTTAAATCTTTTCTGCGTTTTTGTATCATGAGTTGTAACAGGAGTTATGCTGCCTCTTAGTAAAAAAGATAAACAAATTCATGATAAAAAATGCATAAATTATCTTGCATTTGAATAATAATAAACTCCAGGTTAAAGACTAAGCAGGCCCCTGGATTTGTGCATCATCCATACGTCATAAATCACCCACTCCCACTCTTATTTACACACATAATGAAAGCATGCATAGTAATTGCCTATTGAACAAAAACAGCAGTGATTTACTTTATACCGCGGCCGTGAATGGTGTGTTCTATACGTGCACGACATCGATTATACATCTGTATGAACACCAAGTACAACGTCAGCATTGATCTGACAGTCGTGCTTTCACTTGTTGCTCTAATCTTTTATTCAGGAGGTCATGTAAAGCTTTTATGCCCACTACAGAGTCTCCACGCTTCAAAAGGGAACCGATTGTGAGTGAGCCCACCAATCCCACAGCCTCACTGGACCCTCTCCATCCTCTGTGGGAATGCCACGAGTAGGACGGGAATGCACACTCACACATTCCTCATTTGGGATAATACCACCTCTTAATTTCTCTCCATCAGGGGAGGGGGGGGCTGTAGTGGAGAAGTGTGGGTCTGTTATCACCGTGACAACCTCTGGAGAATGGGCCTTGTGTGCGCCTGGATATGAGTGTCTGCGTGCCTATGCGTGTGTGTATGTGTGTGTGTGTTTGGCGCACTGGGTACCAGGAGACGCAGCGTGAGCGTGTGAGTGAGCGGGTGAAACAATGGCGGTGATTTAGGCCGGCTGGGCAGTGGGTGAGCATGAGGCCGGGCTGAAGCGTCCGTGGAACGCACCAGTGGAGGATGGGCATTATGGGGAGAATACAGTGAGGGGTCTGTGACTGAATGAGAAGAGACAGGGGAAGGGTGGTGGCATGCACCAGGGCCTAAGAGTCGGGGAGGAGGGGGCTTGAGATAGGGTGTGTATGACAGAGGTCTTTTCTGCGTCTGACAGAGCAGTGTTTGTGTCCTGTTTGGCTGAGGAATGCTGCTGTCCTGGGTGACAGGGGGGCATTATGTGCGCCTTATGTCCCAACTGGGTGTCTTGAAGCTGCAACCAGAGCTGGCAAGTCAGACGCCACACTACCAACATGCGTGACGGTCACATCTGGCGTGATGCATGACTAGAAACTCTCAGTAACGAGCGGCAGAAGTCCCTCTTGGAACCGCTGGCGTTGACTCGGAGCTGCGAAAACTTTATAACACTTCGCCGAAGTTTCAGATTTTCATATAGGTACCGAGGATTCCTGTGTTTGCTCGACAGCTGGAGAGCTCTACAGACAGGGACAGTATGTGTGTTTGTGTGTCTCCCAGTTGGAGGATGAGCCCGGCGCAGACGGAGAAAGGCAGCGTGGCGAGCTTGTTCAGCTGCGCGAGGGCTCCGAGGGTTAAATCCTGCCGAGGCTCTCTCACACACACACTGCGGCCGTGGGCTCTCTCTCTAACACACACAATGGGGCTAAGACTTCTGGGGTCGGGGCTGGGGCCACAGGCTCTTGGTTCTCACACTCTGAACCAGGACTCCATCCCCGCCTGGGACTCGGACTCAGTCCCTGTCACGGTGCTCCGAGTGGCTGGCCGCTCCACTGCTCCACCATCATCATCGTCGTCTCTTCACGAAACAACAGCATCTTCATTCTTGAAATATGAAGATCCATGGAGGTATTGGAAGAGACAGATTCTCCTCTCAAGTTGGCAGACCTTCAGTTTGATTTATGTGCATTTATCGACCATGATTGTTCACTTTTCTTTCACTAACGCCTCTAATTTCTTCTTTACAGGCAAATCTCTTCTTTCTCTCACCGTAACCGTTTCTTTCCAACCACAAAATCATTGAATGTCTTTCTTTCTGTCTCCAGTCCAGCTGTTGAAATCATCAGACCTCGGCCGTCATAGTCTACTCTATCTAAAGGAGATTGGACATGGCTGGTTTGGAAAGGTAAAACATGCTTTTTTGTTCACACAGTCTGTTTATCTGTTTTGACTTTCATTGCTTGCCTTGACTTTTCTAACTGCGCCAGTCTTTACTGTACCGTCTGTATTCGGATGTGTATTCTACTTAGAGGAATGCGAGGGTAATGCGATGATGATCTCAGTCTAGCGAGGATAATCTTTGGCACTTGTGTCATGGTGTTGATTCCATGGGAGATGAGTTAAAATTACAGTCACAGTGAATTCCTTTCGATTTACGATCGACTACAGGCTCCTAAATCTGCATCACCTCATTTCTTACACATCTCAGCTCTATCTTTGAGTTATTAAAACTTAATTCTGCATACTAAAGCTCGGTCTGGACCGCCTTAGTGAAAAATCATAATTACTGCATACCAAAAGTTGTATTTGGAAGTCTGTTCTGGGAGCTCTCAACCTTTTAAAGTGCATACAAGGGATGCCAAAGTCTGTGGCTGGGAGAGCAGCAGCAAAGACACGCATTAGCAACATTACAAAAATGAAGAACCAGGATGGAGGAGGGTTGGTTAACGTGGCTGTCAGCTGATACAGACTGGCGTTATGATCAGCTGATGCACTGTGGACTGAGCTGGATTTGCTGGATTTGCTGGCACGCCTAAACTATCACTGTTCTTAATTTTGGAATAAAGGTTTTACTATCCCCTTAAAGGGATATTCCGTGTAAAATCAATTTAGAGTTAAACTCACGGTAAGACAGAGTTAGACACCTTTTCTAGAGATGAATGTTGCCAACCCGTGCTTCTCCAGTTATACCAACTTTAGTAACGACCGCAAGATGGCAATACACAGAGAAATAAAGAAACCTCAACCAAATCGCCACTCTATAGCCACAAATAATGCTCAGAACAGCACCTAACTTCATCAACAGTACATATAGGGTCCAAGCCACTGCACTAGCCCCTAAACATCATTTAAACTTTGCCTAATTTCTTTAGCAAAGAGACTAAACACAACTCACCAACTCTCTTCCAGCAGCCGCTTGTTTGTAGCGAGACATCAGGCCAGTCCATTACAGTCTGCTGTGGGATGACGCAGCTCAAGGGAGCTCAGGCAAAGTTAAAAAGATGTTTGGTGGCTAGTGCTGTGGCTAGGACCCTATATGGTGTGCTTGACCCTAAATTAATTTTACACTGGAATATCCCTTTAATGTGTACTTTCCAGGTGTTGCTGGGTGAAGTCAATGCAGGCCTCAGCACCACCCAGGTGGTGGTTAAGGAGCTGAAGGCCAGTGCAAGTGTCCAGGATCAGATGCAGTTCCTGGAGGAGGTGCAGCCTTACCGGTCAGTTCACTAAAACCACCACCAATGGCAAAAAAAAGGGGGAAAAAAAAGGTCGGATTATTTTTACATGATGTGTTTTATTTGTCTCTGCCAGAACCCTCCAGCACCCGGCCCTCCTGCAGTGCCTGGCACAGTGCTCAGAGGTCACTCCTTATCTGCTGGTCATGGAGTTCTGTCCTCTGGTGCGAAACACCTTAATCATCCCCGGCTGTTTCTTCTCTCCTTCTCAGAAACCTCATTATTTCCCTTCTCTGTTATTATTGAGTTGTTTATTCATAGATCAGGCCAGATCCTCTTACTCTTCTCTCCTCTCTCCTCTCAGGGCGATCTGAAAAGCTACCTGCGCAGCTGTCGGCTGGCTGACTCCGAGACTCCTGACCCGTTGCTCCTCCAGAGAATGGCCTGTGACATCGCCTCTGGGCTCCTGCATCTCCACAAATACAACTTTATTCACAGGTACAGCGTGCTCATCAGCTCGGCTCTGTTTACCTTCATCAATATTGAAAAGTCTAACAGGAAAAAAAAAAAAAAAAATCCACTTGAATGTTTTGAGCGTCCCCTGCTGGTCACTTCCTGCAACAACATCCTGGTGCTGCCTGAGTAGTTGTCACAAACTCCAGCATCAGTGATTTTGTTGCCGGGGGCGAGCCCCTCTCGCTCTCCCTAAGGCATGCGGTGGCTGCCATGGCAACCGATCAGTTGCTGCCAGGCAAAAGAGCTTCCTGTTGTGGAGGAGGTGAGATCGTAGAAACAAAGTGAAGTTTTTTGTGTTTAGTTGTGACCTTGTGTGCACAGATGTCCTGATTGTTATTATTGTTTGATTTTTACTAGATTGCACACACTGTTACAGAGGAGTGTGTTTTTTTAAATGCATTTTTAACTTAATTGCTAAACATTTGCGGTTATCAAAGGAAGCTAAAGTTACCTGACTCTAACAGATGCAAACACATTTGTAACTACGGCTGCAGCTTTTGTACATCCGCATGAGATTTAAGATGTGTGGAGGAAGCTCAGCACCACAGCCTACTGACCTTTACAACTGTGAGCGCTGCCCTGCATCGTAAATGTTTGTTATTCCAGCTGATTCCTCCGTATCTTTTTGGCAATCCTGTTGTGGCTTCAGGGGGAATGTACTCTGAAATAGGCATTTATGAGCGTGGTAATAATAGGCAAAAAAAGTTGCCTTCATACCAGCTTCACCAAAGTCTGAATATTTCCCCAGACTTTGCTGCAGCTGTTTTAGGATTCGTCATATCCTGCTAAAAGCTCAAAGCTTTGTTTTGTGATGGTGTAAAAGAGGCAAAGTGGATGTTGACAGGCTTGGGGAGCCCTTGAACCCACAATTGAGATGATTGATTGACATCTGTCGTAAGCAATGGTGATGGCTTTCTTTTATGAACTTGCTGAGTTATAGCTTGGTTTTATTATTTTAGTATTTCGTTTTAGGAAGGTGAAATAAGAGCTGAAGTTTAAAATTCTCTGCAGTCCCAAAGTCACAAAGCCCCTGGTCATCCTAGACATAAATAGTCGTGTGTTTTTTTTTGATTCCCTGTCGTACTTTATAAGAATAGAGGTGTCCTTTCTTTTGACAGTGACCTAGCCTTGCGAAACTGCCTGTTAACTTCAGAAATGTCTGTGAAAATCGGAGACTACGGCCTCTCCCACAGCCGGTACAAGGTCAGACTGTCATTGGATAATGTTGGTTGCTTTTTTTTTTTTACCTTACAGCCCTGTCATCACTCCTAATTCTGTCTTTTGCTTCTCTATAGGATGACTATTACATAACACAAGATCAGATTTGGGTCCCTTTACGCTGGATCGCACCTGAGCTCATTGACGAGGTCCACGGAAATCTGCTGGTTGTTGATCAAACTAAATCCAGCAACATATGGTGAGATAGTTTAAGAGGAAGAAGCTGGAAATATTTCTGTGAGATTGAGAAATGAGTCAATAGATTTGTTTAGATGAACTCTGATTTACTGCAAGAATATAAAGTAGGATTCCCAACTTCAGCTATTTTTCATCTCTAATGCTCGAGCACCAAAAAAGCATTTGAAGCACATTACGGAGAATGTGTTTCACTCGCATCCAATAACTCTTCGGAAACTACAGACTGTGTAGAGCATAACTATATTTGTAATCTCGTGGGGAATAACTTAATGATTTCTTTGCCTCTTTCAGGTCATTGGGAGTAACTATGTGGGAGCTGCTTGAGCTGGGAAACCAGCCGTACAGACACTACTCTGACAGACAGGTCCTGACATACGCGGTGAAGGAACAGCAGCTCAAACTACCCAAACCTCAGCTCCAATTCCCCCTGGCTGAGCGCTGGTGAGACACAGTTGCACACCCACACACACGGCTGAATGGCTGTTATATATCCTGACACCACATAAGACACTTTTTTGACATTTCTGAGCCTTCAGGCCTCGCTGAGCACTTACACGTCACTGTGCTGTTTTTTTAAAAGTCGGATTCTGCGTATGATGGTGCACCGGTCTACTCTTGCAATATTTCTCTTCGCTAGCAAGGGCAGATGATCAATACTCTCCCTCTTCTTTATGATCCCCTTGGCATCGACCAGAGTTGAATCACCTCATTCATCTTCGCCCGGGAAGTCGGCCAAATATAGTTTTTTATTTATTTATTTTTCAAAATTGTTCCCCGCTAAATTAAACACTCTCGGTACCAGAAACAAGGAGCCGCATACACACACACGGATACGCACATGGAAGGGTTTGAACAAAATCCTACGTCAGCATCCATACCACACCTTTTTCATCCACTCTATAGGTCTTTGGCTGGAGACGGAAACAAGAACAAGGTGTTGTTGAAAGTGCTGACCCAGTTAGATTCTTTTATACGGTCTTGCTTTGGGTCCATCATCAATTCCTTAGAGGGATATTCCGGCGTAAAATTAATTCAGGGTAAAACACACCGCAACACCGAGTTAGACACCCCTGAGAGAGATGGATGTTGCAGACCGCTTGCTTCTCTAGTTATACCAACTTGTGTAATGACCGCAGGATAGTGATACACTGCGGTCTGATAAGCTATAAACAAACCTCAACCAAAACGCCACTCTATAACCACAAATAATGCTCAGAACAGCACCTAACTTCATTAACAGTACATATAGGGTCACAGCCATAGTACTAGCCACCAAACATCTTTTTAGCTTTGCCTAATTTCTTTAGCAAAGAGACTAAACACAACTCACCTACTCTCTTCCAGCAGCTGCTTGTTTGTAGCGAGACCTCAGGCCAGTTCATTAAGGACTGTTGCGGGGTGTCGCAGCTCAAGGAAGAACATTTATGATCGTTTCTTTATCATTTCATTGAAGTAATAATCACCAGATTAATCATTTTGCACTGCAGACGCAGCAGTTCTTCTGTCTTAGTTTCTTGGTCTGATTGCATTTCCATGAGGAAATGATTATCAATGTTCTTCCTTGAGCTGAGTCACCCCGCAGCAGACCCTAAATTAATTTTACGCCGGAATATCCCTTTAAGTGTTGTCTCTTTGCAAAAAGAAGAGTACATTTATGATTAAAATTTTCAAAGGAGTTTTAAACATTTGTAACTCAGGTTTAAAACTTTGTAAATTTTTTTATAGCCACCAGGCAAAGAGTGGGTTTCATTCTGTCATTAAGCAAGGTGTCACAAACTTTTTAGCGGACAACGCCCAAAGTAACAGTGCCAGAAACGTGTCTGCATATTCCCTGTATTCCCTGTTGTCAATAGTTTTTTTTGCATCTGATTGTCTTCTCTTATCTTTGTCCAGGTATGAGGTGATGCAGTTCTGCTGGCTGCAACCTGAGCTGAGACCCAGCAGTGAGGAGGTTCACCTTCTCGTCACATACTTGTGTGCCAAAGGCTCCAGTGAAGCCGAGGAAGATTTCGAACAACGCTGGAATGCCTTGAGACCCAACCTGCTGGGTAGCACTTCACACACAGCCACATCTACAGCCTTAGTCCTGACCCCTACCCCGGCTTCAGCCGATCCACCCGGTGCAGACCAAACCCAGGCGGTGGAGCTGGCCTCCTCTGCCTCGTCCTCCTTCCCCCTCCTGGAGCACTTCTCCGACAGCTTCCACTCTGACACTGGGGACGACCTGCTGACTGTTACAGAGACCAGCCATGGTCTCAACTTTGAGTACAAGTGGGAGCAGGCTAGAAGTGAGCAGCCTTACTGCTCCTCCTCCACCAGTGGGCCTCTGGGCCAGGGGAACCCACATTATCAGGATATCTACTATTCAAGTAAAGGCAGCATCTCCGGGGGGTGCAAGTCCGACAGCCTCACCTCAGGCAGGTCCCCATCTTATTATGAACCTGAACACCCAGGGGTCGTCCCAGTGTTGAGTGCCCACAGCCCTTCAGTCAGCAGTGAGTACTACATCCGCATAGAGGAACCGGTAGAGTGTAATATCAACTTAGATGACAGCGTGGTGGACTACAGCCCAGGACTGGAAGCCAGCAGTAGTAGGTTGTCATCTGAGAGTCGGACCAGTAAACCCAGCGCTTACTGGTCAACGGCTGACAACATCAAACCCCCTTCCTATGACTCTGATTCAAGCCCCACGGTCCACCTAACCATGGAGCCACTGCTGCGACATTCAACCGGCACCAGTCCTGTAAAGCTAAGCTACTCCCAAAACTGCTTCTTATCCAATCAGGATGACACAGTCTACTGCGAACAGTCATCAGCATACAAAACACGCCGCCAATCTGAACAGGAAACGTCTCCAGAGTCCAGATCGAGCCTCCTTCATCCTGTTGGACTTCTTGAAAACCCGAGAAGTTTATCGCAAGCAGTTAGCAGCCCCAGCTTAGGGTTCTGTGATCCCTACCTTGAAGCGAGCACATGCCGCAGCACGGTAAACGAAAGCTGCCATAACATGATGGGTCCCCTCAGAAAGACAGTTCCCATTGTGAACCACATTAGCGTTGATGTAGAGATAGACGATGGCCTGCTGGTGGGCCGGCAGAGAGGTGACGACATTGAGGATGACCTTTACTCGGGAGAAGAGGCCACTAACTGGACCTCGAACCATTCGGCAAACAATAATAGCCTCAGTTTTGACAGCAGACAAGCTGTCAGTGGACATGACAGCTACCTAGACCTTCAATATACAAACAATACAGAGCTGTGGTCTTTGACCAAGGCCACCACCAGGACCTTCCAAAGCTCCCGGTCTGGTGTAACGTTGGAGGGCGAAGGAGGAGACTGCAGTTGTAATTCTGCGAGTAATTCCTCTGAATTAGGTTCATACATTCACTTATGTCACAAAGAAAGGGAGGAAACCGCCACTCAAAAGGAAAGGAATTTAACCGCAGGGAATCCAAGAAGTGCAGATTTATTTTCAAGCTCAGTTATTAACACCAGAGGTACAGAGGTTGAGAAAACAGAGGGGGATTATGAAAAACAATTATTGCAAAATGCTGAGAGGCCATATTCTGAACCTAAAATGATACCCGAGGCAAACTATAAAAAGTCCCCCAACTCTTTCAAGGAGCCTCAAACTGTTCAAACAGGCAACTTGTCCATCAAGCAGAGAGGTAACATGTGGGAGGGGGTTTCGACGGGAATCTCTGTTGGCCTGGGAGACAAAAGGCTAACCTATCCAGAAACATCTGAGAGTAGCAGAGTGTTGGACAGTGGACTGGGAGTCAGGGAGTCCAGCATTAGCCTGGTAGAGCTCGGTGACTACAGCGAGGATGATGACGACGACATCACAGATATAACATCAGGGATCTTCGCGGACTTCAACTTGGATTATGTGGAGGTAGAGGAAGATGAGCTGAGCCCGTTGAAGAATCCAAAAGGAACTCCTGACTCTGTAGACACCCTGAACCTGTCCTCATCCATGGCAAGCACCTGCGATCAGGCCTTCAGCCCTGATCCTTTTAATACTCCTGTCCTTCCTAAATCCCTGGACAGTGGCTACGACACCGAAAACAACGAATCCCCAGAATTTATCTTCAAAGAGCTTGGAGATCCCTTGGGTGGAGAGAGGAGCCCTAGGCTTGGTGGAGAACCTGAACTCGTGCTTCAGATGGGCTTAGGCCAAGCAGTCTGCACTTCCACATGCATCCCAGAGCTACAGCTGAAGAGCCTGACTGATAAAAACCCGTACCGGGACTCGGCTTACTTCTCTGACTATGATACTGAGAACGAGAGAAGTCCTAAAGACGAGGGTGAGAACTTCTATGCAGGTCCGAGCGACCGGGCTGAGAAACTGAACTCTGTAGGAGGTGATGATCTTTTCCAGAGGCAGTTCACCAATGAGGAACATTTGACAAACGTGAGACACATCAAAAGTTCTGTTTTGGTGAATCTCTCCGAGGCTGACCCCACTTCACCCAATCCCCTCGCCACACCAGGGCTGTCCATGTTGTCGCCGTTCCCTCCAGAGATGGGCGGTTGCCTGACCAAAGAGTCAACCCCCGCTGATGATGACGTTATGTTGGAGCACTCGGGAGAGGAGCCCACTTCAGATCTAAGCTCCTCTATAGGGCCTGAAGCCTCCTCTACTGTCCAAGAGGCCTCTGGAAACCACGAGGACGGAAACAGAAAGGAAGAAGACTGCTCTCCCGTCCAGTCTCTGCATTCTGACTCCACCATAAACGACTACAGAGATGATGCTCATAAAGAAAATGATGTGTCCACAGAGGAGGAGGAGCTGCCTGAATTCAATCATGTCAAGGAGGAGACGGAGGACAGGAGGGAGGGCGTGAGGATAAACGAGGAGGATTTCGAGGACATCGACGCGGAGGAATGTGACTCACAGGATAGTTTATGTGAGGAATCAAACGGCGGGGCTGATCTCTCCACTTCCTCGTCATTGTTGGAGCTGTGCGGGGAGGATGTGAGAGCTCCGCTGGAGGAGGCGGAGGACGAAGATGACTCAGATGACAGCGACTCCGACGAAGAGTTGAGGACCTACAACATCCAAGACGAGGACAGTGAGGAAAGTGAGGAGGATTTTAGCGCCGTACCGGTGGTTGTTAGCGATTGCAGCCGGGCCAGACACCTCCGCAGCCTCCTGAAGATGCCCACCCTGCTCACGGAGTCCTTCTGTGAAGAGCTGGAGAGGAAGAAGAAAGCTGTGTCCTTTTTTGACGATGTCACGGTTTTTCTTTTCGACCAGGTGGGTCAAGTTGAAGAGTAAAAGTTGTCTGTTTACACTCCTGCTATTTTACTCAGTATGTGAGGAGTATTTGTGACTATATCCTCCAGGAGAGTCCCACAGGAGAGCTCGCTGAGTACGCCTTCTCCACAGGAACAGAGGCCGGTTGCGAGGAGGAGGTCTCAGAGGAGAAAAACTCTGACCAGCTGCAGCCTGACCCTGAGATTGAAGCCGAGTCCTTAGACGCTCCCTGTGCTCCTGAAGACATAGAGGGCAACAACTCAGGAGAGGGTCAGTGGCACAAAAATACTTGAAACAAATCCGTCATTTCTTGATTTGTCCCATTTTATTCATGATCAGTGTGCCGACTTTGTGCGTTTCCAGGTGAGGGTAACGAATGGGAAGACGAGCCCTCGCTTAAGTCGTCACCTGACGCCATCTCCGAACCTGAATCCTCACCGTCACCCACCCAAAACAGTCCAGAGACTCCAAAACCCACAGCTGTAGCACTCAACAGATTCATGGTCTCACGATTCTCCATCACACACGTCTCGGACCCTCACACAAGCTCAGCTGCAGGTGTGTAAAAACAGCTCTGACACAGCAGTTTTTCTCTGTTTTTACCTTCTCCTCTTTTTATAACGATGATAGAGAAAATTATGAAACATGCTGACATAACATGAAACTGTGAGAGGGGATGATTCAGTGTGATGTCAGTTTTCAACTTCTCATAAATGAGTCCTCACCATCAACTTCTATGTGCATAAAAAGTTAACTTCTATGCTTATATTCGGTATTTTTAAATCTTCATGCTTTATTTTTACCTTTCATTCATCTCCAACAGGAAACAGTGAAGATGGTCCTAAAGACTGAGTGATCCTGGCCCTGACTGGAGGAGGATGAATCCCTTCTCAACACAGAAAAGCATTATTATAATTATTATTATTATGATTAATATTATTGTTATTATATCTAGATGTTTTACAGAGTTTTATTTTTATCAACGTTTTGGGGCATCCGACCCTGGTGACCCTTTATGAGACAGTGCCTCATATTGTAGTGAAAGACCCTCAATGATTTGCACATTTTTGTTTTTTTTTTTGTTTATAATGAAGACAGAGCGACAGCTGTTGGCACGGTAACTAGATCTGGGACAAAATGAGATCACACAAAGTATATCCGTTTTAACGTAAAGTATATGACGATAACTTATTTGCTGAATGCGACATCAGTGTCTGTCGGTGACCTTGCGGGTTGTCTCATTTGTGACGTTTAAGAGTTTAACTGAAAATAAAAGGAGATTTAAAAAAAATAAATAAAGTGAAACGACAGGCTTCGTAGCTGCTCCTCTCATGCTGCTTCGGTCCATCTGCTTACCATTGACCTGGCATTTTTAAGAGACTGTTACATCGTCAGAGCCAGTGAACAGTCCTCCATGATTGTTGCATAAGACACTGTGGTGAATTTCCAGGACGAAATGTGACTTTTTAACAAATTTAGGCAGTGTCTTAAGAGTGTTTTATTCCCTTATTCAAGTTGAATCCAAATTATAGTGATAGTGGGACTCGGTGTGCTGTGTTAATGGTGTTTCCACTCACTTCTCACCACCACTGACTCTGGTTAAAGATGACCTATGAAACAATGTCTACAGCTAGCGTATCTATCTGAAGCACTTTGTATAGCCAAACTGGGTCTTTGTTTGTAGACGTCATGGCTTCGTTGCTCGACATCTCCCCATCCTGGAATGACAAATCCAAACATGTGAGATCCCTTATATGTGTCCACAGTGCCGGCTACAGTTTCACGTTAATTTGTGCCATGAAATTTATTATTTAACATTTCATCAGCAATAGAATGACACCAAAGGGATGGCGAGGTGTTTCATCACAGTCCAGAAGTGTAACGAGCATAGACTGTATATAGAATGGACGCCGTCTGCCTCCTCGCTGGGTGAAGTCACTCAGAGAACAGCGCCCTCTGTTGATGGGCTGCAGTATAGGTCATAAATCTGACACAGAACATAAATTTTTCTCCCCCCTGCTTGTAATGTTGACATGTAGTTACTGTCAGACTGGTTTGTGCTCAAGTCCTCTTTTTTTCTGTGAAGCTCCGTTTTTGAAAGTTATTAGGGGGTTCGTGTTTGCTATGATTGACACCTGATACAGCCTATGGGCGTTCAGGGATTGCGTAGCTCTCCCGGGAGGGATACGCTGTTTGAGCCGAGCGTCATTACAGTGACTCTCTGCGACTGCGCGGCGGAATGCGCACAACGCTAGATCCCGGAAATACCGAGAGCTTCTTGGCTTCAAATCCGTATACAGGCGGTAGGCGGAACCAGGTTGTCCATAGTATATACAGTCTATGGTAACGAGTCATAAATGTTGAATGTCAGTATCATTTAACGGATCTTTTCTACGTCTATGTATTGTTCATAATCTCACACATAATGTATTCGATTACATTTGTGCTGGATGCTGGGGTATGATGTGTACAAAGAAAAAAAAAGACATTCAAAATACGACATATCTCACATATTGTATGAATGTTTTATCAACATGTAGCAGGTAGCTCGACTTGAATTACTACCGCTGTAAGGACAGCTCTCCTCCCCTTCTCTGCGCTTCTGTAGCTCAAAGTGCCAATTCTGTTTCCTCTCCCACCTTACCTTTCATTCACCTTCTTGCACGAGGAGAACACGCTGCGAGTATTTTTGTACCGTTTGAAAAGATGCAATCCAGGATGACAGTCTCTCAAATTTGCCAAAGAGATATTTCAAAGCCTGTTGGCTAAAAAAAAAAAAAAAAAACAGTGGCAGGTGAGGTGGGCTGTTCTGAGCAGGGGTAGTAACAACATTGCTGTTCCCATGTCTCCCCCCTCCTCTCCCCTCCCTCCCTCACTCATTGCTATTGTACTATCCCAAACAAATAAATCCAAATACTTTTTTTCCCCTCCTGTGTCAGGTGATGATTACAGTCAAAAACACGGATCAACAAGACACGTAAAAGTTTGACGTTTGTGCCCATTTAGATTTATTTCGCACAAGATAATTTATAAGCACTTTCTGTACAGGACAGATATAATACAAACAGAGACAAGAGTGAGAAATAGACGATGAGAGCTATATAAAAGTAAAAAAAGCGCTTTAAAACGTGCCGTTTCATAAAATCCTGATCAAATCACTCAGTGTAAAGGACTCCCCTCTTGGAAAAACTGCTTCCTTATGATGTACCTTTTCATGAGGCTACATACACCTCGATTCTCTTCTATCGTCTCTGCTTCAAGCCTTTTTTTTCCCCAAACGGGTTAAAAATACTGAGCATGAATGATCAAAAGCCATGATAATACTGTACCTTATATGATAAGCTACAACTCCCTCAAAGCGACTGTACATAGAAAAAGACCCACTGAGTGTGCGCTGTATTTCGTCTTGTGGCTTAGGTATTAGAGAAATTTAAAGAGACAGTACGAGTCAGGATATTAAACTGTACTTGGAATTGCACTGAGTCAGAGTTTGCTAAGCAAAAAGGAAAAAAATAAACGAGAAAAAGACTTAAATTTACAAACAAAGACAATAAAAAGGGATATTATCCCTATTAGATTTTCCAGAATATAAAAATACAAGTCAAACTGTTATGCATGTACCCTCAAATCAGTTTACAGGATGATTGAGTCAATGTGGCATGAAGCGTACGTTAAAAAAATCGAAGGCACAGTTCCCACATTGAAAATATGGGTGCACTGTATCACAACTAGTTAATATATATATTTATATCGTAGTGTTTCACTAATCAAAAGCAGAATTATTAACTCACCAGCCGTACAGTATCCTATCTTTGATTCTGCATCCGTCCATCCAATCCACCTTCAAACCTAAACAGCTAGCGCAGACTGCTCCTTCACTGCTTATGAATGTCCTCAAATGAAATTTACAGTGTAGAGTGTTGGAAGAAGAAATAACCCAAAGTAGAAGTGCAGATAAAAGATAATGTGACAGCACCACTAGTAAAAACCTATTAGCCATACCTTATACACAAATGGTGCAATCTAAAACAACTAAGAAAAATCTGCTGACACCTTTTTGCACGGAAACGCCCAGAGTGGGGTGTTCAGAGTTTGTGAAAGCATTCGCAAAAAACATCATCATGAGGATTAACCTGGAGTGAGTCTCCACGGGAAAGAAACTAAAGAGTGTAACATATTCCTTGAGGTGATTTCCCCCCTCAGTCGCACACGCGGGCCCCTCTTGTGGTAACATCATACAACTCAAAACTTGCTAAAAGTTATTGATTTATTTATTTATTTTTGTATGCACTTCAAAATTTAAGGGCCCGTGAGTGGAGAAAAAAAGGGGGGACAGCAGGCTGCTAGTAGAAGATGGGTGCAGATCGGTCGTCAGTGTAGGTGGGCCTGAGGTAGACCTCCAAGGAACGGTCACTGCGGGGAGAGGAGGGGTGAGACAGGGAACAGTGACAGTTAGGTTGAACACTTGTGGAAACTTAGAGAGCTACTTGGCCGACTACGTAACCACACCCAAAGAAAGCCCCATCCTTCCTTTAGATTATCTATTGTGAGTTTTTGCAAGCATGTTGTGAGGAAAGTATGGGTTAAAAAAAAAGAGCTTGCAATAAGCACGCATGCAGGGTTAGTGTCTCTTCTGTATGAAAATATATGAGATATTCTTTTACAACCCGAGGCCCAAGACCGACAGATCCAAATCCTGCCATGTCCACATGAGCCAGAGGACAGAAAAGAAGCACTGACTTCCCAGCGTTGTACCACAGCCAGGCAGCCAATGAGAGCAGAGAGAACCAGGCAGTTGTAAAAAAAAAATTTTTAAAAAGAAGATACGTGATTGGCTGAGAGGCAATGGAGGCTGGTGACTTACGGAGGTCCTGTTTCCTCAGAACCGAGACAATTCTGGACCCAAACTGGAAGGTAAAGAGAACCTTTGGGTTTGAATGGCTCATCTTTCAGATCATGCATGGGTCACATTTTTGTAAACAACACTGCTGGTTAGTCTGGTGCAAGATGAATAGACTGTAAGTTGACCATCAATACAACTATCACTGTGATGAGGAATGGAAACGACACTTCATGCTCGGCATGCTTCAACTGTCAACTGCAGGACGTGTCTGCAGCGCACCCTAGTGGAGGTAAATCTCCTGTCAATGCAGTGAAATCAACTCAATATCAGACTGAAAGAAAACTCAAAAACTGAATGCATACTGTTCACAACACACACACACACAAACACACATTCACAGCCTCCTTTCTTAACAGTGACACAGATCAGCACAGATGCGATGAGGGTTAAGGATGAGGAAGAGGGGAGGAGGGGTGAAACTGCATGCTTGGACCACAGCTGTGGCTTGAAATGACTCACAAATAGGATTTCTTAAAAATATGCATATGACAGTTTGGGCGTCGTAACCTTGACGAAAGAGGAAGTTCATGAAAACTACAAACCGCAGTCGTCGCTGATGGAACAGATTTCGCGTCAGACCAGACTGTTTATTAATATATAGAGATATGTTTTATTCAGAATACCTTTGTAAAAAGTCACCATACATTCAGGGTCAATTTTCAGTATCACATTTTTCTGGTTTCCCTCCACAGCATGCATAAGATAAACACTTCAACTAATCAGTATTTTCTCATTGTTTCTGCAAAGATTTTTTCTGTTTTCTTTTTTTTTTTTTTTTACAAGGACAATAACTGTTTTTGAAAAGAAAGAAAGAAAGAAAAAAAAAAAGACCAAAAAACTACATAGCCACTCAGGGAATACAATCATAAATAACACTGAGAGCTGCAAAAGCCGGGGTTTTTTTTTCTTTTAACCTCAAAGTAATAAACAGCTGTTCTTGAGGAAACTCAGCAGAAGATAAGAAGACCTCTTCAGAGTCGGTTCAACTTCAGACAAAAACAACAAACTGAAGTTTATTGAGGTGAGGCGCTTTTATTTTAACCCAGAATTTTTGGCAGTAAGTTCAGCCGTTTTATGGCAAAAAGACTGCAGCTGGCGGTGGAAAGATTCATCGAAAATTGAAATGAAATCATGGTGATCATCATACAGTGCAATTTGGTCGACTGACGGAAACATTTTATATATATATATATGTATAGATATATATACTGTATATATTCTTGAAGCTCATTTTTAAGTTTGCTTCATTGCACACAAAGTATGTGTTAAATAGAAAAGAAAAAAAAGAAGCAAAGTAAGGCAAATATGACACAAACCTTTTGGACGGTAAAATAAAGTCTAGCACTGACACAGGGAAGCACAGCGCCACCTATAGGATCTCTCAGAACAGAAACATTGTAATCTGCTGCACAGCCTTATTTTGAAAAGCTTTTTTTTGTTTTATTTTGAGCATGTGTGTGGTGGGTGGGAGCTCGATAATACTGCGCCCCACATGTGCTTGAAAAAGGCCATTCAGCCAGTGGCTCTAGTACAACGACATTGAAGTCTTTTGGCACTTGTACAGTACATGAACATGTCCTTCAGTTTGACAAAATGACAAAACCATGTACATGCATGAAAGACAAGCAGTAGCAAAGGCAGTCTCTTGACAGATCAGTCCGTGATGGGGGACTGTGATCAGAGATAGAGTATTCAGAGTCCATAGCGCTGCATGCCGAGCAGGTAGGCCCCGCTCGGGCTCTCTCGCTCAATGCAATCCTCCACCCACCAACCGCTACTGTCCACACCGACACCACCAGCAGCAGCACCCAGGATTGGACGGATTGGAAGGAGGAAAGGAAGGACCCGGGGAGGAAGAGAGGACAGAAAGGAGGGATGAAACTGGCCTCTTCCACTTGGAGAAGGGGTGTGTGTGGAAGGCAGAGGAGGAGGAGGAGGAGGAGAGGTGGAGATAAGTGGACAGGAGGGAGGCTAAGAGGGGGGAAAGATGGGGTAGGTAGGTAGGTAGGTAGGTAGGAAGAGGCCCCTGTGCTATCCGGAGCTGTCTGTGTCTGTCTGTATGTCTGTTCTCACACAGTCGAAATCAATTTGCCATCAGGACTGTCACTGTGGAACAAAGAGAGAAGGAAGCTTGCCAGGTCGGACACACTCAGAGAGAAATGGAGAAAAGACAAGACAGGCACGAGGAGGCAGGGTGCACTTTTGGAGACGTGTCGGCGGGGTCAGGAATTAAAGTCGCCCCCGCCTGCAACCACATCTCCAAACACACCTGCCGTGATCAGGAAGATTGGACTTCCAATTCCCTCATCAACACTTTTTATTCATCAAATATATTTATCATGCTTTTAAAGGTTATTTATCCTTCGTTTACGAGTATTTACTGTTGATGAGAAAATCAAGTCATCTCCTCAGCTGGAGGGATGTAGTGTTAGATCAGTCTGTTTGGGGTGAATACACCCTGCAGGACAGTGTCGTCTCAAAATACAGAAAATACAGAAAAAAACACACTCAGCGCAGACAAGAGTACAGAAAACAGCTCGACACTGGTGCCCAAAGCCCCAGGCTGACAAGCACTGATGACTGAGATGAAGTCAGCATGATGTCTACTGCACAACAAACGCACGCGCTCCTCTACGCCGCTTTATTCCTCTCACCCAAACACACACATTTATATACAGTTAAAGGAGGATGTACTTCCTGATTGGACAGAAACAGGCACAGCATCATTCCTAACCCTGACCCTCACATAGCTCTGGTGAGTCAGCAAGGACTTGGGATGGGATTACAGAGAAAAATATACGGGGGCCAAGAGCACTGTGACAATACACCGAGACACTAGACTGAGTTTATTTATTTAAAGAAAAAGTAAAAGTAAGCAAGAGCAAAGAGGGAAGGACAAAGAAGACAGTAAAAAAAAAATAATCGAAGAAAACACTGAAACTTTTAAAGCGAGGGGACTTAAAGCTACGCTCATGAGCTCATTAAACTGTTTGCAAATCAACTGATAGATACGAGAGTCTGAGTTTGATGATCGATTATTGTTAGTCCAACCAAATCAAGTCAAAGCAGATCAGCCTGTCTTGTCTCTGGATACATTCTGGTTTCAGATTATCAAACAGGTTTTTTTTTTTAAAGACTATAAACAATGAAATATATAAATACAGCAAAGTTTCATAATACTAAATCCGGGTGATTGTCTGACCTCAATTCTTAAGAAGTTAGGATGCTGTTTAACATTGTGATAAAACAGATGGTAACACTTCACAATAAACATAACTTATGATAAGCAGATAATTTATTCATGTTTAATCATCATTTATAAATAGCATATAGACCAATAATAAATTGTATATTTTACCATTTTAAAAACCTAACCCTAACTTTACAATAACCATCTTGGTAATGTTTATAGGTGGTTTAAAAAACCAAATATTAACCATTTACAAAGTGCTGCTGACACACATTTTAATCTAGATGTTTTACAACCCTACATGAACCTTCAATAAATAGTCCATTGATAATTAATGAAAATTATCAATCATAATTTCATTGCTTGTTAATGGTAAAGTAACTATTAACTAACATTAATAAACTATTTATTTGTCCTTTATAATTGCTCTATATTCTGTTTTAAAATGATGATTAAACATTAATAAACTATATTTTTACCATTTATAAATTATGGTTATTGTAAAGTGTTACCAAACAGATTTTAATTGTTTATAAATACTTTTAAATGTTATAATTAATTGAAAAGGTGCAAAGACAACATATCAAATGTTGGAAATTGAAAGAAAAATATAGTTATATGAAAAAAATGCTCATTCTAAATTGATGTAAAAAGAAATAAATTACTACACGGAGAACAAAACACCTGAAACATCCCCCTAATGATGATCCCCATAATCCCATCCCCATAATGATTGCAGCAGGTTAGTCACATGACTGAGTCTCTCTGTAGTTAAGAGAGGACGAGGTTTACCACTCTGTGAGAGACTGCGTGAGCAAACACTTCAACACAGCGTTTGATCATTGGTACATAATGCTATTAAATGATCTTCGTATAGAGTGGAAAAGCTGTAAACAGTACCAGATGACCTCTATATTTGGGCTTTCATGCAGCACTGCATCAAATAGAGACATGACTCTGTCGTGGAAATCACTGCATGTGCTCAAAATCACTTTGTCTATAAATACATTCACTGCTGCATCTACTTGCACCGTGCGCAAAGGAGAAACTATACAAACCCCTGGTCCAGAGCCCACGTCCTCTGTAGGGACATCACTGCCTGTCTTCAAATTTTGACCCAAATGCAGCATGGATGTGAAACTGACCTGTTACCTGCTCCAATCTGAATATCATCACCCTATTAAAATAATGACCTAAGTGATTATTTGACAAAAATACATTTTTGGCCTCAATCATCTCATGATTGAGGCCAAAAACTCATTTTCCTTTATCAGTCAAAATGTCACAAAGTGGTCCTCTCTGTTCCTAAATGTTCACCGAGTGTCAGTGAAGCAACACAACATTCAGTTTCAACATTTGATATGTCGTCTTTGCTCTATTTTCAGTCAGTTTAAACCATCAAATTCTTCTTTGACCAACATTTTACACAGCGTCACAACCTATTATTGAAAACAGGGTTGTACCTAGTTTTAGACACTGTGCAGTGCTGCAAATGAACTGTATGCAGAATTTATGTACTAGTTGTTCATTAACACCCTTTTCAGTTAGTTATGAATAAATTATATATTTAAAAATAAATCATAAAAACACAAATCTAACAAAATATAACTTAAAATGCTTCTTTAAAATTCACAGAGTAGGTTTATTTTTTATTTTTACTGTGCCTTTACCTATTTTTGTGCACTGCATATCAGACATTACAGCACATTTACATAGAGAGTGTGTTTAAAGAACTTTTTAGGACACTGTTTGTTAAACAGATGTCTCTCTTAATCCATGATATTACCATGAAGGTGAAGTATTATCACTCTTAATTGAGCGCTGTTAAAGTCTTCTTCTAATCGACTATACGATTTAAAAAGTTCTGATCGAGCAGCAGCTGTCACAGCAGTAAGAACTTGTTAGAGGGAAAAAAAAGGTGCTTACCTTGTGGCAAAGCGGCCGTCGTAATCCTCGATAGCAGGCTGAAAGGAAAGAAAACATTTTTACTTTCTGTTCAAACATGCTTTGGTTTGAAAACAGCTGCTGTACTCGAATACAAACACTAGGTGGCAGCACAAATCCAGAAAAGTCTCCAGTTCAGACACCGCAGGATTACTCATATCCAATTACATAACACAAGGCTGAACCAGATGGAGCTACAAATTAATTTGTCATGTATGTAACCTACCTGTGTGCCAAAGCCTGCCATGCTGTAGGGGCGTGGACGGGTCTGTGCGAGGCTCTGTGCCAGCAGTCGGGCGGTCAGGCCGTAGTCGGGTGTCGGCAGTGATGCATCGCTCTCCAATAAGTTTCCTGTGCTGCTACTTTTACCGTGGTGCAGGCTGGGAGGAGGAGGAGAAGGAGGAGGATAACACAAAGGTTTCAGATTGAGACTCATTACCTTGAAACATGACATAAAAATAAAAATAAAAAAAAACGCCACATACTTCACTTTGAGCTTCTCACTGTCGCTCTCAGGCAGCACTCGAGTGTAGGAGAAAGGGAACCATCCACGCCTGGGTAAAGAAAGATTTCCATGACTTCTACAAACGCCAACAATTCCAACAGTGCAGTTTCAGGTACGACTGAATACATGAATACATTACATCTTGTTCTTCTCGTTCTCTCCATAGTGCCAGCCGTCACGGGCTTCAGGCACTAGCAGGGTGATGACATCTCCCTCAGAGAAGCTCAGCAGGGTGCCGTTGTCACCTGCAGCATGGGAGAAGATGGCCTGGACACGGGCGCGCCCGTTCTTTTCCAGGCCTGCTGCCATGGAACTGGACCTGGGCAGGGTCCGTGTCTCTCCTGAAAACAGACAGTGAAATATTTTTAATGATATCAATATTAAATTTGCTGCAACCAATTACAGGTAGCATTCAGGTCTCTTCTGGGATTAGCAGCCAGGCAGATGCTCTAAATTTAGCTATTTCTTAAACGTGCTATTGTACAGCGGTGGTAAACATGAAGTGCTCCTGAGAACACCTTAAAATAAAATGATGTGAGCGGGGTTGACGTGCAATCAAATATTCTGCTTGTTATTTTCCCGCCGCAGCTCCAGCTGAAGCTGCTCATTAAATCTGAGCGGCGTTGGGATAACTCACCCACAGGGTTCTTGTTCTTAGCGGGGGCAGGCCGGCGCACGGGGAGGGTGTTGGAGTAGACATCGCTGACCTGTCTCTGAGGTTGAGCCTGGGACTGTCCCGGTGGCTGAGTCTGAGGGGACGAAGGCCTGACTTGGGACATGGTCCCCCCATCTGTCCAATATTCCTCCCCATGGACTCCTGTTGTCCCGTTGACCATGGACATGCCATCAGGGCCCATCAGTCTCTGGAATTCACAAGCAGATGTAAGGGTGTGGAGTACAGATGGCCTCTCCAGCGCGATACTACAGCGGCAATTACTTTGAGATTAAGAGATGATGTGTTAGGTTACACCTGCTGTAGTCATAATGGATTTAGATTAAAAAACACAAATCACAACTGTGTCAGCTGTGGCAAAGAATAAAATGTAGACCGCTCATTATCCTGAGTGTAATCTTTGAATTAACACCAGAGGGAAGCTCGTCTCATTTGCATCTGAACCAGAAGACATCGGAAAAGTGTTATTTGATTTTATTTATACATCCGGCCAAAGACAGGTGAATAAAAACAGATGCCAAATGGACATATAGATAAGAGATTAGAAATAACACTCAACAAATAAACCACCCTGATTTTGCACAAGCTGTCAGAATAACAGAAACTAGTCTCTGCATCTTATTGATACCAGGATTCAGCATATGTTGCCTCAAGCACCTAAAGTCGAGGTAAACTTCGCCTACTCTGTGCAACTCTCGTCTATATTTAGTCCACCATTTCTCCTTCTTTAAATCCCTGCAGCATATTTCAACATGGGGTTGGCGCATGCATCATGGAGTGGCAATTTTGGAGATTGCATTTGCAATTTAAATACCCAAAAAACCTTTCAGTATTTCGAAATGAACAGCAGACTCTCTCTCAGCCCTGCACGGATTTTCTCTCCTCTACACTGATCCGGCAGTAAAATCAAAATAATGCGATCCCAGTTGAGTAATTTGGCTTAATTAGAAACAAGCTGGACATTGTAATGGATTAATGATGAATTAAAGCTATTCACTCTGCCGTGAAGTTGATGTTAGCTCGATTTTTACACATCCAATAATAGCCGCAATTGTTTATTTATTCCCTGGACTCACCGCTGGATGTCCAAGGCCGCTGCCCATGAACACCGCCAGCTCCGGGGGCACAGGCAGAGGCTGCGCCCCTGGGATGGGGTCTGAGATGACCAGGTTTGATTTGGAGGTGTGCAGGGGGCTCGTGCCACCCAGAGCGGCAGAGCCCATCTGCTGAGCCAGGAGCATGGCCCTCTCCGGCAGCTTGTTGGGGTCTGAACAGGCCTGCTGCCAAACTGGGATCTTCTGGGTCAGAAGGTCTTTACCCTGAAGGAGGGGAAGAGAAAGATTAGAGAAACAAAGAAAAACATGAAAAACTAGATTACGGCCCCTGGAGCTGAGACCTACAACACCAACACAGAAAACTGAAAACATGAACCCTGAAACAAAACAACAGCATATGAACAGCAGACTTTCATTTTCAGTCTTTTAAAGGACGGCTTTACGCCAGATAAACTGTGTCTCTGAATCTCTCTCCAGGGCATGTGACTAATCAGACTGTTGACCACCAAAATCTTTGAGTCCAAGCGTCTGTTTCTGCCAAATCTGAAGATTTTCTGCGGAAGTTTCTGATAAACTCAGGCATTATGAGAGGACTGAAAAAAACGACAATATAGGATGAAAAATGTCAAAATGGATTCGATCCTTTGCCATCAACATATCATTTACTCTCATCGTTTGAAACCATGTGGAGGCTTGAGATTTTGAGAAATTGTTTTGGTGCTTTGGCTTCATTAACAGTCCAACAAACAGCTTTAGAGGTGAGAATTCAGCGGACTTCACGCTGAAGAGCAGATTTTTAGCCGCGCTCACATGGAGGTATCTCTCCAAAAAACATGATCTGAGGCTGGATCATCTTTACGTGACTGCTGATGGGTTCGTGTCCTGCTGAAAAGCTAGTGGATGATACTACTCGTACTATAAATGAAAACCAAAACACTTCAGGAACAAACTCACGCCCCACGCCTGCAGGTTCCGACATTAACAGCAGAACTTGTTAATCTAAATCTAAAAATGCAGACAGGATCAGTTAGGAGCATTTTCTTCTTTCTTTTCCGACATAAAAAAAAGTGTTTTTCCTGGAGTTTTTTTTTCCTCGCTGTGCATCCTTGACCCCGGTCCTATGGGCGGTTATGATAATGCGCTGCGTGGGTGGGGATGTAGGACAGACGGACACACAACCAAACTGCCCACTTCAGCAACTCACAGCCCCGTGGACAAAGTTGTTCTCTCCATGGAAACACAAAACACACAGATACATGTAAACACGCATAACAAGACGTGTCACACACCTGCACGCACTTACAAAACACAGACAGTATGAACCCTTTTGAACGCCCTTATTTGGAGCTTCTGCATCTTTCTCCCTCTCTCATCATACACACACACACACACACACACACACACACTAGGAACCCTTTGGGAGAGGGTTCTTCAGTTTGCTGAAGGTGAACTCTTCCCACGCACACCCCCATCCTGATTAATGACTAGACTCCATGTTGAAAAGGGAGGCTGCAGCACACACACACACACACACACACACACACACACACACAAATGCACACACACACATATGCGCACACACTCTGTCCTCGTCCAGTCACTTCTTTAGGCTGGCAGCTCACACCCAAGAGACCGCTGTGCTCTATTACCACACAATATCAGATTCATGGGTAACGGATAGGCGTACATTCGTAACACAAAGCTGTAAACAAATAAGATCGAGCGCGTTAAATGGACTCAGTCCCGCGTTGTAACCCTCCGTTGCTCTTCACGGTTCAATATTGGTGGAAATCTGTTTTTTATTCACACGTTCTTCGCCTCAAATGTCAACGCAAGAGTGAAAATAACAAGCAGGTTTTATGAAGTCCTCTTGTGACTGTTGTAAATAATAAACCTCAAAAACCAAACTCCTATTCCTTAAAATGAGCTTTAGTTTGAACCTGTTTTCTCTCCACAGCCGGGGTTTTGGTGCCTTTTCCTTTTCAACTCTTTTATCTGAGAGGAGGAAGAAGAAGAAGACGAAGTTGGCCGGACGCTCAGAGGTGCAATGATGGATTACTGTCTCAGACATAGCTGTCAGCTGGGCATCGTCTACAGTCTTAATGAATTTTTAAAATGAAGAGGCCCATGTGAGCGGTCAAAGTTAATGCGACTTTGAATTATATATCTCCTCGTATCCACTACAGTTAGATTCAAATAAAACACGTTTGACAGCTCAAGACAAAAGAATAAAGAGAATACATTACTTTTCACGGAAGTGAGCGGTGAAAACATATGACTTTGATCGCACAATGAAGCAGAAATGTGTTTCTGATTTACAGAGAGCTTGAAAAATAAAGCTAAAGTAGTCTGAGATGTATCAGATACTATTATAAACTTCATGTCTGGACATTTACTCTGACTTTACACTCTGTTTGTTGCTCCGTAAAGCTCTAATTCAAAGTGAATGAAGCCATAATGCTAACAGGTTTTCCTCTTTTAAATAAAAGATTTACGTAATGTCTCCTCTCTGACAAATGAGGTTTGATTTTAATGAGAAACCTGTTTTGCTAGGTTTCGTTGTTACAACATGGCAAACATTTCAGTCTGTGTACTTGACGGCCAACAAATGTTCGTTTTCAAATGAAAAAATGAAAACACCTGTAAGGAATCATGAGGCGAAACACGGAAAACAAACCTTTTCCATTGTTTCATTTTGATCATAAAAATCAGAGATTGAAAAAACATGTCAGTGTTTGACTTTCTGCGATGTGGTTTTCGATGGAAATCTAATATCAAAATACGTGCATGGAAATCTTGTGTTTCATGTTACATTCGCAATTTTTTTTTGTTGTGACCTGGAAGTTTTCAGATATAAAAAAAGAAAACCCGTTGGCCTCCATTTCCCATGATGCCTGTATTGGAAAGTTCTCAAAAATGGTGAAATGAGACTCCAAATAACGTTAACCAAAGTTTACTGACCTTTTCAGTTTTTAAAAGATACAAACGTGGTGAAAAATAGCAATACAAAATAAGGGTGGCTTGGTCTCACAGCGTGTCAGCTAATCACATGTCGCTAGCGGCTTCTCCGAATATATTTTTCTTTCTATCAACTTCACACAGACTGACTAGAACTTCCTGGTGACTCCTTCAAAATAAAAGCAGCGTATAGTCTTTCCAAAATAAACTCAAATAGTGCATATCAATACAAAAACATGCAGTAAACAATTATGTTTCTCCATATGTTTTTAACTCTAAACGGTGCAATCTTCTTTTAACTATTTAATACTTATGTAAAGTACTACCTTTTAATAAACATAAATCACAACATGCAACAAATCACAACATTCTCCCGCCCCATGAACAATGTTCATGAATACTAATCTATGCCTAAATCAAGTTATTTCCAAAGGATAGATCAGTTGCACAGGTCTTCTCAGTAGTGTCCCTGTAGGGGTACGAACTGTGCATGAGCGTGGCAGTCCATCTCGCCCTGGAAACAGCTCTTCAATCCTGCCTGTCTTCCAGATTTGTCGAGGCATTTTGTCCTCTCCAATCAGCACGACGTCTCCCACTTTGAGCTCAGTGGGTCTGGATGTGTCACACTTATGTGCTGATTTCAGATCCAGTAGATAGTCCTTGCGCCAGCGGGTCCAGAAGGTGTTTAGGAGTCTCTGGCGGTACTTCCATCTGCGTCCCATGTTCTCTCTGCTTAGATTGGCTGACTGAATTTCTGGAATCATAGTTTTTGGTGGCAGGGAAGTCAGTCTTTTGCCGACCAGAAAATGAGCGGGTGTCAGGGGTGTGGGCTCATCTGCATCGTTGTGCACATATGAGAGTGGCCTAGAATTCAGCACAGCCTCTGCCTCTGTGAGAGTGGTGGTTAACTCCTCGAAGTTCAGTGAGGCCCTCCCTAGGACTGTTTTTAGGCATGTCTTCACTGACCTCACGAGTCTTTCCCAGAAGCCGCCCCACCAAGCTGCTCTCTCAGCAATAAACCTCCACGAGATGCCCTTTTCGGTGAAGAATGCAGTGAGCTCCGGTTCCTTGAATGATTTCCATAGCTCCTTCAGATCTTGGTCTGCTCTCTTAAAGGTCTTGGCATTGTCAGAATAAATGACCTTACATAGCCCACGTCTCGCAATGCATCTCTTCAAGGCTAAGAGAAAGTTCTCTGTGGACATGTCTGATACAAGCTCTAAATGCACTGCTCTAGTGACAGCGCATGTGAACAGTGCAATGTATGCCTTCTTTGTCTGGCTGTTTGACTTGACGTACAGCGGGCCAGCGAAATCAATGCCCATGACTTCAAAGGGTGGGGACTCTGTAATCCTGTCTCTTGGTAAAGGAGCAGTAACCTGCTGAGCTGGTTTCACCTTTAGTCTCTTACAGATGTGACAGCGTGCCACAATCTGCTTAACCAGCTGTCTGCTTCTCAATATCCAGTAGCTCTCCCTTATCTGCACTAGAGTATCCCTGATCCCAGAATGCATCACCTTTTCATGGTAGTTTTGAACTAAGAGCTCAGTGTATCTGTGTTTTGGGGGGAGCACCCATGGGTGCTGTTCTCTGAAACTGAACTCCGACTGTTGCAGCCTTCCTCCCACACTGATAAGGCTGTTCTCATCAAGGAATGGTTTCAAGTCCTTGATTTTTGAATCCTTGTCAAGTTCTTGTCCTGATTTCAGTAGATTTAATTCTTGGCTGAAACCTTGCTCTTGTGTCACCTTTATCCAGTACATTTCAGCTGCAGTGAGCTCCTCTGCAGTGAGCTCTCCATGGGTCCTTTGGCTTGAGCGGGCATTGTTCACAAACCTCTTCACCCACGCAGTTAATCTGAACACTGTTCTCAGTCTACTGTACTTATCAAGGTCTAACAATGGTTCAGCTGGATCAGTGCTAGTAAATTGTACTGCTACCATGAACTTAGTCCTAAGCTCAGCATTTGCCTCCTCAGCAGTACAGTCCTCTTCAGTCTCAATTGTGTCTGTTGGTTCAGCTGTCAGTGACGTAGCAGGCCCGTTCCACCACAGCTGACTCTGGATGAGATTGTCCACACTCTGGCCTCTGGTGGGTAGATCAGCAGGGTTCCTTTTGCCACTGATGTGTGACCATGATTCTGGGTTCGTCAAATTTTGAATTTCAGTCACTCTGTTTTCCACAAAGGGCTTCCATTTGTGTGCTGTGCTGCGTATCCAGTGCAAGGCGATCATCGAGTCTGTCCACATCCTGAGCTGATTCTTTTCCATCTTCAGGGACTTAAGCAGATTGTTTCCCAATCTGGCTCCGATCAAGGCTCCCATCAGCTCTAAGCGTGGTAAAGTTAGTTTCTTTAGAGGGGCAACTCTCGACTTTGATGCTACAAGGCTTGTCACAATTTCCCCATCCTGGTTCTTTCCTTGCATGTATGCAACAGCACTGAATGCCTTTTCACTAGCATCACAGTAGACATGTAGTTCCAGTGACTGCATGTTTGGTTGGATTTCAATGTGATACCACCTGGGAATCGCCACAAGGTGGAGCTGTGGCAGTTCTGAACACCACCGGTTCCATTCCTTTGCCAAGTCTGGGGGTAACTGGTCATCCCAACCAATTCCCCTCTCCCACAGTCGCTGGAAGAGGTGCTTCACCCTAATGGTGAACGGAGTGAGGAAGCCAATAGGGTCAAAAATACGAGCTGACGTTTGCAGCACGCTTCTCTTTGTGTTTTGCTTGTCCTTCAAAATGTCTAAAAGTCCATTTAAGTCAAACACAAAGTGATCTTCCTCTGGTTTCCACACTAGACCTAGCACTTTCAGTACATTCCCACAAGTGACAGGTTCTGTAGCTTGTTCGAATCCATTCGCTGTCCATTTTGACTTGAGATCTGGTGAGTTTGTGGCCCATTTACACAAGTTCATTCCAGCAGCAGACAGAATGTTCTTAGCTCCTGTTGTGACTGAATAGGCCTCCTCCACGTCACATGAGCTTGAAATCAGATCATCTACATATAAAGACTCTCTAAGTGCCTTTACTGCCTTTGGTTGGGCTGCATCATACTGTTGGATGTGCTTCCTAATGGTTGCAGCTAGGAGGAAGGGGCTTGGTGAAACTCCAAATACCACTCTACTCATTCTCATGATGCGCAGCTCATTGTCACAGTCCTTAGTGGGGGGTCCATGCAGCCACAAGAACCTGACTGAATCCTTGTCTTTGTCTGCTAGAGCTATCTGCAAGAAAGCCTTGGTGATGTCTGCAGTGAAAGCTATCTTGTGCAGTCGGAATTTGATAAGCATATCTAACAGATCAGGGTTTAGGTTTGGCCCAGTTAACAGACAGTCATTTAGTGAGGGGCTTCCAGCCTCATGTGATGAGGCATCAAACACGACTCTCAGCTTGGTCGTCGCTTTCTCCTCCCGGAGTACAGCATGATGAGGTAGGTAATATTTCACAGTTTCTGTTGACTCTGCTGCTGAGTCATTCTCTGAGACATCCTCACAAATTCCCTGCTGTAGGTAATCCTCCATCACATTGTTGTACCTTGTGTACAGAGTGGCATCAGCAACCAGTTTCCTCTTCAGGCTCTCAAATCTTTTCCTTGCAACTCTGAAGTTGTCTGGTAGAGGTGGGCTGTCCAGTCGCCATGGTAATTCAACTTGGTAGCGACCATCATTGAATGTCACTGTCTGCTCAAAGCTCTGAAGAGCCTCCGTATCATCTGGGTTTTCAGCTTTGTCATTTACAATGCCCAGTGTTTCTATTTCCCAAAAGGCATGCAACTGTTTTGAGATCTGAGTGTCCTCATCTAGACTGATGTGCATGCAGGTTGTGTCTGTTACACTAGACATTGGGACTGGCCCTTGTACAGTCCATCCAAAGGTGCTTTCTAAGCCCACAAGTGACTCTGTTAGCCTTTCCACCTTGCCAGTCATCACTTTCCAGTAAAAGTCAGCTCCAATTAAGACCAACAGCTCGGGGTCCTCAGCACCATCTAACTGGAAATCTGCCAGCTGCAGACCTCTCCTCTTGAATTCTCCTCTGATGTGCTCTCCAGGCACTTTCATAACAGCAGTGCACACTTGAGGGGTCTCAACTGCTGCAATTTCAATTCTTTGCTGTGTATTCCACACATTCTCCAGCACTACCTTGACAATGTTGCGCTTTGTTGCCATGGGACCAGCAGATCCAAAGGTGTGGAGGTTCAATGTCTCTTGCTTTAATACTGGCAGTTTCAGTGTCTTCACCAGGTTCTCATGTATAAAGCTTCTTTGACTGCCTCCATCTAATAGGCAACGCACTATTTTTCTACCTGCTGGGCCCTCTGTCCTGGCCTTAACTGTCTGAAGCAGCACTGTGTTGGGTTCATTAGATTTTGGTTTCATTGTGCTAGACACGGAAGAAACCACAGCATCTGTACTGTTGCTGTTAGCAGCGCCTGGCTGCACTTCTTGATCACAGACTGACTGGTGGTGTCTGCGACCACACAAGGCACATGAGACACCTTTGACTTTACAGTATTTGGCTATATGTTTGGGGCCTAGGCACACATAGCATCTTCCCATTTTTTTCAGTTTTTCCTTTCGAGCAGTCACTGTGGTGTCTGAGCAGTTTTCTGGCTTATGACTGGGACTGTCACAATACACACAGGTCTGAGGGGCATTACTGGCTGTGTGCAATGCAGCTGCTGAGGGCACAGTTTTGAATTTATTCTCATTGGATGGCACTTGTTTTGTGAACAGTCTGTGACTTTGGGAATGGTCCTTTTGGGAGCTGCCTGACCTGGTCAGTTGTAGTGCTCTCTCTCTACTTTGCACTTCATTTTGCAGGAATTTAATTAGCTCAGGCACCTTCCATTCACCATCAGTGTCCAACGTGCGTGTGTAGCCTAATGCCAAGTCATCTGGTATCAACTGCAATAATACAGGGCATAGCAGGGCGCCATATGTGTCACTGTGAACACCTAGGGACTCTAGGCTGCGAATCTGTATTTCACATTCATCATAGAGAAATCTCAGTGCTACTATATCTGAGGATCTTTTCACAGGTGTCAGGGTTAGCAGTTTTGACATGTGTGCACTGACCACAATGTCCTTTCTTCCAAATCTGTTCTTGAGCAAGTCAATTGCATTGTCGTAATTACTGTCGGTCAATGTGAGCCCTGCTACCGCTTTTGCTGCTGCTCCACTTAGGTAGGATTTCAGATAAGTGAACTTTTCCTTCTTACACAGCGCATCATTGGAGTGGATAGCAGTGTCATATTGACTCCAGAATTCTTGCCACTGGCTTATTTCTCCATTAAACCTTTCAATCACTAACCTGGGCAGTTTAACAGTTTGTCTCGCCAAGGAGTTATCAGAGCCTGCACTTCCCGCACTAGTGCGCCTACTCACGTACTCCTCCCGGGCACCAGGGCTTCTCTGGATCAGTATGCTTGCTCGTGTTTTCCATGAAATAATGCGATCCTGATATTCCTGTGAGGACTCTAATTCAGAGTCTAATTCCTCCGTCACAGTTTTCTCTTCAATGCCTCTGTCCAGTTCCGTTAATTGTCCCTCCTTGATCGTTAATAATGACAGCATTTCACGCAGCGAGTCATAGTCCCTTTCGTTTTCCCCTTTGTTTGTTTCCTCTTCCATACGAGCCAGTAACTTTGATACTGAAGAACGGACTGCTCTTCTCTTCTTCTTCATACGTTCCATGGCGTCGGACATTTCGTTCGTTACTTCCAATTCAAAACATCAAAAAAAGTCTCTGAGATCCCGGGTTTCGGCACCAAAATGTATTGGAAAGTTCTCAAAAATGGTGAAATGAGACTCCAAATAACGTTAACCAAAGTTTACTGACCTTTTCAGTTTTTAAAAGATACAAACGTGGTGAAAAATAGCAATACAAAATAAGGGTGGCTTGGTCTCACAGCGTGTCAGCTAATCACATGTCGCTAGCGGCTTCTCCGAATATATTTTTCTTTCTATCAACTTCACACAGACTGACTAGAACTTCCTGGTGACTCCTTCAAAATAAAAGCAGCGTATAGTCTTTCCAAAATAAACTCAAATAGTGCATATCAATACAAAAACATGCAGTAAACAATTATGTTTCTCCATATGTTTTTAACTCTAAACGGTGCAATCTTCTTTTAACTATTTAATACTTATGTAAAGTACTACCTTTTAATAAACATAAATCACAACATGCAACAAATCACAACAATGCCAGGCTGGCATCAAGTTCCCACAGTTCATTCATAGAAATTCAACAACCAGAGCTTCGCTAGGTGACAGAGCAAAAAGGTTATGAACGGGAGTTAACGTTTAACCCGTGGGATCCTCCAAAAATTCTTCAACAACATTTTACAATACAACAAGTATTTTGTTTCTACGACAACATCTTGGATCCCTAACCTCTAAATAGTCAACTATATGGGGTTAGCGCCATTTTGAGGGGTGTCTGAAACCTAATTGATCAATTCTAATGCCCCATATAGGCGACTCAAAATTTCCCATAAAGCATTGTAAAATGTAATGACCATCCGATGGTCACTCACCGGTGGTGGGCATCCCATAATGCATTGCGTCTCCAGCGGCAACGTCACAACAGTAGTGTCTGAAACCTTCAGTGATTGAACTCCCTACATAGTCAGCTATATAGTGTCACCCCATATGGGGGTTAGGGGTTAGAGATGGCACTTATGGGAAATGCAGGAAAAACATGGCCGATGTATCAACACACAAAAAAGTTCCTTATGGCACCTTTAGGTACAGATTTTTCTCAAACTGCATCAGCAAAAGTAGGTGGACCATATTCTGACTCCCCAAAAAAGAGGACACATCCGGGTAAAAGATGACGTACGGTCACCCTTGCAAAAGTTAACGTCATTGCTTTTATTTGAGACTTGGATTTACCTTGCCATGGTAGGCGCTGCTGTTCTTGGCCACAGCACATTGGCGGTCCACCAGGAAGCAGTACCTGCGGCGCTCCTCAGATAAGGCTGTCTTGTACCCCTCGGCGATGAAGGTGTCCAGCTCGGTCTGCTTACTGCTGATGGTCTCCACAAACTGACAAGAAGACAAATAGCAACACATTTTACTTACTGATAAACTTATTAGGACAGAATGAAGATTTAAAATTAGAATATATAAACCAAGTACTGAGAGATCTATGCACAGTTTTTAAGCTGCATGTTTCTATAGCTACAGAAAGAACAGAGAGACTATTTTTTAAAATAGCACCCCAGTTCACATTTACACAATCGCACATAAATCCAACAGGAGCTGGATTGCCAATCACTGCGCAGCTGCACTGGAACAATTAGGAGTTAAGTGCACCTCAGAAGTAATAGTTGTGTCTTACTCAGTGACTTTCTCTGGTCAGAAATGAAGCTCTTAGGATCCATCAGCCCCTGCAGAGTGCTCATAAAGATGCACTTATTGATTATATACCTCCGAAATGACACGAAAAGGGTGCGCTCACGGCCTCAGCTCTGTCAGCATGTCTTAGCGTGAGCGCTCTAAAAATGGGGAAATGTCATGCTCCCACTGAGTCTCCACTGATGCACACACTAAATGGTCGGTGACAGTAGTAGGAAGCAGCGGGAAGCGACATTTAGGCGCCTTGTACTGCATGTGTGCAAATATGTTTTTTTTACAACCGGCAGAGATAGCTGCAAGTTTAGTTGAAGTAGGCTGACTTTGTGGACTTTTGAGGCTAAAATCTTGAAGCATCTGCCGACAGATACTGACCTAGAAGAGAGTGATATATTTACTTGTGAGGTTTTGACCCAACCTCGATTTTATTCGGGGTACAGATAGATTTGAAGAGTATTATGCGGTACCTGTAACCAGAATTCCCTCTGAATCATTATTTGACAAAACTGCTAACCTTAATTCCCAATCCGCTTCAGAGTATCAAAAACTTTTCCGAGTTCATTACCGAGTCTGTTACATTTTTTATTTGAGTCTCAGCCAAAAGGAGAGAAATACATTTTCATAATCTGTGCTGTCATTCGAGCTGCCGTGTGAATAATAGTTCCTCAAGTTCGTTCAAGTTGGTCTCAAAGCATCGGAGGGTGTTTTTCGAAAGTTTTCGCTTTTAATTCCACACTGACTAATGAAGTTTGTGAAGTTGGAGATCCTGCCTGCAGCCAAATGGAAGTTCCTGCTGAGTGCAGATGCATTTCATTTAGTAACCACCAGAGCACAGTGCTTCCCCACTGCCAGCAGCTAGAGGTTAGTTCATGGGAAGTATGTGGAGGAACATTTCAGGTGGCTGAGCGATACTGAGCACAAACATTTCGAGTCGCCGGCTTTTCACATTAGCGCTGGAAGACTTCCAACAACGCCATCAGAGCTGAGGTGTCAAATCGTGCAGCCTGACCTTACTCTGTATACCTTCAGCTTAAAAAACGGCTCGGTTAGTCGCTTCAAAAGACTCGCAGTGTTGAGAGAACCGGCTGAGGATGTGTCCTAAAAAGGTGAGGAACCCTCTCTTCTTGTCAAATCCACATGGCCCAATTCTCCCAGCATTCAAAAGGTCACCAAAGTAACCCAAGACAATGAGCACAGTGGGAAAAGCCCGGGCAGACATCAGGCTCTATTATATCTGCGCGACCTCAGGTTACATCACAGCTGGAATGACTTGTTCTGCAAAGGTTAGGGATATAAAATGAAACCTGCTGCACGTCAATGCAGGTCTGATCTGTGTTTACCCTGACGAGGGCTGCAAAACACTGTTGCTGCTTTTTTTTGTTTTGCACTGGATGATTATTTGCACCGAAAGTGGAGAGATTTACTCCCTTCTAAAAGCAAAGCAAACAGGAGGATTCACAACGAGTAAACAGTTTCATTCCTCCTCTTCTCTGCCTTTATCATCAGCACTCTTTGCAACCAAAAGAATTGTATTGTAACGCTCCAGGGCACCACAGAAAGCCTCTACACCTACAGCACCTGCTTGAATCTGCCGTCTTAGTGTTTGACAGTGTTTATCTTCAAGTTTTGAAAAGCTACACAGCTCCAGGTTGAAATCATTTTCCAATTTCGTGACTTAAAGCCGAATAATTCCTCCCCGATCTTCTGAAAACATTAATTCTGAATCCTGAACTCTTTCACCAGCCCTGCCCTCGCTCTTATTAAAACAGCCTACGTGTATATGCAGCTCAGAGGAGTTTATCGAGATGAAACCCCCTCTTTACCATACCTTGGACCACTCTACTGAACTACATAATGAGCTGATTAGCATATCAGCAGGCGGCTCAGAGGAAGAAAGATAGATAAAGAGACAGAGCGGGAGAGACAACAGTGAAATATGTGAGGGAGAAAGAGGGAGATGGAGATGGGGATCAATGAAACTCAACAGCCATCTGTGTCCGCTGCCAGACTCCTCTCAGACATGTTTTACTTTTTAATGGAAAGAGAAGAGATAAAAAAAAAGAGAAAAGTTCTCGTCCGCTAAAATAACACAGATGTGGTGGAGGAGGATGAGGAGGAGGAGGAGGAAATGTCGAGATCGCCTCAGCAACTTTTACTTGTACTTTCTGTGCTGCTTCTTATTGACCGTGGGAAGCCCTCTCCATCTGAAAAAAAAAAATCAAATAAAACACTCCGGGGTTGTCTGCGCTCGGGCACTTTTCTAAGCTTTTCTGGATGGATGGCTGTCAGTTTGAAGCGCAGGTGTTGGAAGAAGAGCAGGTCTCTCTCTCTCTCTCTCTCTCTTTCTCTCTCTCTCTCTTTTCTGTGTGTCACTGTCCTCCCAGGGGGAACTCCGGCACAAACGAGTTGACTTTTCTCTCACACGCCCACAGCCCTGATGTGATCAGTGAAAGTGAGCAGGCTGGAAATGAGAGAGGGAGATTGATTTTTCTGCGTCCCTGCAAACGGACTGTACGTTATGAGTCCGGAGCCTGATGAGCTCGCCTCTCTGCACAGATGGGCCCGATTGATCGGTCATAGAGACTCAGAGCGAGTATCCAATAGTCACCAATTTAAATTGTTGTGCTTGTGCTACTTCTGCCTCTCTATACAGTGTACTTCATATAGCATCATTGGCTCTCTGATCTTTGCTGTAATGTCATCCCAAGTTGTCGAGTTAACTGCACTTTGAAACAAATATATGAAGTAATAAAAAGTAGGGATGGGTGATAGGGGCTAAAAGATTTTCCACCCTGGCGATAATGATAAAAGTCCTGATAAAGAATATTATAATTACAACCCATGTTTTTGACTCTTATTTTCTTGAGAACACCAGTTGGCATAATCAAATAAGATACTTAAAGGGATATTCCGATGTAAAATTAATTTAGGGTCAAACACGCCGTAATTTCTTTAACATTTGTAAACATAATTTCTTCATGGAAATACAATCAGACTAAGACGCTGAGGCAGAAGAACTACTGCGTCAATGGTCAATATGGTGTTTATTACTTCTAGGAAATGATAACTAAATGATCATAAATGTTCTTCCTTGAGCTGCATCACCCCACTGCAGTCTGTAATGGACTGGCCCGAGGTCTCGCTACAAACAAGCGGCTGCTGGAAGAGAGTAGGTGAGTTGTGTTTACTCTCTTTGCTAAAGAAATTAGGCAAAGTTAAAAAGATGTTTGGTGGCTAGTACTATGGCTGGGACCCTATATGTACTGTTGATGAAGTTAGGTGCTGTTCTGAGCATTATTTGTGGCTATAGAGTGGCGTTTTGGTTGAGGTTTGTTTATGGCTCCTCAGACTGCTGTGTATTGCTATCCTGCGGTTGTTACTAAAGTTGGTATAACTAGAGAAGCAAGTGGTCGGCAACATTCATCTCTCGAGGGGGTGTCTAACTCGGTGTTATTGTGTGTTTGACCCTAAATTAATTTTATGCCGGAATAGCCCTTTAACCACTATTCAAAACTTCTATTACACAAAGTGAACAGCAGCAGCAGATCCATCATCCAATGTCAGGCATACCTGACTGCGCTCGTCTAAGCCCCCATCTTCACCTCTTTCCGCCATGTTTGTTTGTTATTCTGCTCTGTGTGGGCTACAGCTGTCTTTGCGCTTACGTCATCAACTCGTCATCTGAACAATAATCTATCGCTCATCCTTGATAAAAAGTACTTGCTACAGCATCTCCATATTGTGCTCACTCTTCCCCTCTGCTTTACCAACACACACAGACACACCTCCTCCCCTCCCTGATGTCTTTTCTGCACTTGTGGTTGCATGATCGTTGTCCTACTGTGGCACAGAAGTCCCTCATGAACACGTTCCCCCCATCTGCAACTTCTCTGAACCCCCGAACTTCATTGATAAAAGCGAACGCTAATAAAAGTGTGGGAGCTAACACCAGAGGGGAAGTTTTGAAGAAGGCTTTCTGGACTCAGAGGGATGGTTGCAGCACTCTACTTCCTCAAAATGAGCCTCTTAACGAAGATGCTGCTCTTTAGGTTGATTCTGTTATTTCCCCCCCTCTTGTTTTTCTATCCTATCCACTGTCTTGTCCTCTCAAAATTACTGATAAAGAGCCCTAAACACCCTCTTTGATTATACTGGGCAAACCTGAGGAAGCTTCAGGCAAAGCGCTTAGTTTGCTCTCAATAAAGTCCCCGAAAATGCATTTCAGAGTCGGGCCGTTCACAATTCTTTATTTCTTTATTTCTGAGAGGAAGAGCCGTTTGAAGTGAGGGGCAGAGCACATCTGAAGAAAAAGTGAGATGTGCCTCAGGACGAAACGAGAGATCGTTTAATCTAAATTATGTAATTTCTATGATCCAGAGAAGCCATAATCGTGATTAAAATTGAAATGTGATTTATCGTAAATGAAATATTAAAGTGTTTTGGACAAGTTTGAATTGATTCGCATGTTTCTTTTGAAAACAAGATATTTTCTCTTAAGTTGGCAGTTTTGCATATTTCAAAGGGAAACTCTTTTATTTTTAATGCCCATGTGGCCTTAAGTTCCCCTCTAGAATAAACTTGAAATGGTACTCAAACTTATGAGGCTCTTAAAACTGCAAAATGTAGTTTGATGAATGTTCAAGCCTCTCTGTGCCTTAAACGTGGCATTAAATCAGCATTTCTAACCTTGCTTAAATCAATATTTGTACTTATTTGGATAAGAAAATTCCTCCATTAGTTTCTGTTTAGCAAAATGTGCTCTATGATCTGAGAGAAACCCAACAGAGGCCTAATGATCCAGCAGTCAGACAGGAACATGCTTCAACTCGTCATCCTCGACTAAGATTTACTGGCTTTCTGCAGGGAAACACCGCGCCCATCCCAACCCCTGCACCGAGCTAAAACTGCTCCTCTGCCGACCTGAAAGCCTCAAGAATGACAATTCATACATTTTGTCTCTCCACGCCTTCTCTGACACACTGGAACAAACTCCATGTGTCACATCAATCCAGCCCTGCCACACACAGAGAGAGAGAGGCAGATATTTGTGAGTGTATAAACAGAAGAGAGATTTTTTTCTGCAGCCCGAGCTTCAATAAGAAACGTTTTTATACTCAATGAACTCTAAAAAAAAACATCAGCTGTAAGTTTTGCTTGAATCGTGCTTCATGTCCAGCCATCGATTTAATTCTGTCATGGTTCACAGTCAGACCAACAGCAGCTCAGCAATAACTCTGCAAGCCTTGACCTGTTCAGATTTTCCTTCCCCTGCCCTCCAGGCGGCCTGACTTTCAGCTTCCACTGAAACTCTAGTGAAGGAACAGCAGGCACACTATCGCCATTTTTCTGCTGCGTCATTTTTTTCTCAGTTTGACAGCAACACTTTGCTGCAGGACCAAACCAATAAAAAGCCTGTGAACAAACCGCGTCAGTGACGGTCTACAACAGCGGTTTATTAGAGACGGCGAGCGCTCTCTCTGCTCCTCCTGTTGAGTCAATAAAGGAGAAATTATTGAGAGAGAAAAGTAATTAAGTTATGTCAAACACTTTATCTTTATTTCACCTTAGCTGCACCTTTAGGAGGTTACTGTGCGATGGAAATAACCACACAAGCAATCCAAACACTGCTGTGTTCCTTAAGTAAACCACACCACTGCTCCAGTATGACACACAAACACTTGGACGAGTTGTAAATATCATCCGTCAATCTCTCGGTGATTATAACCTTTGCAATGCAAAATAAATAAAATGCTTTGTAACCTTTGTTGTATCAGACTGTACTCCTGCAAGGAGAAGAGATGTGTTACAGAGGACAAGGAGGGCAAAGCCAAAGAGGGAAGCTTTTATTTTGAAAAGTCTGCGTTTAAAGTCCATCATCGTAACATCTCGAGATAACAGAGTCAGCTGTCTTCCTGGCGTGTACACTTGCTTTTCTACTTCTGTCAAAACACTGAGCGACGCCATGTGCTCGGAAACACAGGAGAAGCGAATTTATCCGTCAATCAGTGTTGTGAAATTATCATCTCTCCCTCACGGGTCTGCCCCTCCGTGTGTGCGAAGATGTTCAAAAGACTGGCAAGGGCACCCAATTTATAAATCAAACCTCCACTATTCGCCTTCCCACTCAGGGCACCTCGTCGCCGCTGCCTCCACCCCCATCCTTGCTGTTTTTGTGAGTCCTCTTTTACTTTATGAAAAAATAAAGTCATTATATCTCACCAAGACTCATAATGCTCCGATCCAACAGTCACCCACATGGAAACAGAATCTGCTTAAACAGAGCGCCGCTTTGAAATGGCTTCAGACTGGGGATGATTTCATTTCCTCAAATTTGTTTCTGGGTATTTTGTCCCTTTTTTTGTTTCACACAACACAATCGAAGAAGATTCATTTAGCCTACTTTGCGGCTTATGTGAAGAATCACATTTCTGCTCATTTTCCAGCACTGAAAATCGAAGTATTGGTCTTTTTGTGAATTAAAAAGCAGCAGCAAGCTTACCTGCATCTCCTTCTCTCCGTACTTGGAGGGGTTCTTGCTGCCCTGACTCTTCCTGCGCAGCTTCTTCAGTTCACCCTGGCACTTCTCCAGACTCTCCCCTTTATTCTTGTGTTCCATCTGGTATTTCTTCAGGGCAGCCTACGTGGGGCGACAGGCAGAGTGCAGACGCAAAAATTAGGACGACTAATTAAGACACATGGGTGAGAGGGAGCGGGAGGTGAGACAGAAACTTTTGAAAACTTTGTATAATAACTCTTACCTTACCTCACATCTTATCGCCACAGTATGGAAGATTAGCATTGTTTCACATTACACAGTATAGACTGAGTATAGACTGGAGATAGCCTGACTAATTGGGCTGATAAATGCCTTTTTGACACAGTCTGCATCAGCCATCACAAAATCAATATCACTATTATCTTTTCTGAATGAAAAATGTATTTTTTTGTTATCCCCAATGATGGCATCTTAAATCTTAAACAGCCACTGGTAAGTGTTTCACATAAATGCTGTTATGATGCAAGAAATACAGCTAAATGTAGCCCCCTATGTTAGCCAATCATGTCTTTTATATATTTAAAATGAACGGGTAAAAATGCAAAAGTTCTTAATCCTACTATTTTACCAGGCCATTTTTTTTTCTTTACATTTATTTAATAAAATATCTGATTTGTGTTCAGAAATTTTTATCTTGTTGCTGTATGTTGTATCATATGCAGAATAAACCCCTAAAACGATGATATATCAGCCATCGGCCAACCTGATCTCGTTGGCCATCTGCCATTGAGAAAACAGGGGGAAATTCCAAATTTACAGCAGCATAGTACAGACATACAAAGAGAAATTAAAGGATAAAGAAACTTAGAGTTAACTTAAGGAAACAGAAAAAAGATCTGTATGAGTCCTATTTCTGGATTCTGAGAAACTGATATCTGGTTTTTAAAGGTCCTTGTCTATACACGCCAGTCAGCCATTTTTAAGATAAGATGAGAGAAGATACTCCTTTATTAGTCCCACAAGGGGAAATTCCCAATTCATAGTTCACCCCTTTCAAGAAAAAAATACAGTAGACCGTACTAGTAATGTTACATGTTGTCGTAACCATGGTTACAACACTGAAACAGTGGCCTCCTCCTGCAGGGGGTCAGAATATATGCGGCACAAGTGTTTTTGGTGTTTTTCCGCCTCTGCATTTTTCTGCAGAAGCCGTCAGACGCCATTTAGCAGCCAATCAGTGCAGTGCCTCAAAATCATAGCCTCCTTGCCCACTCAAAGACCAAGTAGCTGCAGGCTGACTTTACATAATTTTCACGTCCTCGTGGTCTTAATGCAAAACGCTAAAAGTACCTTTTATATCTGTTTTAACACGCAGAAAGGGATTAGAACAGACTTCTACAGTGGTTTTGCATTGTAATAATTAGGACTCTTAAAAAAATTCTCCTCTGCTATCATTAAAAAATTCAAATGTGTGAAAAGAATCACCGCCCTTTGCTTTCATGGTCTCTGTCTGGCCTTGCGGATTCAATAAGGGGTTGATTTTAAGACTCCTTATTGGCGTGTTCGAGGGAGCTCTGACATCTGAGAGCAATCGTCTTCAAACACACAGAGACGAGTTCATTTACATGGTTCTTTGCAATGCTCTTCTAATTATTCGTCTTTCAGGCTTGATTTTTGCAACAACAACACATCTGTTTATTTGTGTCTCCAAACACATCCGCTGCAAAGGATTTCCAATCTTGAGCTGTTTCCAAGTAGATTTTCTTAACATAGAGGGAAAAAACAGAAACCACTGGCAGCTGCAAGATTAAAACTAATGCAAAATTTTGTAGAACAAGCAGAGCAGCCCGCCTAGTCCTCTTACAGCCAGAGTTTATGCATTTAGTCATTTAATTTGCTTGCTTAATTATTTATTTGTTGAGAGCAACAACTTTGTTTCCGGATTGTACCAGCTCTGTTGCTATAGCAACCATGTCCAGCGTGACAAAGCTCATGCGGTTTCAGTTCCAGGCAAAAATTGGCGGAGGAGAGCTCCTGCATGAGGGTTCACCACCCACATTTAAAGAGGACGACAAGGTTGCAGGTACCCTTTAGGTGCTGTTTAGCTGAAATGGAGCCATAAAGAGGCTGCTGTTGTTGTCACTGGAAGACAGATGAGCCGGATGACACATGCCGTGTTTGGATTTCATAACAGAGACGAGTGGCATTACAGCAATTCCGTGGGTTTGACTCTGAACTGGACTCAAAACAGCTATACATATCAACAAACTGCTCGAGTTTTACCGTCAAACTGTACCCAGCGCTGATTTATTTTCAAAATCAAGAGCGGCTCTGAGATATAAACTTGTTTGATATGTTTGAAACAGCACATGCCTTTGCAGTGATGTCTCTGAAACTCAATAACAATGAATGACTCATCCTTTAACTCCCTCTTTGTCTTTGAGGTGAAGCAGCAAAACCGATACGGGCTGCTCTGTGTTTCATATCTGCAATTTAACTTCCTCAATTTTCCACCGAGGCTCCCCCTGAGGAAAACAACCCGGCACATTGATCATACAGTGAACCCATTGTTAGGTGTGTGTTTGTGCGAAAAGTTCGGCTGTACTTTGCAGAGTCACATTGTGTAAACAAGATAATATCCTGGCATGTGACTCAATGAGCAGGGCTGTTCATCCTAATTAACAAAGCAAAAGCCTGTTGTTACCAGCACCTGTGCACAAAGCTCAATCCCCGGCTACTACCGCAGGCAGATAATTAATGTAATTAAATCTGATTGATTGATCTGATTAGAAACAGAGGGGACATCAGATGAACTTTGGTTTACCTGGAGTATCTCACCATGGTCGAAATTACTCCCCTATCTATCTGTTATGCATACTGCGTTGGCTCTTATTTCAAGTAGGGATACTGATATTTGCATAAAAAGAGATTTTAGTAGAAGTTCTCGTGCAAAGAAACCTAATGGGCCATGAAATAAACTATGACCACAAAAGTAAGAGTAACCTTGTCTTGGAGATTTCCACAGGCTTTATCTATTCACAGCTAAATGGAAGTGCACATCAATTTAACCTCTGGTGGACTTTTGACCTCAACACTTCATACACTTAATGGTGCTGTGTGAAGAAATAGGAATATTTAGATTAAAACGCTCCACCGCTCCCCCCTTTTTACACCCAAAGGTATTAGGAGGAGGAGAAGGTGCAGCATCGTTGATGACTACGATGCTGAAAACTTTTATCTATGCAAATTGTTTTGTACACAACAACAACAACAACAGATGCTCTTTTCCACTTTGTCATCCAACTGGTGCGTTCTTGCATTGCCAGTTATGAAATACAACAATGTTTACGCTACTAATTTCTCTGTTTTGTACCAACGTAGAAACCTGCTGCCAGTGAAGCAAGTGAAACTTAAGATGTTATATTTCATGGTTTGATGGTTCTGATACTGGTTGGTCAAAATCAACAACAGGGGGGTTCATTCTGATTACTTATGTCACAGGCAGAGGGGAAAAGCACATTTCCCCTCTGCCTGTTGACACTGTGGCAAAAACATTTAGATAGACTGGTCTTGTAAGTCAAGGGGACCGAGCGCAGGAGCGAAAGCAGCACAAGGAGCTACTAAGGTCCAACCACTTCTAGAAAGTGGGGCAACATCCTGTCCTGTAATCCAGGCAATGGTGACAGAGCTGTAGAGCTGATAGATATAAAGTAAATTAAACCATCTTCTATAGTGATAAAAGCAACAGTGCTGTAGTACTGGTCTCAATTAACATCAATGAATCTGAATTTTAAATCAAGTGTTAATCTGTCACTTTAATCTCCTGTGAGGAACTTGCAGTTTGTGTCAACTTTGGCGCCTCCTGTGGTCAAAGCAGTCTTAGCTTATCTTCTTTCCTACGTGCTTGAACATTTTGACTAAACATCTCACCCTATCAGCTTTTGACAGTCAGTCGTAATATTACTTTAAGTGGAAATTACAAAACAAGGCTGTTTTTTCAGCTGATTGACTGACACCTACACCCTCCGTACAGGCGTCAGGCAATAAAAATTAGGATAGAAAAACCAACAATCTTGTCACTGATTTTCTTGTCTAATTTTGGAAACCATGAAAAGAGATCAATATGAATTTCAGTCCATTTCACAAACATGAAAAAACTCCTCATAGGAGCTTTAAAGGAAGATAAAAAGAATCTGTTGCCATGGAAGCGTTACCAACTGGAGGGGTTATGTTTTAGCTGTAAAAATAAATCACTTTAAATCAGAGATGCTCTTCTATTTAATATGCAGATATTCTTTTTGTTGCAATGATGAGATGAGATTAAAAATGAAATCAACTCTTAATCTCCTCAAATGTAATTTTGCTTTAGTTACAAGTCTTCTTTGTAAATAAAAGGTGCAGATACTTGTGTTAAAACGAAAGGAGTTTAGTAAAAACACGTCCGAATAAAAGAAATCTTTAATTAGAATATCTGTTCTGTGAAAGAGGTTTCCGACCTTGTTTATTCACCTCTTTATTTTGATGTTTATACCCAGATTCTGACCTCTGTGTAATGAGTGAACACTTGTAAAACCCCGGGGAACCCATTATGTCAGACAAGAGAAAGAGAGCCGCAGACACAGAGAGAACAGAGGGAGAGTCACACACACACACACACACACACACACACAAGAACGCACACACACACCTCAGTCTTGGCAAACAGCAAGCACCCCTCTGAGTCTTTTTGAACAGAGACAAAATTTCAGATGATTAATTCACAAAATCTGAAGCAAAATGGCTGCTATTATCACTGCAGCAGATCTGAGGGAAACTCATTAAAAGTAATGGATGCTAAAAAACCTCAGGGATACGTCAGCAAGACAGAGATGTCTGAATTGGTTTATGTTTGTGGACTTTTTTCTTGATCAGTTTATTGAAGAAACACACATTTGGTAGATGCCTGTGTGGAATAAAAGATGTGTTTTTCCCTCATAAACTCGCCATAAGAACAAACGTTTTGACTGATAAATCTCCTGATTTTATCTGGAGCCAGAGTGACTCATAAAAATGCTTTCTTTTCATTAAATTTTAAGAGCAGTATTGCATTAAGTGTGCTTGTGTGTGTTTGATTTAGTGACTGCAAGCCAACATAGCTCATATCATGGTCCTTCCAACATTACAATACAGCAATGATAACGTTATCCCATCCCCCAAAACGGCACGCAGCACTGCTGCTCTACGCTCAGCCTGCAACCCACTCGTTCTAAAGATATCACATGTAGACCAGCTTCCACAGAGCTTACACACACATATACACACACTCCAGGAGCGTTTTATCGTAATCAGTCTCCCCTTGACGGGTGAGTAGACATGAAATGTTATTTCAAAGCTGCTCTTTTTCACTGTCACATCCACTAATTGCCTTACAGATAGATTTTGATCCAGACACCGAAACACTTCTTCACCTCCATCTCTTGTTATGCAACAGCTGATGTAACATAAAAAAAGAGCACTACAAAGAGGGGAAAATGTGGTGTGTATTTATTGGAATGAGGAGCCAATCAGATACTCACAGTCAGATAACGGGCGTCCAGATCCACCTTCTTCTCCAGCTCAGAGAGGAGCTCGTTGTGGAAGGATTTCAACTGGGAGGAAAGCACAGAAACATTTAGAGGAATCATGAATGGAGTAACAGCAACAATCAATGCTCACGCTTCGTGTTGAAATCTTAAGACTTGTAACATAAAGTTGTGTTCAACTGACCAATGTGTTCTCCTCCTTCGCTCAGTAACTGAATAAATGTTTTACCAACAAAGTGCTTGGCATGTGAAGCCTGTCGCAGCTTGCAAATCACTGTCACAGATTCGGTGCTATAATATGACACAATAACTAGTCACTGGATTGTGAATGTGGTTTGCTTCAGGAACAGTCTGCGAATCCTGAACAAGATAGTCAATATGCGGTAAGTGAAAATGATTTCTGCAAACCAGCTGTTGATAATACAATCAATGAACCTAAAGCAGCATCACTGTAATTATATTCTCTTATTATTTTTTATAGAAAGCTTTATTTCTCCACGATCTATATAAACAGTTTAAAGCACCTGTAAGGAACTTTTGGTTTGTATCAATTTTGGCGCCCCCTGTGGACAAAGCAGTCTTAACCTATCCTCCCCTCTACATGCTTAACTCTTTATTGCCTTTTGTATCATATTTGATACATACTTTTATTTATTTCTATCAAATCAATATGATCAACAAATTACTAAAAAAACACCTGAATACAGTCCAATAAATGATAAAAATGCCCTCATGTAGTTTATCAGTTTCCAAAAACATCTAATGTATCAAACGAGATAAATAAATACATTTTGTTAAATTTTAAGAACATTTTGATTTTTTTGGTTTTCAGTAGTAAGTGAAATAAACATTTCAGCTCCAAAAAATGTGAATTTTCAGGCCATAATTTGTGGTGTCAGGCATTAAAGGGTTAAATAGAGAAAAATCTCATCCTGCTGATTCTTGACTGTCAAATTAATCACTTTTGTGGACAAAAAGGTTGAAAATATAAAAACAGGGCTTTTCCTCACACACATTTAGGCTTTAGAATGAGTTTAAAACTCATCCGCCTGTAACTGATGGTCTTGTTTGCTTCCGTGTTTCATAAAAAGGCATCAATGTAAATTTTAATCTTTTTCAAAAGTGTAAAAAAACATGATCTGATCTTCATATGAAGCAGAAACAGGGTTTATTTGATAATGTCAACAAATATAATTCCAGCCATCTCATAAAATGATATGTCTCATATATGATAAAAATGATCTTTTGAATAAGCTCGTTCAGCTCAAAGTGGCTGAGAGTGAGGGCTTTAAATATTACTCCTGATTTCTAAGATTAAACTCATGCTGCGTCGCTAACGCCGCAGAGATCAGCATGCAGAGCAGAAAGGATTACATGGAGCGAGTGTTGGCAAAAGGACTGATAGTCTTATAACAACCTCATAAGGACAGCTGGCTCCTGCTTACCTGTCTGTGTATTGGACACGCACTTAATGAATTTAATACTCACTGTGGATAACTTGTCATACAAGCATCTTACCCAGAGTGCTGTACCGTTAAATTACCTGACTTCACTTCCCCAGCCACCTTCTGTGTTGGCAGTTTGGAATTATACAAGCTCAGCAGGTTTGTTAATTCAGTCTGAGTCTGAGTTCATTTAATTATTATTCACTGGGGCCCCACAGCTCAGGGTCAAATCCGTGTCAGAGTTGTTGTCATGAAAACAAACAGAAATATTTGACTTGATATTTTTGATGGCGATGACTCAATGCTTTGTATTATACATTGCTGATTCGAGGAAAACTAGCCCTGCAAAGTTTGTTACTATACAATTTATCATCTGCTTATTGTGTTTTGTTTTGTTTTTTGACAATGTTAGCCTTTATACAACCATGTTTTGTTATTCCTGTGACAGTAAATAAACATTACCCACAATAATAACCCGTTTCTATCATGAACTATCATAAAAAATATAAAACATTGTCTTACTTACAGATTTTTGACCATTTTAGATTTTTGTCTTTACTCAATTAGCCAGTTAGCTAGCTAGGCAGTAAGTTACTCAGTTAGCAGTTTACTCAATTAGCCAGTTAGCTAGCTAGGCAGTAAGTTACTCAGTTAGCAGTTTACTCAATTAGCCAGTTAGCTAGCTAGGCAGTAAGATACTCAGTTAGCAGTTTACTCAATTAGCCAGTTAGCTAGTTCAGTTAGCTTTTTGTGTAGTTACTAACGGCAAGTTTATTGGTTAATAAGTTACTAATGCAGTCAGTAATTACAGTGAATCAGTGATTTATTGAGCGTATTTGGCTATCCAGTTATTTGGCAAGTTATTAGATATTCTGTAAGTGACTCACATGTTCAAATGTTGATAAAAAAAATCTATTTATTGTGTTAGTCCAACTGAAAATAGTGGGAACCTTGTACACACTGTGCCCAAAAAGTCAGTTTCAGAGCAAAAACAAACATGTTTACAGCCTGGTTTGAAAACAGTTTTAGCTTTTTGCAAGGAGGCTAAAGGCCTGCCTCAGAGATCAGCATTAAGAATATAGCGAGTGCCGAAACAGGCTTCAAAACTCTGCTTTACAAACAAATAGTTGACATCACAGATAAGATTATTATGCACTTAATCAAACCTCTCATTCATGCCTCAGTCTGGCTAAAACTAGCTAGCCCATGTCAGGCTATGACCAGGAAGCTAAACAGCATAAATGTATTGTAGGAAGCCTGGTCGTACATGAACCTCAACAGAAGAAGAAGTAGTCCATTTTTGTTATTTGACATACAACTCATTAGCCTCTTGCTAATGTGTTTGTTGATTGTTATGGTGCGTAACATAACAATTCAACCACAAGACGGCCTAACAGTAACAAGTGAAAATGGGGGCATATTTCCACCTAGTGTAGCAGAGGCAGATATACTCTTGCTGTTGCCAAATCAAGCTAATACTGTAGCTCAACTTAATGTTTTTTGCTGCACATTAGAGCAGACTATTCAAGAAAGAACAGATAAACATTGCATTTTATTGCTGCAATAACTTGTTTTGATTCCTATCCAGCCTAAAAAAGCTGAAATATTACATTCTTTTACACGGTTTTATCGAGAGCGCTGTAGTGTTGAACAGCACAGGCTAAGAACACCTTTGAGCTCAGAATACCAACCATCTCCTCTAGCTGCACTTGGATCTGTCTGTGGACCTCAGCCATCTGGAACAGCACATCCCCTGCACAGAGAGAGAGAGAGAGAGAGAGAGAGAAAGCATGAACAACACTCGAAAACATAAGAACACCTACAGCAGAGAGAAACAGAAGAGGGAGAGAGGTAGGGTAGCAGAGATAAAAGGAGGAAACAGGAGGAAAAACAGAGACCCCCCAGCGTGCAAAAGCTCATGCAGTAACACAAGACACGAACGTACAGGACAAGTGACTTAAACTAGGACAACACAGAGCATGATGAAAGTTTGTCTTTGGTACCACATAACAGAAAAAACAACAAAAATGAAATGATAATAGCAATGACAAGCACGAAAAATGGGGGAGACGAAATGCTTTAAATTAAATTCTCTGTCTTCAGGCGTGTAAGTTCTGATGTCTGGTGGAGATCAAACATACTGCCTTTATTTCTTTGGTTAATCTCGATACAGGCAATATCATATCTAGAACCCAAAAACAACATCTTAAAGAAGGGTTTAAGTCTCCACACGAAAAGAAAAAAAAACAAAAAGGAAGGAGATAAGAAGATAAAGTCATGCAGCTAGAGTTTGAAGTGTTATATTTTCATATATACCTACAGGCTGCCTCTTCTGAATGTGCAGTGCATTGTCAAGAAAAGGAACACAAAGAGCTACATTGAGCGAGGGACACAGAAACATACAGAGACCTGGTGAAAAGACAAGTGTCAGAGCTGCATGTACAGAGAAATGAGACACACATACATTTCCTGACCACAAGGTCCAAAGCCCCTGAGCTTTAGCACTTTCTGACATCTTACAAATTAAACTGTTGCCTGGTTAGAACATGGGTTCAACTTGTACCAATTATGGCTCATATCGATTTGGACAGAAGTAGCCTCCTGCTTTAGCACTGAGAAGATCATATTTTCTAACCGTACATCATCCTGTTGTATCCATTTGAAAGCTAATTTTAAAGTGAATGCACCTTAACCCCAACTCCAAACCCTGAGAAGTAAAATAGTAACTTCAGATGAAGTAGTTTTGGAATAAACTTTTCAGCACGAAGGGCTTTGGAGTGGTCTCCGTTACAGCAGACAGCACGTACGTTGGAAATTGCTGCAGACAGACGACACTAAAGAGGCAGTGAAGGAGCCGATTTTAATACTCCAAAATATTAAAAGGGCAGTAAAAGCAGGGAGGCAGGTTCGGACGTAACAGCAATCAATGCAAGACGTAATTAATAATATGCAAAACATTTAGTGAGAGCTGACTTGAAAGTGTGATCGCTAAAGTGACATTACTCTTCTTGAGTACACTTCAAATCCACTGCAGCATTTCTTAGCAGCACATAAACAGCTACTGAACATTTTGAATGCAGTTTCAAGAGCTGCGGAATATTAAGTGGATAAATCATTAACTCAATATTGGTGGATCACAATTTTATGAGTAATAAACAGGTATCATCTGCATAAAATAACACCAACCCTTTGTACGCAATAGCAGTGGTCAACTTACATGTGCTTTTTAACCGCCGATGCAGACACAGATATTTACAGACCAGGCTGATATATAATATTTTTTGGTTTTTCATAAATTATAGAAATGTGACAATACTTATTAAAATCTAATATCCAGGGTTAGCTCAGATACATATCAGAATATACAGAATACATACCAAACACTTGTTAGAAACTGTTGAGTTTGATAGCTTGACAGGAACTACATTAACAAAGCTACTTGCAGTGTCTGCAGACAGGATCTTCTGATTTATTGGCCACAGATATCAGCTGATTACAATTTTTATTTACGTTCACAGCATGTTGGGTTAAAAAAAATACTGCATTAGCACTCTATATCCAAGTCTTGTCTTTTCTTAGTTTTGCAAACATTACGGCAAATTAACTTGTTTTCAAAGACATAAAACCATATAATGTTGTAAATGTGTCATCGGTAAGAGACAGGGAAGTATTTGGTGGAAAAAATCCAAATTTTTTTCACCTCTGGTTATTAGCAATGTAGTATATATTGGGGATAAGCATGCCTAACCAGCAAATAAGTAAATGATTTCATTATTGTGGGCCTAAAAACCAGCCCAAGCTTTACCAAAGCCGCCCGCCATAAGAAGGGGCTGTAGCTCCGGTTAATGGCTGTGGCATTGTTGCTGCATAATCCTGCTGTGCTCTACTATCTGGATGTAAACAGGCACAGATGAAAGATGGCATAATAATTTTTGACTTAGAACTGAATCTCTATTTTCTCTGTTGGTTCTACGATGAGCATAGATATAAACGTCAACTGATGACTTAAGGAATTTGGTTTTAACCATCCTGTTGGTCCGCTTTAGCACAGCAGATCGCACTAATTAAAAAAGGTCTTATTACACCCGACATTAGGTAGAGTCATTGCCTCTAAAACCACTCAATTCCCAAGATGCCCAGGCCTATTGTACATTTGTGCAACCTGCCCCCTTATGGTGTGCCTCACAGGAGTTGAGAAGCAGGCCAAAGCATCCTGTCAGTTCCCAGCAGGCCGGCTAAGCTGCTTACAGATACTCATCCCTGATCACAGCTCTCCAGGCTTAGAAACCCTTGCATTCTGTTGGCTGCTTCAACTAGCTGGATCAATTAACAAATGAGCAGCCGTCAGTGTACGGACGACACACATACACACACATATATATATACACACACACATACACACATAACAGACTTAGACACATCTACTGGCAGTTGGACAGAGTGTTTTCACGAAGCCAGAGAGGTAAAGAATGAATGAATCTGTGCAGATCTCATCTTGTCATCTGCAGTTTCATTACTGCACAGCGGACGATGCCAAAGCATAGGGAAAAAAAAAAAAAAAAAAAAATCACACTTTGGAGATGCAAATAGTTTCCATGGCAACTTCCTATCATATCATACAACAACAGTAACAGAAAATTGGACCACAGTCTTCGGGGGGGGCAGCGAACAGCAGCAAATTCAATCAAAAATCAATAAAGAGGGATAATGTGGAAAATCTGAATGTGTTGTGCGCTGTTATTGTTTGAATAGAAGATCTCTGGCAGGCGTGACACAACCTGTGAGCTTTAATGGAGGAGCTGCCAGCCTGACAAGGATATCCGCATACCAGCTAGGAGCGACATGACAGACCGGTCGATTTCCACAGTGACACGCAAACACTCGGACACACAGCCGCACACATGTGCACAAGTACAAACCCGGGAGATTTGTTGTTACTGTATCAGTATTACCAGGCTGGCGTAGCCCTGCCTACATCCCCGACTGAAAGAAAACAATAGTAGCTTTGTTGCGAGGTGAGCTCAGGTTGATCTGCACCTGCAGCTCTGCAGCAAGCAGCCACATGCCTGCTGACTTAAAGCACTGAGTCAGAGAAAAGGAAGCTTGGACACAGGACTGGAACGCATGTGAACACACTGTCCCCTGAAGTATGACATCAGCTTGTGTAGATTTATTGACTGCTTGTGTAACAGAAGCAATGATACACCCACACAGGTAGAGAGAAGACGGAAAAAAACACACAGAATAACAGAATGTGGGCTACGGAGATGGAAAAAAAAGTGAGAGTTTGCAATGTTGAACAGAGAGAGAACAAGAGAGACAGAGATGGAGGGAGGGAATGGAGGTGGATGGAGAGACACTGAATCACTGGTGAAGGTCAAGCTGGATTCACTACGGGTTGTCATGGTAGCAGGATAATGCTAGGGTCGTTGCTATGGGAGAAGTTGCAAGATGAGGGTGCAGCGGCTGCAAAGAGTTATGTTATGAAACACTGTTCAAAAGATCTCCACCCTTACTATCAACCAGCATTACATCCGCACACACACACTCCCCGGGGAGGAAAGTGGAGTAGACCTCACTTGGGGGGGCTTTGTGCACACTGTGTGTACGTGTACATGTGTGAGTCAACAGTTCATGGATGTTAATACCTGACGATGCTAAGTCACAAGAGAAACAAACACATGGGCAAGCATAATAATGGGGTGGTGGGATAATGTGCGACACATAGATAATAGTCTAGAGCCTGGGTGGCTTTGTGTGTACATGCATGTGTGTAGATCTGATGTGTGCATTAGTGTGCACATGTGTGAGCACACTCCCTTTGAAACCACAAAATCTAAACACTGTTAATCTGGACGTGAGGAAGGCTTATACTTAACACTCTCTCACACACACACCAGGCTGGTAAACTTAGTCTGAACTGTTTTCCCACTTCTCTCATTCACAAAGCCTCTCACAGGGGAGAAACAGGATGTATTTAGGAGCAATGCCATCACAGCTGTTCAGCCCACTAGCCTAATATAAGTTTGTCCACTAATGGTGTCATGCATTTAGGCCATAATAAAGATTTAACAGGGTAAATGGAAGCAAAGTGGGCCAGGGTACAGTCGTGAATAATCTCGTCGTTTCCTTTAAGAAGTCTCAGGTAGCTTGTCACGCATTGTCTGGGGTGTGGGGGGGTAAGACTTTCTGTAGCAAATCCAACCATCTGGTAGCAGGGAGCCAAAATCCTGGCCTCTTTTTAAGCTGCTGTTTCACACAACAAGTTCTGGTTTGTGTGGATCCACTTATGTTTTCAACAGATCGTAGAAAACTATTTCTAAAAACAGGATATGAATATTGTAAAATAACAAGAGTCTACTGTGAACTCGTGAAAAACCGTACAGTCCAACCTTTCCTGATGAAACAGCGCTGAATCTGCATTACATAACAGCTGGGGCAGTTTGATTGGGACAAGCTCTAGTCTAGAAATCAACCTGAATCACAGAATTAGTATGTATTCATCTCCTAAATGGATGAATTTCAGCCAAAAAAATTAACCAGGAAAAACTATAATCAAGTGATCCAAGTACCTTTGTATTCTAAGTGCGTGTAAGACCTCAATAAACAAATATAAATATCTACATTTCTGATCTAGAAATACACCTCAGCAGTACGCATAAAGCAAAAAGCAAAAAGCATGAAATCAATCAAATCCATTTTGACTCCTTGCGACGTTAAATCCATCTTTATATCTTAAAATCTAAAAAGTCCAATGTCACAATCTAAGATACAAATGTAACAAAAAAATGAGAAAAATACAAATAAAGTTACTTGGGTGGCCATTAAAATTTCAGAGGGGAGTGGACACGGCCACCCTAGACCACACTCTCAACCCGCCCCTGCTTATAAGTATCACTATGAATGTCTATCTTGCCAAGAATCCACAAAAAAAACTATTTCTGACTTGTTTTAGTATGATTGATTTTTCTATTTCATGTTCAGCCTTCCAGAACTTTGTCCGCTTTCTGGAACATTTTTGATTCTCCATGCAATGACATTTAAAATATTCCAAATTCTGGATAAATTCCCAACATGAGGCGTGCACAAGGGACTACATGTTGCTGAACATACTGTGACCACAAAGAGTGACCCTCTCAAGTTCAATGTTCCTCTTCTATTGCTAAGTCCATTTCCATCTTCTTCTTACACGCTGCGTAACAATGAGTTGGCCCTGATCAGCCATGTGCCTGTCATAAATGAATACAATTCTGTGACCCTTTCAGACTGTTTGACGACAGCCGATTTTAATGTGTCATAGAAGGGGGCTGGGGCATGCCCTCCACACCCCGGTGATTTACAGCCTCTATTCATCAGGCTCCCCCGGAGAAAAAAAAAACCCTCACACTAATGATGTAAAGGCCTCTGAAACTTGCGTATTGAAAATGATTCACTTGGCATTATAGAGGTTGATAATGTGTGTCATTCTGCTTCAAGTGCTCTGAATTCTGTTAATGAATGTTACATAACTGACCCAGCAGCAAAAGACCACTGTACAGCTATACAGAGATGGATGTACTTCCTGTTATTAAAATGGAATATACACAGTTTAATGCGCACACCAACAGAGTAGAGCAACATGTTGTAAAGAAGCCTGGTTACTCCATTTACGGTCAAGCTGCTGGATACAGATTCACAAAGTTGGAAACAAATACGATCTGTGATATGGTGTTTGTTGGGGATGTCACTTTTTACTCCAAATTTGAACCTGCTGTCGAACTTTGGGGGAAAAGTTCATTTGAACTTTTATAACTTGTTCAAACTAGGACTGTAAAGTCCTAGTCCACTGATTGGTCGATACTGATGAGTTGACCAAAATTCTGATTGGTTGACTCCATTTTTTTCAGCGTTAATTTACAGTCTATGGTAAATTCCATTAGGAGGAAGATACAAAGTGCTAATAGGGGTGTTTTCAGAGCACCCCTACTAGCATTTTGGATTCACCCAACCAACTGGAGATCAGCTGGACGCTATATTTTTATTCGTAGGATGGTATGGTAAGGTCCCTCATCCTTCGCCTCTGATTGGCTAGAAAAGCTGAGCTCTGATTGGTTATTCCTTATGGCTGTGAGACGTCAACACACGCTTAAGCCGAGCGCAGTTTGTGGGTTCTTTATGTCGAACAGAAAATTATCACAATTCTGTATCTCCTAACCCTAACCCAACAGACGATGACATTTCACAGCCATAAGGAATAACCGATCGGGGCCCAGCACTTCTAGCCAATCAGAGGCAAAGGAGGCGGGACCTTCCCCTACCATCCTACGTAAAAAACCATCAGCGGCTGGAGATAGGAAGACTGAAGAGCGCCCATGTTAATTTAACATAGGGTGGTTTGCTGAATACAATATTTGTATTTAATTGTCTTCTTGTGGTGATATCTGTATATTTTCACCCTGCCGAGCCGCGTTGCTCTGATTAGTGTGTTTTTGGTAGAAAATTTTAGGGTTTTAATCGACCAAGAATAGTTCAAACTCATATGAAAATTAGGCCACATGATGCAGATTGGATGCTGTCATCGTCAATACATGCAATCTTTACCTCAGTAAATTCAATAAGTAATTATATTCTATACAAATGGAGGATATGCTGTTGCGCAATATCATTACGCTTGAGGCTGTGTTGCTATACCGAATGTCACTGTAATTGAGCTAGTACAAAAGCATTCCTCTTCATATAATATTGCTAAACTAAGCTTTTTCAATATCCCTCTGACTCAAGTGACATGAGAGAGAAATTCTAGGGAGATTTTTTTCTAGCTTTCAAGCACTGATGATGAAAAAATGAGACATTTCTGAGAAAGAGCAGGACTTAAAATCCAGCCTGCTGTGACCGGGTCAGATCATGTTTCAAAGGAATTGTTAATTCAGGCAGTTTCTGGAGTCATGAAATGTATGACGTGCCGGAGTTGTCAAACATCCAAAAGCAAGATAAGCTTGACATGTATAAATGGGAAAGTAAAGGGTTAATTACTTGAAACTTGCAGGGGCTCAAAAGTAAAACTCTCATAGAAGAGTTAAAAGGGGTCTCTTGAGAGAAACTCTGATTACTGAAGCACAAAATCTCAGTTTTCTCGGCTGATAGCATAAGTGCTGAATTGCAGGCCCTTTGATTGGTTTGACAAACTCCACAGAAACATACAGGGGGGAAAAAAGTGAGCGGGAGAAACTCAAATAACGATGAGAACAGTTTAAAAAGATGCGGAGGGGGGGGATTAAGGTCAGGGATGGTATTTTGTTTGGCGGTCTGCGCGAAATCCTTTAAAGATCCGGGTTGTTTTTGTCTCCCTCTCTGCTTTCAGCGACAAAGTCTTCTTAGAATCACAGCATGAGGTTCAAAGTGAAGAAAGCTCGACATGAAAGAGAAACAGATTTTCTTCCAGGGGAAATCAGGCAGACAGCGAAAGCAACAGCCAGGGAGGCAAGCAGTGAAGTGATGGGGAAAACCCCCTCGAGAATGCACTAATAATAAGTGATACCTCGGTGCAACAGAGAGGAAACCCATGTGAATTTGGAACATGCACCATTTTTCAGTCTTTACAAGCAGCGCCGTCATCTCCACGGCTGTCCGGCAGATTTGCACTTGAGCGTAGACGGCGAGGAAAAGCTGCAGAGTCATGCAGCTACCTGTTGAGGTATGGCGCTTAAAGGAGGGGCTGATTGAAAACCAAACAGCGCTCTTTGAATGTGTGTGCCTGTTATTCGATCCAGCCAATTAGCCTCGAGAAACTGGGGTCAGCGCAGGTCTCCACACATTGCGCATTCGAGCTCAGGCTGTGTCAAGCTCCACATACTTTTAATCTGTGAGAGCAGTGGGGAAAACAGCACACTATTAGGTCTGGTGCTAGCTGATCACTGCACTCCTGTGACCAAACTCTACTCTTCTACACGATAAAGGCAACTTCGAAGTACTTTGGCGGCTCTTGCTTAATCATGACAGGCAACATTTGCAAAAAGCAGATTTGCATACATCACGATTCTAAATCCTGAATAAATAGTTCACTCACGCTCTCACATTAGCATGGCACTGACTGTGGCGTTGGTGTTTGTGTGAACTGTAAAGGCATCAATTATTCTTAAACTTACAGGATCGGTATTTAGCGCATTCTGTATTTGCTTCGTAGAGCAGCATTTGGTATCACATACAGGATGCGTTTTTGGAGCATGGCAGCGGCGTAATTCAGCCACGGTCAGCTGGGCTCAGTATAGAGGAAACAACATGCTCACAGCAGGTTGTTTTGCCTTTCTGTGGTCTTTTTCCTGTTAATTAAGATATAATTCAGTACCTGTGAGCCTCTACTATACGTGAAAAAGCAACGTGATTTTACAGTTTCGGTTTTTGCAGGTTTGCTTGTCTTTAATAAAGTAAACTATGTGCCTTTATGTTGTTACCTTCAGACAGAGTAAGTAGTTAAAAGTCCTGTTGGGGTCCACATGGATCAGGGATCAACCATCGGGTTGTTCTGTGTTACTGATAAATCCATAATCAGCAACAGTGATGGGCACGGCAGTTCTTTTAGATGTACTGAATCAGTTCACTAAAAAGATTCGTTCAAAAGATTCGTTCATCAAATCATTGAATCATTTAGTGGGAGGAGCCTGCGACTTGCAAGTTGTTGTGGTGGCAATTTAGCAGTAAATTAAAAAAGGTTGTTTTGTCCGACAAAAATGATTCCAGAGAGTGCAGTTCAATGCGTGATTCGTTCACCAAGTGATTTCGGTGTTGCTGCATGCGGTCCCTCGTTCTCTGGCTGCTGGCCTGGCAGTGCTGTTTCTCACTTCAGCTCAACCGAAGTGAGAAATGAACAAATCACTCAAGGAAGTGATTCGGTTCAGTGCATTCACGTAAAAGAATTGGTTCTTTTGAACGAATCGTTTGTGAACGAAACAACACTAACCAGCAAGTATTTCCCATCTACGCGAACTGATACACATTCAGGAGTTCGCATATGGTGTTTTATTTTGAAATACCTGAAGAAATGTGCGGTTTTCCTGCTTGACTTCCTGTCTAGGACGATTTTCTCTGTGTGGATTGACGCGCATTGGAAGCGTAGAGCAGCGAAAATAGACTCATTGCGTATCTTTAGCAGTGCTGCTCTCGAAACGATGCTGCGACGGAGCTGATACGCGTCCTGTATTATTTGCCGTGTAATACGTGACGCTGCTGCCGCGCTCCAAATACGCATCTTGTATGTTTTAGCCTTAAGTCTAAAAAAAAAACAAAAAAACAAAAGAGAAACCAAGAGAGAGCTATTTGAGCAATTTCATCCATCCCTGTATCCGAGCTCACCTTCAGCACATGTCACCGCCATGAGCGAATGAAGGGCACCGTGAATGTGCGTGTAAATGTGGAGCGTGGGGGCCACTGGCTTCCCATCATGCAGCGCGCGCCTCAGAAATAGAGCAGGAGAGAGGCAGGGACCCCTGGGATGGTGGCACGGAGCTAAGAAAAGAGCTCCTCTGCTCTCATTTAAACAGGGACAGGTGCTGGAGGAGGGGAGAGGTAGGCCAGACTAAAGAGAAAAGAGAGAGAGGAGGAAGAGAAAGAGAGAGAGAGAGAGAGAGAGAGAGAGAGAGAGAGGGCTGCATGTGTGTTTACAGTGTGTATCCTCCTGGGCGCTCATTCAAACACAGCATGTTGGGGTTAACGTTTCACCTGGCACTGCTAACCTCTGCTCTCCACGACAGGCGTGCTGTTTAGCTTTCAGACTGTGTCCATTCACCACCATGTCTCACATCCATTTACCTCACAAAGACAATTACGCTACATCAGTATGCAGCCTCATTTTCCCCACATGAACCTTTTTTCTAAGGTAATTACAAAGAGGGCTGTTTTTTTTTCTCTCCTCTCTCCCTCGCATAGCATGGTTTAATATGACCCCCCCTCCTCTTTCTCCTCTCATGTATGTAATTTCCCTGAAGATATCTTTTCGCTGAGTCCACTACATGTGTGGTATTATCATAATTAGCATGGTTACAAATGTTGATACGAGAGGGGAAAGATATTCGATTCCCCCTTGGATGGAGACGCTGGACTGTAAGCACTTCACATTCCTGCCCAGGCTGTTGAGAAAAGAAGAATCAGCCAAACGGCTCAAGAGGAAGCTCACTCTTTTGGGGTTTATCCAGCGAGGATTTGCCACTGCATTTCGAAGATACACTACATAACACTAGTGCTCTTTACATGCCCGGTTTGTAGCCCGACTTTGACACTAATCCCTAAAACTTCCAGCAGTGAAATATTACCCATGTGGGACAGCGTGGGGGAACACACCCAGCCAAGAAAGACACAGAGCAGCTCTTAACTGTACTTCACCTGAGGACTCGGAAAGAACACGCTGACCATGCTGGAGAGTTGTAAACAGCCCCATTATCAGAAAGCTATTTCTTTTCACAACCCAGCCCGTATAAAAAGTGTCTTTACTTCACTGTCATGTTTACAGGGTGAGATTTAAGATATCGAGTCCTACAAATGTCATCTGCTTTACTTGTTTTGGAGCAAAATCCTTTTTAAATAACCACAAATTCTAAATCTGAAACATGCAAACAAGATGCGTCATTTGGGTATTGCTACTTATGTCCTGTAAATTAAAGCTGCAGTCAGCAACTTTTGCATCGGAGTTTGGTTAAAAAAACAAATCCTGATCCTGACTGCATGCCGCCAACAACATTAAATAAAAACAACTGATGTGTGCCCAGTGGAAAGGAGCTTTACCCCCACTGTCTACTGCATTGGGAACGGCTCCAATCCAGAACGACTTTTGCCGTCCGACAATTCCTACCGGATCCGTTTGTAAGGCGAATTTCGTGTCATGTTAGGGGATTCATGTGCAATCACGTGATAACAAGTTGTCTCTAGCAACATGGGCTAACCATATAAGCCATTATTTGTGTCCTTCAAGAAGAGAAAATCCACTTCTAGACTTTCAGAATCAGCATCTCCTCATCTATGGTGTCATTGGGGTGAAATGCCGTCTATAAACCTTTGACTTGTTCGTCCCCGCCCGTTTGCCTGGTGTGAAATACGATCTACTTGAAACACAAAGTGTTTTATTTTGAAAAGAAGCCAGATGTTTTACTTTGTATCTGTGCCCGTCTTCCTTTCCAGCACGGGTTAATCTGTGCAGAATTTATCCGGCATGCTCCGGCGTCCGGAAAAAATAGAACTATTGCGATCAGCTGTAGAGTCCGGCGATCCGCAGCGGAACCGAAAAGAAGCCGGTGGAAGTTGACACATTAACTTGAAAGGTTACAATCAGCAACAATCGGCAGAAACGTCCTTTTCGTAGCTGTTCAGGATGTGGTGGAAATTGGGGGTAAGTCAAAGCAGATAGGCATTTCCAAAATATCAGGTGAATTTTCTCCAGCATAAAACCGCAAAGAATTTGGAGTTTCATTATCAACAGTTAAACCATTACAGATAGAGAATATCTGGTAAAATCCATTTATAAGTTCAACCCTGGATGGCTCTCAGGCGGCACTGTATAAAAAGCAGACATGCCATTGTCTGGGAAGACCTCTGCATGAATTACAACAACACGGCTCTGTAGTAGAAGAGTGCAGTTGCTAAACTAGCTTGTTTGCAGTTGCTCATCAAAAACAGGGCTGTTTTTCACCTCTCTCTGAGGGGTTCTCAGGCTAGATGGAACTTACAGGTCCAGATCTACCCCTCAACTGACACTTTTTGATGCTAAGGTGCAACAGCTCTACTCCAATCTCCGAGCTCCTGACCCTCTCTGTAAGCCCTGCAGCCACCCCTCAAAAGAAAGTCACTCTTTCTGTCACTAATCAAAGATCATGTCCACGTTTGAGAGTTGGACATTAGATCGACTTGTGAACCTTTAGGCTCAGCTGCGTCTTCTCTTGGCATTAATGCTGAAGAAGCACCAACTTGTCTGTCGATACCATGATCCATTTTACTCTTATTCATGAACAAAACCTAGAGATACTTAGAGAAACCGAGACTCACTCCACCTTCACAGAATCACCATCCTCATGTGGTGGAGGGGTTTGTGTGTCTCTGTGTATTTTAGAGCTATGCTGCCAGAGGCACTTGCCCAAAGGAAAACTGGTCCCAGAGGACTGGACTAAGAGGAATCCAATAGGCCTCTATGAAGAAGAAAAAGGTAGAGGAGTCCCCTTGCCTAGAAGAAAGGCACCAGTGGACCCCCTTTGAAGCCAGACCTGGGGAAGAGTTGAAAGAGATCAGGTGCTTCGAGAGCCAAAGTCAAAGTGGAGACCTTTGGCAGCACAGATCGGTTTCCTCTGTGTACGCTTTACAAAAATATTTGAATGCTTGTGAACTTTTTGGTAAAAAGGCAAACCTGGGTGGTGAAAACAAAGATAAATACCTCTGTAGGGATGATGACAGATCGAAACACAAATTTTAAGAGGAGTTTAAACCTCTGACTCCCCCGTTTGGCTTCAGGTCTAGTTGTAAATAAACCTCTTAGCTCAGATGGATACAAACACACAGAAAAAAACTGCCGATCCATAAAAGGTTGTTCAACATAAATCCCACCATTTCCTGCATTTCCCATAAAGAGTAAAAAAGCCACGAATGTCGGAGAAGTAATAAGTGCGACGAGGGATAAAAGACGAGGAAGATGGAGGAAACAGAAGAGGAGAAGGAAAAGAGAGGGAGGGCAGGAAAGCGTGCGTTTGATCGTGTGTTTGTGTGCACGCATGTGTGTGTGTGGGTGGCAAAGTGACAGGCGATGATTAGCCCAACCAGAGGAGGATGTGTGGGAGGGAGAGTGTGGGAGTAGTGGGGCTGGAGATAGAGAGTCAGTCTCTTTAGGCGGAGATATACACAAGTGGATTAAAAGAGCACTCTAACTGTATAAACACGTAGAACTGTCAGCAGCTTTATGCACAAAGACTGCACACAACCACGGTAGTACAAATGGTTCAAACACATTCTGTGGGTAAAGATGCTTTTCCAAAGTGTGCATGCTTGTTGATAATGAAAAAAGCAGCTGAGGGCATTACTTCAATCATTTTTACTATCCCTGTTTAAGCATAATATTTATGCCCGTGTATGAGTGTGTGTGTGCGTGCTGAAGACAGAAGGATAAAGGAGGAAGAGAGAGATGGAGAACAGCTGCTGACTCTTAGGCGTGTAGGTGGGACCATTTGCAACCCGTCTCTTACTGAGCCTATGTGGAATAAATGAACGGGCTTTAAAGGGGGTGAGGGCAAACTCACGGGGGGATAAATCCACGCAGGACACAGTGAAGCAAACACTAGTCAGTTTAAGATCGACTCAATAACTGACATAATAAAATTATTACTTATGCTAAAATCAGCTTCTATGCGCAGGATCTCAGTAAGTATATATTTACCACTACATGCTCAAGTTTGGGGACGCTGATAACAGGGTTTTTGCAGAAGAAGAACTTGCTGTGGTTACATCCAATCTAAGGTAGAACAGTATGAAGATCTGATGGCACTAGATGCTGAAGGCTAACCAGGTCGAGATCAGGTTCTGGTCAGAGTTCTGGCTCTAAAAAGGCTAACAATTGCCATTCCTTCCTACATGTGTCAGACGGTGCCTACTAGGGCTGGGTGATATGGCCTCAAATCAATATCATGATATATTGAGCAGATAACTACTCCACAAGCTTCTTACCCCTCCCACATTAACTTCATCCACTCCGGCTGCTAGGACTTTTGAACTGTCCTCTATCTTTCCACCTGTTTTTCCCGCTTTGGATGGGTTGGAGTCATGTTTCTGACGCAGGACAGCATTGTAAAGGGACATGAGATCGTAGCCTACCTACACACATCCAAAACCAACTATCATTTATTTATTTATTTTTATTGTTTTGACACCAAAAATACCGATATGAGCAAAATGATTTTGGTTATTGTCGTAAATTTCGGTTTCAGTAAATTTTCGGTTTATCGCCCAGCCATACTGCCTACCTAAAACACCGTAAAGTACTGGCTCAAGCATCTACCTATTAAAGGTTGGGGTGTTGGGGCCATTGGTGGCAAAATGGTAGGACAAGAAGTATCCTACTAGTTAAAATCTGTGTATCGGATCTAGGTTAAAAATTGGGAGACTGGGTTTCATATTGGGATTGAGTGTTTGTCCAACTGGGATTAAAGATTAAAGTCAGATTATAAATTGGGGATTATGATTAGAATGAGGGTATATATTGAAATTAAGAAATAGAGTCTGTATAAGAAACAAGGATTTGAAATTAATCATATACTTGGATTTAAAAGATGGAGTCTGTCTATCATTTTGCGAATAAAGATTGGAGTAACATATTGAGATTATGAGACTCATACTCAGATGAAATTGGTGTCTGTGTATTATAACATGATCACTAATACCTCCAACACCCTTTATGTCCGTAATCCATGGATATTTTTACTTTTACCAGACAAACAGGAAACCCCGAGCTCTGGGTCTCATTCCTGCTCATGATTGGACAGGAGGTCGGAGCGATGGCACCGACCTCAGGGTGGGAGCTCTACGGCTGCAAGCAGGTGGCTGGAAAATAAAACAACAGTAACCCCACCCGGGGAAATTACTGTGTCATGCAAAGGCAGAGGGGGGGTGGATTCAGAGAGGCTTGCATATTGTACTGCAGACAGCCTTTATAAACAAATACCTATAGACATCAAAACCATATCTGTGTCATGTTACAGCCTCACAGAGCAACTTGGTCTGGATGGACTCAAAAATATAAAAACAGACAGATAGAAGGAGCCTTTTCAAGAGCAGAATGAGTCACTGCAAACATCCAGTCCCTTGCAAATCCTCCTGCAGGCAGGGCTTTTGAAAATGGAATCAGTTTTCAGCTCCCTCATACACACTTCTGACAAAAGAGGTGCGTAAATTGATATATTCTGCACACACATATACGCTGTACACACAATCTCTAAAATAGGCATTGTTACATCTCTCCGAACAGGAAGAAGGCTACCCGAAATAATGCAGAATTCTTTGCAAAAGCTCCTGTCATTTTCTGCTCCAGTTCAGCTGAGGATATCTATCTTGGAAAAGCCCACTACTGTAAATAAGGTTGTAAAAGTTTGGAATCAATGGGAAACCTCACCGAAGCTTCACGGTTGAGAGAAAGAGGCGGAGAAAAAGAGAGTGAAAGGGAGAGAGAGAGAGGGCGGCTTTCTGAATTAAACATCCTGAGAGAGAGCACTTTCATGTCAGTCCCGCTCGGCCGGGCTGGAGGAAACCCAAACTGGATCTTAGCTGCTCTGCAACAAAAGCCCCCATCAAATCAACAGCTACTCCGACACAGATCAAGCAGTCGAAAGCACAATCAGCGCGAAGGGAATCTTTTCAAACAGGAGCTGATTTCCCAAGAGCTGTGACAGTAAATACAGACACAGATCACCTAGGTAACGACTCAGTGTGAGAGGACTGGGTGTTGCTTTTCCAATTGACCTCTATGTTTGTAACCAGACTACAAACACATTTACAACGACACGCAGAGACGTCTCATTGACCTGACACACGCCTGTCCTCGCAGGATTGATAGAAATCACACCGGAAATCCACGAAATTGGAAAACTGCTTCTGTGAATATAAAAAGACCTCTCCAAAATCAATCAACAGACCAGATGAAAAACATGCCTCCTTCATCTGTACTGTTGTAAATAAATGATGATCAGCTCCCACCTCTCTGTGCCGATGGTACTGCATTCATTACTGTAACCTATTTCTATCTGTGATGACATTCCCCTGACAGAAGCAGGCCCTTAATTTGGAAAGAGTTATTTCCTCCTCCATGAAAAAAAAGAGTAAGGACGCAGACAATTGAGAAAAACTTCTGATTTCCAGATTTTCACAACTTTAAATGAGTCTGTGCGTGTGAAGAGCAAAGCCAGAGTCAGTCCAACACCGAGACAGGAAGCACAATAAAAAAAAACAGACATCATGAGGTGTTTGTTCGTCACTTACCCAGATCTTTGGATCCTTGACTCTCGCTGGCAAGTTCGCCCATTCTGACCAGAGCGTCAAAGTAGCCTTTGGCAGCAAAAGTCACATCTGGAACAAACAAGGAAAAGAAAAAAAACACGATAAGACAAGTAAATAGAGGTCTCAAAAGTTTAGCCAACAACCTTCGTACTCTTTCCTTTCAGATTCTTTCAAATGGTGAATCACCGCGTCACGACTATCAGGAAATAACGTAATTAGTCGGCTTGAACAGGTACAAACCATGTTCTTTGTCATGTTTTTTCCAGCTGTCACATTCAGAAGTTAGACTCCCATTTCCCTACGGTGTTTGAACACTAAATTTAATATTTAGAAACCCATCTTCTACATTTCTTTTTCATTACAACTTGAGTTAATGTTGCACCAACCTCTAAGGCTTTTACAGATCAGAGATAGAAACACTTGTTTGGCTTTTCTCCAGCTAGAGTTCAGATTTAAAAGAAACACATATTAGATGGATTTATATGGCTAGTCCATCTGATTTCACGCTGCATGTGTGTTCAAACATTCAATGTCATCCTTTAGATTTAATTTCAGGGACACTTTTCATCCCCAGCCTCTGTCTGTCTGATCTCTTACAAAATTGACCTTATAATTCAATATTTGCCGGCCGAGGAAATAGCAATGTCACGCTGTTAACCACATGCTGTTAGCCACCACTGGTCCTTTCCCTCCTCCACTCCATTTCATCTTTTCGGTCAATATGTCTGAAGACTGAACAGCAGGAAGCCACTGTAACTTGTGAAGGCTTTTGTTTGTTGAATGGATTATAGTTTGTACACCTGTATAGACATGGATTCCACCCACTGGGGTGTCCCCCTCTGCATCATGAGAGGTTAAATGGATACAGGAGTGCTGGATATTGCTGGTGTTATTGCAGTGCGACTAAAGGTTTGTAAAAGGAGTCTTTTCTAGTCCGGTTTTGCTAACAAACTTGAATCGTTCTCAAACTGACCAATCAGTGCCTGCCATTCACCAAGAGTTAGCCAAGTTAAGTATTAAAGAATGTTGGAAAAGCAGTGTTTATTTATTTACAGATCACATTTATCTTACAGTCTCTGCAGAAGGCCACAAATCTGTTTTTCATCACGTAATAAAGGCGTCCCTCAGGGCTCTATTTCGGGACCCATTCTGATCTCTATTTTCGTACACAACCCAGGGTACATTCAAGCAAAAAATACTCCTCTATGCTAATGATGCCATCATCTACACCCACGCTGCCTTTGTTACAAAAGCAGTGCAGGAGCTTCAGACAGCATTTCAGTCCACACAAACAGCGCCAGTGAATTTAAATGTAGTTTCGAACGCTCCAAAACGCAAAGTTCAGGGTCTTTTCTGAAGCTTACTTGCAACAACGAGATGAATTTGATGTTTTCATTCCTAAAGGTAACCCCATAGAAAATGTAACCTCTGAGAAGTACTTGATAAGTGAATAGAATACAAATTAATCAAATCTACATATTGCAGATCTATTTTTTTTCTACATCTACATCTTTTCCTGTCTCTACATTAGATGGGAGAAGTTAGTGTCAGCGTTTCCTTTCAAATCTTAAGAAAAATAACCAAAATTTTTAGAAATGAGCAAAGATGATTCAATCACCAGAAATTTTGACTTGGGAGTTGTTTCCCTCTGTACTAGTTTCTCTGTAACTGACTTGAAAACGAGCAGTAATGGGCTTATCCTGACTGCCTAATTTGTTTTTCACACTTATAGATAAGTGAGGTCAAGGGTTATTGAAACAGATGCCACAAGTTAAGTGCAGACTTGCGGAGTCAATCCGCAGCCTTATGTACCAACAGACAAAACACTTGACCTTTGTTCCAGATCTTTTGTATAATACATCAGAGAAACAATCCGTGAGGTTAATCCTAATCGGCAGCCACGTCTCCTCGACTCAATCACCAGCTAAATAAAGATCAAGAGCACTTCTGGTTCACTACTGTAGATCAATATCCACCTCACTCCCTATTATTTCAACTGCAGCTGTGCCGGCCAACAAAAGGTCACAGGGGACAAAGTCTGCTTCCAGTGATCTCTGCCCCGTCTGCCTGTAAATCAGTCCATCTTTAGAGGAAAACAGCCCCTGCTTTTTTGGAGGTGAACTCAGCAGCGGTCGGGGTGACAGATGGGTCCTGTGCCTGCAGGTAGCTGCCAGGTGAGAGACAAATGTGCAACAATAGCAAAGGCAAAGGTGGGCTAATTCCAGCAGACGGACGCAGGCCTGCAAAAGGGGGGCAACTTAGTCCTATAACCTACAGGTATGCAGGTATTGTTGAAAACAGAGGTTTTCCTATTCCATAGAAAAGTGATAAATACATGACAGTGCAGAAACAGTCTTGGTAATGTCATGTCAAGGGGGGCTCCTTCAAAGCTCAAGAACTTTAAGAGAAACTTAATCAAATGAAATTGTCGTTTTTAGCCCAAAATGCAAAAAAAAAAGAAGTTTAAAAACAGTTTTAAGACATTTCTTAAACAGGCCGGTAACGACACTTGAGATTACCAGGGCTCGACAGTGCGACCGTTTCACTCACATTACTAAAAATCGTATTATATTTTTGAATTTCACAGTGGACACGCACCGCTGATCTACCAGTGTCTTCTCACTCTCCATAACCAGGAATGGCAAGAGCAGCATGGTTAAATCTACTTGGCACCCTCGCTGTAAACATCGAGTGTTAAATAAGGGACCATCAATAAATTACCTGTTGATTTTCTCAAAAAAAGGCTGTTTTCCTTCAATAGCTTCCATGTCATGTGACCAATTGACCAAAAATTTACTTCGAATAACAGCACTAAGGTCAGACAATAACATACACCTCTTAATTTCCCAAATGTGTTGTCTAAAAATTTTTGTTTAATTTAAAGGAACATTTTGAACATTTTCTTTAATAGCTTCCATTACGTGTGACCACTCCACCTAAAATTGATTTCAAATAATAGTACTTATGTCGACCAATAAGACACACATTATTTGATCAGCTTTTATTGTGCCCCAAAAGTTCTTTGTGTGCTCCTTAATTTTTCAAGTGTCAAGCCCTGATTACATAAGTCTAAGACGGGCATCCGTGTAATCAGTCCATCACATAAAACACCACAAAGAACTTCGTGCTCGTTGCGTACCTTAGACAATTGTAAACAGGGATCATCAAACATCAAACAGAGTAGCTGACTACAATATCTGTGCTTAAGTTGTTTATTCGCCACAAACACCTAAAGAAAGCTTATTTTCCCTGTAAACATCCAATTAAGGAGTAATAAATGAGCCTACTGTCTCTTTGGTGCATGTGCAATACATGTAAACAACTATTACCATGCATGCATAATGAGGTAATGCTAGCAGCTTAGAAAAATACCTTTAAAAAATCTCCACAAAAGGCCCAAACACATATGAAAAAGCGACAAATTTAAAAGACACTCCTTACGTGTGAACTAGGCCTTAAGTAGGAGGAGCCGCAGACCTGCTCAAAGGCTGAGGGACGTATGCTAATGCTAATCCCAATTACAGCTGAGTCAAAGACAGGAGAGGGGAACTGTGCCCCTCCCTCTCCCCTCGCTATAAGGAAGCACCTGAGAACTAAGAGCTAACACTTCTGAGCATCACAGCTGATTTTTCTTCATTATGCCAAAAGAGATCCTCCGCCTGCCTTGATGTGGAAGATGAATGTGTGTGAACATGTGAGCGTTCAGCAGGGGTTCCTGCGAGTTGAATGGTGCATGCTACAGCAGATTTTCAAAGTGATTTCTAAGCAGCAGAGACACTTTCTTCTTGCTGATGCTGCCGTTGCTGTAGCGCCTGTGTGTGCAGTTGAAGGGTGTGCAGTTGAAGGGTGGCTGAGTAGATAAGCTGGATCTATACAGATACTCCTGTCTAATGAAATGTGTGGTGAGGGGCTCAGAGAGACAGACGGAGAGGATTACCGGATCTCTGATTGCGAGGCGGGCAGACAACACAGGAGGGGCTCGTCTCAGAGCGGCTGATCCGTCACTCATTCCTCACTCCGGAGAAGAGGAGGAACAACCACACATCTCTTAATCAGGACAATCATCATTTCCTGTACCTACACTGTCCTCATCATGTTGTCTGGGGACTTGTATAACAAGTTCAAGGCTGTTTTTGGTAGGCGGGTGGAGTTGTGTGAATCTGCTAACCGAACCCGATGAAATTCTACGCTGAAAAATACAGACCTCGCCCAAATGCAGGTCAAACAAACCCACCCAGAAGGTTCTCTGTGGAATAATTTCCCTGATGGCACCATATGGATAGAAGTTTGTCCTCTCATCCCCTGCCCCCTCAAATCAGAGCTTCTTAGCCCCTTGGGTTTTGCCAATCCAGCAAAGAGGGTCTTAAATGGCTCACTGAGTCCCTACCAGTCTGTTTTCCAAATACACCAAGGCCAGGATTAGCTAATTTGTATCCGGGATGGAGGTGCAGGATGGGGAGGAGGAAGAAACCCTGCTGCTTTCTTATCATTTAGACGAGGGGTTAAGATTGGGGGGTGGTTAAGGGGAAAGTTTTGCATGAAAGCCAAAGGACTGTTTCTTAACTGAATATAATCAAAGTTGTACCAGAAACCCTGATCCAAAATAAAACCGTAACTATAAAAACAGACCATAAAAGCAGCTTGTTTTGCTATCTAGACTTTATTTTGACTGTATAGAGGAGATAATGTTTTGATTGACAGCTCAATTGTTGTCCATTACATCTGCCTTCTGCCTGGCTCCGCCCACAGCTACTCTAATAATTAGTGTGGTTAGGCTTACGGATAATGTCGGAGGAGTTGGTTGCTGAATGATGAGCTACATATTTAGCAATTAGCATGGATATGCAACACTAGCTGAGACGTTTTGAAAGCCATTAAAGCAAAGCTGCATGCTGGTATAATTAGGTAACAGTGCACTATTATGGTGCTGTACTAAGTGCATCAGTGCACAACAAAAATAGATAATTATTAAAGCAACTTGAAGCTCTTGTAAGGGACTTTTGTTTGTGTGGCTTTTGGCGCCCCCTGTGGACAAAGCAACAGCTAATTTGGTTAATTTTATCCTATACTCAGTGAATAATAAAGGCTTTTCCTACATCGTCTGACACGGACCAGCATGTGCATTTAAACGTAGAATCAGGGACTTCACAGTCTCACTAAGGGTGGTCTCTTTTAGGTCATAAAATATTCTTATGATTTCAGCCTGTTTCATAATCACCTTTAACTCCTCACAGACACTATGAAACACTCTGTCATCTAAAAAAATCATCTGCAGATGAAACACACACTGGGTATAAATTAGGGATGATCAAAGTGATTAAGCTCAAAGTCCTTTTGATGGAAATTTGAATTCTACCTAACTGTTTAGTCTTAAAGAAATACAACATTCAGAAAACAGTCAGAACTGAGCACAATTTCTGAACAGCATCACAGAGAGTTTGTTAACATGGTCAAAAAGAATAGCAAAACTTCTCATAGTTGGATAAACAAACCTGGGGATTGGTTTTATATAGCTCAAATGGACTAAAACTTAACTAAGTGAATGACAAAACTTTCCCATTGTACCTTCTATAGCAGAGGTGAACATGCTTCTGTCAATAACTCAGTTTTTTACTTGTATGTAAACCAGAACAAGAGCAAAAGTCCAGTTAAATTATCTAATCAAGCTTTAACCGTAGCTTGACTTCACTGTACATGTAAACAAACCTACTCCACACAACCTATATACCACAACACTTTCAAACCATGCTACTCTAAAGATGCCATTTGTCATCCATGCTTGATTGCATCCAGGTAGTAGAGCATTTTGACATCGTGGTAGGATCTATTAACCAGAGTTGCCGCTTAGACACCATGTATAACATGCACTTTAAGCCAATAGTAATAGAAATAGTGATTTATGACTTTAAAGGGATATTCTGGTGTAAAATTGAGTTAGAGTCAAACACACAGGAAACAAGCAGCTGATGGAGGAGCATGGGTGAGTTGTGTTTAGTCTCTTTGCTGAAGAAATCAGGCAGAACTAAAAAGATGTTTGATGGCTAGTACCATGGCTGAGACCCTATATGTACTGTTGATGAAGTTAGGTGCTGTTCTGAGCATTATTTGTGGCTATAGAGTGGCGTTTTCGTTGAGGTTTGCACATGGAAGCGTAGACCACTGTGTATTGCTATCGTGCGGTCGTCACTAAAGTTAGTAAATGTACACTGGAATATCCCTTTAACTAACAACTAGCAAGGGTGACTGAGTTTGAATATTTAGCCACCCAAATCCACACGTCAATAATTTAAATATCCGATACATTTACTGTGAAACCATTCATTTTCATATAAACGTCTTGGTAAATAACATCTGTGAGTCCAAAATCAGTTCAGGAGAAACTTGCAGTAAATGACAGCAGGATTTTATAAGGATTCTGATTTTGGTGGATTTTGCTTCGAGGGTCTGACAAACATCCTCACATGCTTTTATTTGTGAATCTGACAGAAAGCTTTCCTCACCTCAGCCTCAGATTTGAAACCATTCCTTTTTTTTTTTTCTTTTCTCTGAATACAACCACTACAGTACGGTAAGGCCTGTTAGAAAGAGAAGAGTGCTGGCTTGGCTGTGTGCCTCACGCTCACAAAAAATAAACGAGAAAAAGAAAAAAAAAAAGAGGACTTACTGGCAAGGGCCTTCTCATAGTTCTTCCCCATGGCAACAAAGTTCCGTAAGCAGGGGTTGAACTGCTCCATGATGGTCTGAAAGAGAAAACAAGAGAGGGATGTGAGCTTCGCTTATCAGCAGAGAGGGGTCAAGGGCAGAGAAGAAAGGATGACTTACACCTTGCTCTACTCGGTATCTCATGCACTTTCTGCCTCACTTTATCGCACACACACCACACACAAAAACCTCCCCCTGCAGCTGTGCAAAGCCTGTCTTCTAAACAGCCATCAACGAAGACTTTAGACACACTTTGTGCTTGTCTTGAATGACAATGAGGACAGGAATGAGTTCCTCCTCCTACGTCCTGCCCTCTTACAGTGAGAAATGGTCCAGGTGGGATGAAGAGGAAAGAGGAGGCTGGGGGTTGATGATGATGATGGTGGCGGAAGAGTGGGAGACACTCTCGTGGACTTAAAACAAAGTGAGTGTGAAATTTGCATTGACGGGGAAGCACAAAGTTACCCTGGAGCTTTGGATGATGGACTCAGAGGCTTATCACGGCTGACAGGGAGCACATTAGACAAAGTTAACTGTATAAATAAAGGCAAACGATGCTACAGATGTTGTAGCTATAGATAACTCGCAAGAATAAGGTCGTGAGACAAGTTATAATGAAAATATTTTCTTTTTAAAAATGAAGGTGTCCTGAAATAGAAAGTTATGATTCGAAGAAAAACTGGACAGATTTTTTTTGTCAGGGCAGCAGTATTACGCTGCATAACCGGGGAGTTTCAGTATCACACTGTGCTGCAGGCAGAGTCGCTGTAAATGCAGAGACTGCATGATGCCTGACATCTCCAACCACCATCATTTCCTCTACATCTCCTCCTCCTCCTCCTCCTCCTCTGCTCCTTCCTCCTCCTCTGCCCCTCCAGGGCTCCCTCCAATTAGCCGGTCCCCAGTCAGCGAGTCAGGAACAGCCAGGGGACACAGAGACAACCACAACAGTGCTGCAGCAGCAGTCTCTACACAGGCCATCAATACTGCAGAGGAACGCTTAATAATTTGCTTCTATGCAGGATCTTTGCTGTGACAGGATAATGTGGCAAAATGCCACCATTGTCAACCTGAAACAACCCTGGCAGCTCAATCTGATAATCATCCGCGTCTTATCCTTAGTCAGAAGTCAGCAGATTTTACTCTGCCTTCATTTTGCCGCCTGCCTTCTTCTATTCGTAACGAGAGATAAGATTTGCATCGGAGGGTGTATGTGAGCGCGGCTGGTTTTGAGAGTGTGCGTTTTTCTCCCATCCAGTGACACAGTTCAAGTGGCTGAAGTGCAGCACAACCCACCTACAGCACAAATACCAGTGAGTCACGCATCCACCAGCAACACTTTCATTACAAACAGTAATTATTTCACCACGCCTCTACTTAACTGTGCAGCAAAACTGAACTGGATTTTTTAAAATTATCTCTCGTCAGTCACCTTTAATTACGAAGCTGTGAAAGATGCAGTTTGTTTAATCTCAACGGCATCAATAAGAAAAGGAAGACATTTATTTTGTTTGGTTTCATGAGGGATGCTAGACTGATTCTTTAGGTTGATTTCACGCAGGTGAGAGTATCTATCAATCTGACTGTACAGGTAGGACATAATTAAGTTAAACCACGATGGTAGTCGCCACACTGGAAATGCTGACTCAACCTAGCTTGGGGTCAACCAAACAGGAAAAGATTTCAGGTTCGGCCTGTTAGATGTAATATGAAAAAATTGTAATAGAACCAAAATTGTAATAAGTTCCTACATTAAGGGCAAAATGGTTTTATACATACCGGCCTTAAACAGGGCCATTGGTTTCCTGGGAAAGACCTCCCACCAAACACCCAACGCCATTTAGACGTCTTTTTTCAGGCTGAATCACGTTGACCCATCATGGCCGTAATTTAGCCCAAAATAAGACGTTGAAAACTGGGCTTTATTTAGACAATCTAAATCTAGATGTTGTTTAGACCTATGAAGAAGACATCTTTCCAACATCTTTTCAATCACTTTTTGCTGGGTGGGTTACTACCCACAAACCAAACTCAAAAGTGAGTCAAGTTAGCAGTAATTTAACCTCCCTCTGATCTGCGGAAAAGACAATCAGAGCTTCCAGGGTTAGGGTTAGGGGTTAGGGTTAGGGTTAGGGAAGCGAACCGAATGAGGCAGGAAGCCTGACAAATGCAACCATAGCGACAACAACAAGGGGAAGTAGCAGGAACCTTAGTGGCGAGCGAAGATTATCTCCTGTGTTTCACCTCACATTATACAAACAAAACTGTTAAATCCATCATCAAATGTCATCTCTAACATTATTAAAATCGATTACCTCTTGCTGTGTGTGTTATGCCTATAATAACAAGCTGAGATATTGCCCCTGTGTTGGTGTTTGTATAAGAAGAAGTTTCTGAGTCACGGCGCTGAGCTCACAGACAGGTAAGGTGTCATTAAAGCTTCCAGGACTGCCGGCCCTGCTGACCTCTGAGGTCACAATCCTCCCTGTTAAGTTACTCCCCCGCTGTTAAGTGTGTCTAGCCCTCGAGCTAAATGAACTCACAGTAAGTCTGCTGTGAAACAAGTCGGGGAGAGATAGCCGATTCCTTTTCACGAGGCACTTATTGTTTTAAATGAATGTATTACAGAGAGATATGAAAGCGCAGTCACTCCTGTTTAGTGCAGCTGGATGTGTTCGTCTAATACAGCAGAAGGGTAGGACGATAATTGGGGGGAGAATCCCAACCACACACACACACACACACAAACACACACGGCGCTCGAACAAGAGGCATCCCCGCTCTCTCTGCCTCTGGGAAGATAAAAGACAAACTCATCCCCCAGGACCTCTCGGCGGAAATGTTTATTCCTTACTGCTTCTCTACTCCGCCTGGTCCACATTTTATCCCGCGTCTCATTGATGAGGATGGGGTCGCGGTAACATGTGCGCACATTCACGCGTGTATAATGAGCGCACACCTACATTAACACAAGGCGTTATAATGAAGAGTGGAGGTGTTTCAGAGCGGTGGGAGGATTACATAACAAAGCCGAGCCTGGTGGTGCGGCATCACAGCGGCACACTCTCCCACTGAAGGGGCCAAAGGTAGCTGACACAGGCATGGCCGCCTTTCTTGCACGCACTCCCGCTGACCTACTGCCACTGAATAAACACGCGGAGAAACTTCACTTTAAAAGAAAACTCCATGATTAAAGGCGGATTATATAAGAGGAATACATTAGAGTCAGTGACGTGCAGCTAAGGGAGGGGAAACAGTGAGGTAGACTTCCTATTGTTGCTAAATTTGTCATCCCAGTCCTCTTGTACTACATTGTCACCCTAATTGTGGCAGCTAATTGAGAAACGGGGCCAGGAGACTCTCGGAGTTGTGCGACATGAGAAGGAGACAGGAGAAAAACGCAAGGATGGGGTAATTTGACGACGACAAGGAAAAGGTAGGTAATAACTTTCCCATTTCAACTGTCTTTTGTGTCATCTTTCAATTAAAGGAATAATAAAGTCAGAAATATGTCACAGTTGGGCTCTAATCTTCCCAGAGAAGGGGAGGCTGTTCATTTTGCGCCCGCCTAAAAGAGGCCTGAATTAATTCACTATCAGGACTGAGGGCTGAAATTAAAGCGGGCAATTAAAGAAGTGCAGGGAAGAAGAAGAAGAAAAAAACACGTCTCGCAAAAAATGAAATCTGCTCGACATCCATTTGTGCTGTGAGGTGAGACAGGGAGAATATGGAGAAGTCAGGAACAGGAGCATAAAGCCTGCAGATAAGGGAAAACATTATTAAGAGGATTATAATGATTTCTCCCTCTGCCCTGACTAAATGAATTCCTCCTCAGAGTGGAAGCAGCAATTGAAACAAGCTCAGTGTGTATGAAAGAGATTGTCGATTCTAACTATGGGATATTCATCTATCTCCACTCATTCTGCTCCGTCAAACACACTCACCAACACACACACACATACAAGCGCACTAATGACATGCAAAGGGGGTAATTTCAAAGTAACACCAGCTGATTAGTACCAGGGGGAATCACGCGCAATCAGAAGCCAGGATGCCATCATCTGTTCCTTCTCGCCCTCTCCTCCTCTCCTCTCCTTCTTCCTCATTCCCTCCTTCTGCTCAGCAACCAGCAGCAGGCCTGAAATTGCCCGGGATCAGATGAAGCCACCAATTACTATTTGTGAGGACATGTCATGAGGTGACAGGTAGCAGGGGGGAGCTCGGCCCTAATGATGTAATCAGGGCGGGATGCGAAGAAAGGACAGATGCACTTGCAAAAACCGCATGGTAAGGGTTTTTTTTTCATTTCTTAATAAGGAGCTGTAAGAGTTTATGATTGGTTGACGTCATCTGCAGGAGAGCTAAGACCTTTAGCATAAACTAATTACTAGGCTAAGAGAAAATAGCCAGGTTGTAAGGCAATCTCCTGTCTGGCTGTCTCCTCTGAGCGATGAGGAAACGAGGATGGATGGAGAAAAGACACGTCAGGATCGAGATGTCTCATCACCCCGGCTCAGCAGCTTCCTGGGGGGAAACCTTTGTTTCGCAAGTTACTGCACTCAAGTTGACTCAAATGTCTGCAGCAGAGACGGACAAGCAGATATTCAACGAGAATATCTGATATGTGAATATCTGAATGTTAATTAAAAGAAACACAAAAGCTTCAGCCGCATGAAGGACACTGCACACGCAGTGATGTCATTCACTGTTTGGTGAGTCATGTTTCAGAGACATGAGTCAGCATCCTTGCTAGCCCCATCGAGGGTTCTGGAACCAGGACTGGATTTAATAAACTGTATAAAATACCCGAGTGCTCAAGTCCAGGACTCGAACATGACTTGGACTTGAGTGCTGATGGATCAGACTTGGACTTAGACCCCAACATTAACTACATTTAGATTCAGAGGAGGACTCAGATTTATTGATTAAGTTTCAGGTCCTGACTTTAAGGATGAGTTTGATGGCTCAGACTTGGACTAAGACTGGCACCTGGACCAAATTCAGATTTAGAAGATAAAGAGGAGGACTTGGACTTATTTGCTGACATGGACTGTGTTTAATAAGTCCTGACTTCATGGACTTTGTGGCTCAACTTGGATATGTGTTTTGTTTACTTGGACTTGAACTCTGACAGAGTTTGGACTCAGATGATAGAGAGGAGGACTCAGACTTAATTACTGATCAACACTGCTCTAATGGTTTTGAGTCCTTAACCTGAACTCAAGTTTTGGTAATTCAAACTTGGACTAGGACTAAATTTGGAGTAAGAAGAAAATGCGCCACGGTATCAGCATATTGGTTGAATAGTGAATAGTTTAGAGGACTTTGTATCCCTTTAATGCCTAACAACACTATTTATGGCCAGAAAAGTCACCTTTTTTGGAGCTGACATGTTTATTTCACTTTCTACTGAAAACCAAAAGAATCAAAATTTCCTTAAAATTAAACAAATATATTTATTTATCTCGTTTGATACATTAGATGTTTTTGGAAACTGATAAACAACAAGAGGACATTTTTATCATTTATCGGACTGTGATCAGGTGTTTTTTTAGTCATTTGTTGATCATATTGATTTGATAGAAGTTTATAAAAGTATATATCAAATATGATACAAAAAACAATAAAGGGGTAAAAGTCAAAACAAAGTTTCTAATTTGTGACCCACACCCCAAATTTAATGGAAAGTGAGAAGTTGGGGATACTTTCCATTTCTGTGAGTAATATGCTCGTCAATAGTCACAGTCCAAGGCGTTTGGGCAGTTACATTTCTGATTAATAGTGGGTGGGATGCAATTATTTGTTCATTTATTACTCAGCTGCAGTGTTCATCTTAAAAGTGTGTCTTCCCATTAAGGGAGGCTTGGTGTATAATGGTGTTCACATGACGCACAGCACCACGATTTCTTAATCTCCAGACACACTGAGAGATAAATCAGAAACTAATGCTGATAAATAAAATGGGTTTTGTGCACATTTAAAAAGATCCACACAGTCAGCCAAGGTTCATACTGTGAAATCAAACAGCAGTCACTGATTAAATAAATCTGAATAATGACAATGGGGACTTCACTTGGACTTCATCGAAATGTAATGAGGGTTCGACTAGGAAAACCTGGAGTCGGACAAGGATTGTTAAGACGATTCCAACATTGATGACAGGGTCAGTATGCATTGCTATTCTCACTGGCAGGTGAGATGCATACCTGCTTTGTGGCACACAAGATATTACAAACCGAGCATCATGATGTCTTGGTCAACTTTGAACTTGGACGAGGAAGAGGAAAGATCAGAGTTACACACCCCCTCAAGAGATGAATGTTGCCGACCGCTTGCTTCTCTAGTTATACCAACTTTAGTAATGACCGCACGATAGCAAAACAGAGAGCCACTTGCTTAACCAAAACACCACTCTATAGCCACAAATAAAGCTCAGAACAGCACCTAACTTCATCAACAGTACATAGAGGGTCCGAGCCACAGCACTAGCCACCAAACATCTTTTTAGCGTTGCCTGATTTCTTTAGCAAAGACACTAAACACAACTCACCCACTCTCTCCCAGCAGCCACTTGTTTGTACGGGGAACTCCGGGCGAGTCTATCGACTACAGCGGGGGGACTCAGCTCAAGGAAGAACATTTATGATCATTACTTAATCATTTCCTTGAGGTAATAATCATCATATTAATCATTTTGCACAGATGCGGTAGTTCTTTTGCCATAGTGTCTAGTCTGATTACATTTCCATGAGGAAACTCGGTGTTGCAGTGTGTTTGACCCTAACTTAATTTCATGCCAGGATATCCCTTTAACATCCCATCTGGACTTGGTTTATTTATGCAACAGGTGCAGTCGCTGCCTGCTGTCCATTTTAAAATGTAGCTTTGAAGCACTTCCATCATGGCTTTGTTGGTGTGCATTGGTAAAAGTCCAATGCCCAATCGGTGCGTGAAAATATTTGCGAGATGCAAACATGTGCATAACGAATAATTATCAAAGCCACACTGCGGCCACTGGGCATACAAACTACTGCAAAGGTATTGCATAAGTTTTGCTCTGCATCAACTACACTGCTCTGATGCAAATCATAAGTACATGCATGTCCTCTGTGCGACCACAGGCACCCATGCAAAGCCGGGTTAGCTATGTGTTTGCACACAACTGACCAGCACACCCATAAATAACAGTGTGGGTAATGAGCTTTTAGAAAGTCTAATTGTCTAAAGAGGTCTCTGTACCTATAGGGAACATGTTTGGACGTATGGATCCTGACTGCTGTACTCCACATGAAATCATCTCTATTCATTGAATGCTCTTCAGCTGCGATGTGCGATGATACTTCACTGATGGGAACAGACAGGGGGAGTAATTAAAATACATGAAGAAAGAAAACAATCAGAAACATTTGAATGACAGAAAATACCACACACTGACGTCAAAGAGTTAAAGTGATCATCATTAACAGTATGTTTTTTCTTTTTAAGGGTGCACTTGAAGCTCCCACTGACAGTTGAGGTTATGCATCATATATTGTACAATGAATCAAGAGCGTAGTGTATGATGCTTTTTTTGTTTCAACTCTTAAGTGTACTCAAAAGGCTGACAGTACATGGAGTATGTGTGGGTACTTTGTCAAAGGGTCAGTCTGGTTTTAACTCTGCACTTGTTTATTTTGGTCATAGTGGATTCCTCCCCCTGAGTGGATCATAGAACGGATACCAAGGCACGCCACCGCTCTTTGATCATAAATTACAGGTTTTTCTCAGATGGTTTAGAACGTACAGCTCGTATGTTTAAGTGGAACAATAACCTCTTGGGAGGAGCCGCGTTCCTTAAAAATCTGATTACGTTTCACCGGGAAAATGAAAATTCAATTTAAAGATCATGCGCGAGAACAAATTCAATATAGTGTTCTAACCCTTCTCATTTCCTTGTAAGGGACGGTAGCAACCGTGCATACAGATCCCTATCATTTATTATGCAATTCAGAGGTATTTTCATTTGTTGTCAAGAGGATAAAACAGCAAGACAGGTCAGACAACTCTCTCCAGTACACACATCCATGCGGTAAACACACACAGTCCACCACGTGCTCATTTCAAAGCAAAGTCCAGCTATAGAAGCCATGAAGTGGTTTGTCCTTCTTGCATACCAAAAGCCTTACTAATACCGCAGGAGGCACAGCGTGTGCTTTCAGTGGGAGCCAAGGCGAACATCAAATCCGAGAATACCTTGTGAATATTTGTGTCCTCTCCAAGTTGAATCGAGGAGCGCGCACTCTTCATCACCGCGAGTAAGGAGAAGACCTTGTTCGCTTTGAGAACAGCTCGCATGTTCTTTTGTCGAGGAGGTGTACAGGGGTGTATTAGTGCACACCAGGCTTGTCAAACACAGACTGGCATCCATACTGAACGGATCAAAAACGTGCTTACAACCCCACAATGTGACAGGCAATTATTTGTTGATGCAGCAAACACTGACAGTTTCAGCAGCAGCTCTCATGTATCTGAAAATGATGTTGCTTATATCACGGAAACAGAAACCTTTAAAGAGGAAATGCAAACATGCCACAACAAGAGGATCTCCAGACTTCCAAAAGGACCATGGAGTGTTTTTTTACAAACACAGTGAACAAAGACTTGTTTTATTCTTCGGGATCAGGGGAGAGGTCTCGTCTCCTGTGGCTTTAATAAATAACATAATGAGAATCATTTCTCTGGAGTGTCACAGACACTGGGGATGAAAGCATAACCTCTTATGATCTCTTTGTTCTGCTCGAGCAGGAAGCATTAAGCGCTGGATTATTAAAGCTAGCTTATTAGCAGTAGGATCCAATTATGGACTGTAGCCACAACAGTTATACTAAAACTCATGACCCTGCAAAATCTAAAAGAGAACGAAGACAGGGAAGAAAAAAAAAACAAGTCCTCCCTCTTGGGTTATAGTTTTCTTTTACACCTTTTGTAATTATGCAGATTTTCCTAATATGGATGGACGAAGTCGCCTATTTCCCCCAGCAAACACACGCAGATAAGAAACAAGAAAACTCCTGCAATGACAGCATTTTAGGAGCACACTAGATGTTTTCTTGATGGACTCATTCGTCTCCTTCACACTACCATTAAAAAACAGATGTGGGAAGAATCTTATTACAATTTTCAAGTATTTACGAGAGGAAATGTGCTAGACTTGTATGCAAATTAAGCTGATAGCAACTTGTTGTAACACAGCCTAAACAGGTGATTTTATCATGAGTCCTATCTCTGACGAGACAAAAAGGGAGTTTGTGTGTTTGCGGTGGCACATGAGGTGGCCGATCACACTGCAAAAAGGGGCTAAGGCCACCCCTGTCCGTTTCCCTTAACACGGCCCTGTCAGAAGAAAAGTTACGGACCGATGCCTGATAAAATGTCTGATAATATAATGGTTAACCACACCCCTAAAAAGGAAGAAGTACATCTCAGAACCTATCATGACAAGCAAGGACTGATCTAGGGTCAGATTGATGCACTTAAAGATGTTAATTAGGGCTTGATTGTTATTGAATGAATCAGAGGTGGCATTACAGAGACCTCTTAAAGGGATATTCCCTTCATTTCTTCATGGCAATGCAATCAGACCGAGACGCTAAGGCAGAGGAACTACCGCGTCTGCAGTGCAAAATGATTTATAAATATATACATATTTTTAAATGATCGTAAATGTTCTTCCTTGAGCTGCGTCCCCCCGCAGCAGTCCGTAATGGACTGGCCCGAAGTCTCACTACAAACAAGCAGCTGCTGGAAAAGAGTAGGTGAGTTGTATTTAGTCTCTTTGCTTTGGTGGCTAGTTCTATGGCTGGGACCCTGTATGTACTGTTGATGAAGTTAGGTGCTGTTCTGAGCATTATTTGTGGCTATAGAGTGGCGTTTTGGTTGAGGTTTGTTTATGGCTCCTCAGACCGCTGTGTATTACTATCCTGCGCTCGTTACTAAAGTTGGTTTAACTAGAGAAGCAAGCGGTCAGCAACATTCATCTCTCGAGGGGGTGTCTGACTCGGTGTTACGGTGTGTTTGACCCTAAATTAATTTTACGCCGTAATATCCCTTTAATCTCTATGCAGAAATCTCTTTTCTGCTGCTACGGACTCTACTGTCTTATCTTGTGTTTCAGGCAAACAATAACAACAAAGACAGCCGATAAATAATTATATTCATACGTTTTTATCAGGCTGGAACCACAGATTGATTCTTGATATTGGCTAATACCCAAGTCAAGGTGCCAGATTTGGTTTAATGATGAAAAAATTGTATCAGATCACCTCACACTGAAATCTCAAGCCAAACAGGGACTGAGAAAAACTCCCATCTTGCAAAGAACATCTGTTTTTACTTTTTGGGTGATGTTTATCACAAAAAAAATACAGCCAATCAAACTTAAATTGCATTAAGTCGACAAATGAGGCTTGATGGTGGCGTTTGGCCCAGCAGTGGCCTACGAGAGGTCTCAGTGGGGGGTAAACCAAACAGCCTCTCTGTCCTGCCTCCACCTTTGAACTGCGGTGTCTCCTGCTGCCGGCTCACCACAAATTATTTGCTTGCCCGAGGTCCAGCTATTTACTGTGTTTGTTTGCTTTACTGTCATCTGCAGCCAGTGTGACCCCCGCCACACACACACTCGCACACACACCCACACTCAGCTCGGCATCAGGCACTCAACTAACCCAGCGCAGGCGCTGGTTACCACAGCAACCAAGACCCAGACTTATTTGCCAGCTTTAGTCCTTTGACCAGCCCATTCATTTTGTTTGAGCAAAGAAATGCATTAATCTGAAATACCTTAAAACTCATACTGTTCGGGAAAGACCCAGAACAGGCGGCAGGGTTGTTGTTGTTTCCCCAAAAGACCTGCAAATGCACATTTTCATGGCAGTTTTAAAGCTTTTCTGATAGGAGGTGATGAATTTTTTATGTCTACAGAAACAGATGTCTTAAAACGATAAACAAATTCAAAGTACAAAGCGTGCCATGACACTGAGCGTGTCTGTGTCCCTGCTTCACATCCCAGTGGTAAACTCTCACTGTGTGGAACTGTCTCGGCCAAAAGGAGCATCCAAACCATGTGGGTATGGATTTTCTACATTCTGAACAATAGCATGGCTGGGCCGAGGCTCAGAGGAACACTGTGGTTGCACGCTCAGCTAGCGCGGTGGGTGTAGTGTGGCCAATGCAACTCGAAGTAGCAGCAAAAAGACATACAGTGGCACAATCCACAGGCATGTTAACCGTGGCCCGTGACCCATTGTCCGCTACCATGGCACTAAGTGAAACGTTCTATCTCTGCCTCTGTGTGTCTCTCCCCCGTCTGTGTAATTACAGCTTCACCCTCCTCAGTAATTAGGGACTATTTCAACAAGGATGTGGAATGTCTCCATCTATTTTCCCCTCTTTTCATCTCCTCCTCTGTTCCACCCCCACAATAAAGCAAGTTAACGCTCTCTGTAAAGCGGGGATCATTCTTCTGTGGTCAAATTTTGGAAGGGGATGACTTCGAATCATCACAGAGAGCTTCTCCTCCTCCTCCTCCTCCTTCTACTCCTTCTTCTTCTTCTTCTTCTTCTGCAGTCAGTTCTGTGTAGCTTTGCATTTAGCACTGAGCATCTCCAGTCTCCGTCCTTGAAAAAGCAGCGATGAGTAAAAGAAAAGAGAGAATGTCTCTAAACCATCCGCCCCCGGACGTGCAGAGAAGGTGGGTGTGAGGAGCAGTAGTCCTCTTTCTCCCTCTCTCTCTCTCTCTTTTCTCTCTCTCTCTCTCTCTCTCTGCATCGCACAGTCAAAGGCACAGGCAGCAAATCTGCTGTTCCACAGGCAAGGGATGTTATGATAACTCCTGCAGTGCATAATGCAATCTTTTCAAAGCCCCGGGCAGCAGCAGGCATAAACTTGTTGAAACACTATATTCTGGAGGCAGATGTTGAGGAGCTGAAGGCATTTTAAACTCCATTAAATGGCTTATTATGAAGACAAGTGGCGCCTGATGTGATATACTGCTAGAGAGAAGGTAAATAAAGTGATGGATGGTGTCATTATTTAAGTGACTCTCGGGGCCCTTTTTAATGGAGGACCACAGGGACAAACAGTGGGGCTGTATACACAGCAGATTGGGCTGGTTTACTCTGGACCCATTTCGGGGTCTTTTATGAGACATTTTTCATCAATAACGACAGGTTCCTCCATCTTTCTCCCGTCTCCCTTCTCTCCCTCTCCGTCGCTCTTCCTCCCTCTCACTCGCCTTCTCCAACCGCAAGTCTTTTTCGCACAATGATATGACAGAAACACATAAGAATAATGGCACGTTGTTGCTAAGAGACCACCTGTTCAGATCTCCCACATGAGATTGTGCTGAAGCTGTAATCCTCTTTATCATTATCAGAATATCATTCATCGGAGGGTAGTGTGAATGTCACGACAATATTGCAACAGAGAGAGAGAGAGAGAGAAAGAGAGAGAGAGAAATGATTATGTAACGAGGCGTCTTTTTAAGGCAGGAAAAACTCCATTTCAGATCAGGGTTTCGAATCAAACGGCGCACTGCAGCAGATTCAGACGCGTGACACATGAAGATCCCGACGCCTGAGACAGAATTACTGAGCAGCGCTCTGTGTCAAACAACTATTTAGCCGTCTTCATAACAGCCATTTGAGGAAAATGGCATCCTCTGTTTTCCAGACTGTGTTGACAATTAGGGAGTGGTGCTGCATGGGAAAATGAGTGTTGAGCCGAGACACACCCTCCTCTTCCCTTACCTGGCAGGGTGTGTCCAAAACCTGCAGCGCATGTAACACTTCTCAGCCTCTGAATAAGCACAGGTAAGAGTTGTATTGTGCAAAAAAAAAAAAAAAAAAAGGTGTGTTCAAACGCTTCCATGTAACCTTTACTCTTCAGGAAAGAAAAAGTTTGGAGGCAATTAAAAGGTTTCATTATCGACGGGTCGAACACACAGCTTCATTCTTCTCCAGCTCTGATTAATCTGTTTGCTCACTCCGAGCGTCCAAGCCAGGACCGCCCTCAGACTTCATCCATCAGCATGCTAAGAAGCTTGACCCCAGGCACCACCTCGCTCAGACGCAGTGACACGGCCAGCTGGTGGAGATGACTGTGCCCGCGCACACAGACACACACCAAACACGCGAAGCGGCCAGTGTCAGTCCTAAGTATCTGTCTCACCATGTCAGCGCAGGGGGAATGACTAGATGCCGATCACCGTGTCTGGAGCTGCCTGTCTATGTGAGGGAGGAGAATTGAAGTGAGTCACGGTAGGATCACACCGGGATTGCTAGGTTTTACAGGGTTGACTCCCATGTCAGCGAGATAAAGTCATCTCCAGAGCACTAAGGAGTGTCTCCGTAGCCTTTACTGAAAAGAACAACGCTCTCAGTGGCATTCTGGATCTCCAGTCTCACCCTCGCTGTGCTAACACTCCCTGCCCTACTAAACACACACACTCAACTGGGCTAACATGAGTCACAGCAGCATAGTTACCCCCTGCTTCCCCCCTGCCATTACTCAGTATCTGCCCAGCTGCTGGATGTAATGACTTTGCAGCTGCCATACTTTTTTATGTCTCCTTTTCCTGAGGAGATATCTGCCTGCATGCAAAAGAGTCGAACACTAGGACAGAAATGGGCAGAGATAAAGTGCTTTGTATAAGTTATACTTTGCCTTTATTTGTGGTTAGAACAAGAACCCAATTGCAACGAAGACTCAACTTTCAATCTGTGATCAGTCACTCAAATTCAAAATCAGAGCATCAGGATGTTTTATCAAATATTTGCGTTTGATTCAGCGTAAGGCGCTCTCAGCGTAACCTGACCATCGCACACACTTTCAACCCCTTTAAATCAATACAGTGATGATTGCCACAAAAAAAATGGGGGACTTGTGCAATCAAAGCTTCCCAGAGCAAACAATCAAAACATCAAAACATCTGAGGAGTGCCTCCTGGTAGTATTTTGGGTCCACCCCCATAATCAGCAAAATAAAAGACAGAAAAAGGACTGTGTGGACTTTGTAGAGAACTGTTGTCTTAGTCGTCATCAATGACAAATCTGTCAGTGTTTTTGGGGACAGTGGAGGATGAATGAATGCAAGCAGTTTGATTCTCCATAAGGCAATTTTAACGTAACCTGACCATTGCATGCACTCTTGACCCCTTTAAATCAACACAGTGATGATTGCCACAAAAAATGGAGGAATTACGCAATCAAAGCCACCCAGAGCAAACAATCAAAACATTAAAACATCTCAGGAGTGCCTTCTGGAAGACAGAAATAGGGCAGTGTGTGGACTTTGTACAAAACTGTTGTCTTAGTCGTCATCAATGACAAATCTGTCAGTGTTTTTGGGGACAGTGGAGGATGAATCGAACGCAAGCAGCCCAATCAATGTTAGTGGATAGTATTGTTTAAAAGACAAGAGCTGCAATAATCCTGATCAAGTCAATAGGCTTGTGTTTGTTTTTTGGGGGGAATAATTTAACAGGAAAATTCAGGCTGCTAACAGGCTGTTAGCTAAATGCAAATATTGTTATGCTTTCAGGTAAAGGCTATAAAAATTCTGCCATCTGTAATCTGAACAGGAGGATATTTTAACTTAGATTCTCACTAGGATGTCAGATTTTTACCCCACGCTCATCGTGGCTCTCCTGATCCTTTAATTCAAAACTTTGTCTGCTCAAAAAACATCCCATAAACAACTTTCATGCTTTTATTTTGATATTTTCTGTCTTGCATTTAGGTTGTTTTATCTTCTGTAATGCCAAACTATGCTTTTACTTTGAAGTCTACTACTTCCGGTAGATCACAAGTTGCCGAACTGAAAGAAAACTGTTAAATCGACAGTGAGGGAATTCAATAGTTCACTTGATATGTAACCTGAAGAGGTACGAGCTCTGGAAAGTCACTTTTTAAAAGGTGCTGAATAAGTCCTCCACTTTGTCCTCTATGTCTATCCTCTGTTGAAAGACATGTGGCTCAGGGTAAAGACCTCTACTATGACTATGAATTTAAGGTATTAACTTATGCCTATTTTGAATACAATATCAACATTTAAAACTTTAAAAAAAGACAGGTACCATCCATTCCTGTATATTAACAGCCCTTTAACTTGTATCCGTATTTAACATCTGTCCAGGCAACAACAAATAGATGTTTAGGAGGCACTAATGTTACTGCTGTTGTCTTTAACTCAATAAAACTGCAAAATAAGGTACTGTGATGTGTTGTGTCTGAGTGGTGACAGGAGGAGCGGGAAGGAGGTTAAATACAAGCTATTGAAACATGAGCATGTCGCCCCAAGTCTCATTTATTTACCTCAATTTGAGTTTAAGATGACTTTTTATTGGAAAACACTGAGGAACTGACTGAGGAAAAAGTGTCAAAAAAGTTCTCGACTCAACTCTGCGAACAACAGCTTTGAGAAGTGTCTGTCCTGTCTTCACATCCTGCAGCCTGGATCAGAAATAATGAGGTTGAACTCAGTTTAATTGTCAGTTAATGTGAAGTTTTTAGGATAAATGTTGCATTGTTTCAATAATTTACATGAGAAAATGTAATTTTTATCTAATTGAATTATGCAGCATGCCTTGCAGTATGACTGTTCCCTTAACGTGGGAAGCAAACAGATGAAATTTTAGTCAGCACCTCAGCTAAGGACAGTGTTTCAGCAAAAAGTCCAGGCTGAAGTTGATTACACTGCTATCTTTGGAGTATTTTAGCCCACCATCAGTGCAGTAGCTGGATTACAGAGATGGACTGAATCCAGATTAATGTCTGTTTTTTAAGCTGCAGAAAACCAACACAAAAATGTATTTTTTTACCCTGTCAAAGTCGAAAAACATGCAGCAGACTTTGCAAGACCAGGACCTTCATTGCTGAAATATGGTGGTAGTCAAACTGAACCTGTCTCTTTAAATATTAAAGCACACACAGAAACTTGTTTTTACACTGCAGGGAAAAATAAGCAGTGACTGGAGATAACACTCCCTGTGACCTCCCAGCTTTTTGCCACGAGGTCAAATCCCCCGAGTGAAGGAGTCACTCCACTCCACGGCCTGTCAGCGTTCCTGGCTGTCAGGACTCTGACGGAGTGCTATCACCCTTGGGACCGAACCCCACACTGCTGGGTTTGCACTCCAGTGAGCATCTATAAAAGGACCTGTTCTCACCCTGACACCTACAGCGGGTTTATGTTGATTAACTCACATTTGTAGCTGTAAACACTTGAACCAACCCTGACAGGCACACAGAAATGTAGGCTGTGTGACCAACAGGGCTCAGAAATAGCCATCTAAAACATTCGCTTCCCTTGTTGGCTCTAAAAGAAGCAGCAGTCGGTCTCTGCTCATCTGACCTCCTTTCTGATGGATGTCTGCTCCCCGGAGGAGAATGAGCAGCTACCTCCAGCAGTTTTTTGCCCTTCTGTTTGGGAAATCACAGCTGGCATAAGGGCAGGGGTGCTTAAAAAGTAGGGTAACATTCACAGACTTGTAAAATATAATGACTAAAAGGATGTAAGTGATTTCAATTATTGGTGACCTCTCTTACAAGAAGATACCTCAGATAATCAGAAGACTCGGGTAAAGTTCCCCTTTTAAAACTTTCTGCAGGAGTGTGTCAAGAAATTCTGACTGAGGGGGCCCAACTGTGTCACTGACTTGTACTAGGGGGCATTGAGTCGCATTTATTTACACTTTTTGTAAAGTATCATACAGGAAATTCTCTGTGTTCCTGTGTTTAGCCATGTTAGAGAAAAAGATGCTCTATTTTGATTGTTTTCGGGGTATTTCAGTAGATGTTACCTATCTATCCTTTCAAGCACAGCAATACACATCTTTTTTTCCTGGACAACCTCAGCTGTCAGTTTATGGGTGCAAAAATTATGTAAAATGAACGTGACAGTAGATTCAGAACCATCAAAGTCAACCAAAAAACCAAAATGGAAATTGATCCCAACAGTACTTTGCACAAAAAACACATCAATCTAAAGTGACTGAGCCTTTTCTCACCTTCACATCATTCTCTCATGTCTTGGCTATCAGGAGAAGAAATATTAGAATTGGAACAAACACACAACAGAAACTTTTGACATATTTACACTAATTCTTTCAGGCGTTTTTTGCTATTGACAGTTGTTTTTGCCACTCCTTGAAGCAATTCCTGTCCATCATACTGCTCATAATCTCTTCTTTGCTTGTTTCTGAGCATTGAGGACCATTATAAAAGGTCCTTACACACCGGAAGTGACGCAAATATACAACGCCAAATAACGAAATATATCCGGAGGCGAATTTTGATGCGCTTGACTATACACATCAAGCACAATGTGATTTTGTGACTCTCCAGGGGGGGGAAAAGACGCGTCCGGGGTGGAAGTGATAATCCATAAATGTAAGGTAACAACCAAGACGTAATGGTGCTGTGACAGCAACGCAATTGAGTTTGAGACAGTGAAAATACATATGGTATGTTGTATCTGAACAGGTTAGTTTACAAGCTAAAGTTACTTAGCACAGATGAAAGTTAAAACAAAAACGTTTAGCAAACTGTTAAAGCACACAAACCATCGTCATATGAGAAATCTGACACTATGACTCTCCACAAGTTGTTATCGTTGTAATATTTGTGTCTTTTATCAAAAGTCACTCTGTTCTCCGACACGTAAACAATCAGCCGGTCGGCCATGTTGGATACCGGTGAATCTGACGTCACAACAACACGCAATCTGATTGGTCAGAAGTGGACACACAGTATGCGAAACTTTAGAAAAATCGACCTTGATGCGAAAAATTATATGCTGCAATATCGCAGGACGGGAAAACGTCACTGATGTGAACGCTTGTATGGACGGGTTACAGATTCGAAAAAAAAATATTGATATCTGAAATAATCACACGAAAAAAACCAGTCCCATTGTGTAAGAACCTATAAACAACTTGGAAATTAGTTGATTTGTTACATCCCTAGACATATTTTCAACTATCTTATGAAGCAAATGTCTTGAATATAAGGTAGCAAAACAAAAAAGTGCTACACTGAAAGGTGAGTTGCTCAATTAGATTACAAGGAGGGGATTACACCACCCCTGACCCCCCCTTCTGGACACACTCCTGGCTGTTCTGCAACATAAACCAAAATCTGGAGAAGTCTGAATGAATGACATGAAAATCCATGTGAAAAGATTAGTTGAATAATGGGGCTGTTGTTCTAGGGAAAGTTAATCAACAAACCTTTTACATAATCAATGACAGGAATGAGAACCAACCAACAATGGCAGGCATTGATTGTTAATTAATGATAGTCCCCTGACAATAACTCCACATAAGCTGATCCTTTTGTTTGGTATTGTTGCGAAATGAACTCGCTTTTGGTTTTGGATTGGTGGCTGGGGGAAAACAAGAAACTTGACGGCATGTTCTGAGAAACTGTGATGGATATTTCATGGAGGAAAAACACATTTATATCAAATACACTCTCTTAATTCTGTCTGGGAACCAATTTTTTCCCCCATCTTTAAGCTACTGAGGCACAGCACCTGCATGCAAAGTCTGCACAGGTCTCTTTTATGTAGAACAGGTTTGAATGTTGAAATCCCTATGGGGCAAATGTTTACTTGTTGCAACAGATAAGCCCAACCTTGTCTGCCCGTCAAACACTCACTTCTGGAATGCAATATGCGCCTATTTCAGCAAGACAACCGGGCTGTAGTTGAATACACAGCTATCTTTGGAGTATTGTACTCTACTATCAGCGCTGTAGGTGGATTACAGGCAGAATGTAGGCTTTTACGCGTAGGAATAGACTGAGTGAGTGACTTGGATTTGATAGGCAAGGCGGATATTTTAGGCAAATGGTGTTGAATTAACTGTGAAAGCAAGTGGAGGTGGAAGACAGAGGGTTTGGTCAGTTGGCAACTGATCAAAAAGATAAATGAAACGAGCTCCTGAACCTCTCCCTTAAAGAGATTATCGAAGGAAAAAATAAGGAGGCTCTGAATGCGTCTCCAATGGTGAGATTTCAGCGTGTTTGAGCGGCTGCTATCGTTTCATTTCACGCGTCTCCAAACTTTATTCATGAGTTCAACCTTACCTTATAGACATTTTCCGTCATGCGGTGAACCTCGTCGGTGCGAGACATCGTGAAATCTTCAGCCAGGACCATAAACGGTTTTTTCCGTGAAACGTTTATCCGCGTAAAAGAAGGGAAAAGAAACGGGAGGGGGGAAAACGGACACGAGTTTGGATCAAACAAAAGGCGAGGCAACGCACTCGTGAGAGAGTGAGACGATGCTGCGCTCCTGAAACACCCCACTCCAACTAAACACACCTTTCCTCTCCACAGCTGACAGCCCGCTGGTGCCTTCACGGACCCCTCCGCGGCTTGGAATTCACGCTACTGACAGAAATCTGTAAAAATAAAGTTGAAAAAGTAGGAAAACACCTGAAAAAGTGCAGCGTTGACTTGATTCATCTTTTCTTGAGACGAACAAGATTATTATACCCACGAGATAAGAGTGTAAGTGCACAAGTTATCATCTGCAGAAAGCTGTAAAAAGGTTCATGCCAAATTCCTAAATAGTCTCTAATGTTTTAAAAAACAATGGTTACCGCTTCACTACAGCTAATATTTTAATAATAATAATACTAGTAAATTTTAGCTTTTGCAAGTGCTCAAAGATGCCTTACAAAGAAAAAGAAGAAAATAAAATAAAAAAACGCAATTAAAAATACAGAAAATTTTGAAAAATAAAACCAACAATGTAAAAGGTTGTTGGTTTCATCTTTCATCCTTGTAGATTCATCTTTGCTGAGACAAACAAGGGCTCAGGAAAGATGAATCTACAAGGATGAAAGATGAAACCAACAACCTTTTACATTGTTGGTTTTATTTTTCAAAATTTTCTGTATTTTAAATTGTTTTTTTTCTATTTTCTTTTCTTTGTAAGGTGTCTCTGAGCACCTGTAAAAGCGAGTTATAAATAAAATATTATTATTATTATTATTATCAAAATATTATCTGTATTGAAGTGTAATCATTGTTTTGTTTTGTTTTTTTAAACATTTGCATCCATGACTATTTAGGTATTAGGCATGGGCCTTGTTTACAGCTTTCTGCACATAACTAGTGCACTTACACTATTATCTTGCAAGCATAATAATCTTAAGGACACATATATTCAATAATTGTAAATAAATACTCGTTTTACTCACTCTCTGGAACTTTTGAGTGTTCAGTGCTTTTGTGCTGACGATCAGCATTTCCTTCAGGATTTGAACGCAGCACCATTTTGCAGATTTTGTTCCCACCTCCATCTCTGTGTACCTCATACATGAGCAAATGTTTCTAGAAAAGATAATCCCATTTTTTTTTAAATCCCAGGAAAGCTAAAATTACCACTTTCTATGAATACTTACCCAGTTTGATTTACACGTTAAAAGGAAACAATTCAACCCTAAACTTTGTACCGAGGAGAATGAGAGAATCTGGAAAATCAAGAAAAATGGGATTTGGACTTTAACCAAGCTAGACAAACATACAAACTGAGGTTTACTTTACCCTTCGTTTCCCTTTACCCTTATCTTACTTATTTCTGCAGTCAGCACAACAGCTTCATTGTACACGCTTGTTCTTACAGTAAAGAAAGCTAACAAAGACTACGTTACCTTTCCTGTGTAAACATTTCCTACATTTCTTCAGCATGAGGTTTCCATTTTTTGTGATTAACCGCATACATTCAACTCATGAGATCTGACAGGAGACACCTGTTTGAGATGGGGTCCAAAAACTAGCAAAGGACGCCCTCTTCTGGAGAAAGTATGACACATACACTCAATAGAGGGACCAAAACCGAGGTAATCCATGACAACAGAGTCATTGAACCTGGATAGTTTCAAAACACAAATGAAAAAATACAATAAAACACGTATTTGTCACAGCTCGATTTACTATAGAAACAAAGTGATTTTATGTGTAAAACATCTACGATTGAGTCCTTTCAGTGCGTTAGGCCAAAACCACAAGAGTCACGATGAGAAACTGCTTTTACCCCCCCAGGGTCATTACGCTTCACTTTCTTTATGTAGATATTCAGAGGAGTAGAGTACCAGAGTACAAACACAGTGCTGATCCAGTAAAAGCTGTGAAGGTGCACTGCAAAGGCTCCATCATCAACAAACATTTAAGAAAGGACTATCCAAAATCACAGAGTGTCTATCAGTAGAAAGAACGCCAACTCCCATCCACAAATTCAGTCTGTTAAGCTGCCAGCATCTCCTTCTCTGGCTTTTTCTTTGCTTCTCTCCTCTCTGGAAATGAAAGTCACAGTAAAGCAAATATGATCAATCTGGCGGCAGTTACAAATACACAAAAGTGTGAAGTGTAATCTTCGTTGTGTGAGATAAAATTGACGGCACCTGGTTCAGCTGTAGCTGCCTCTGGGATCTCAGGTACCGGCTCAGTGGGGACCTCTGGAAGTGCTACATCTTCTCCCTGTTCCAAGAGAAGGGACAGATGTTTCAGCTCTTAAAAGGCGAGCATTTTTGTGATTCGGAAAGGGGGTCAAAATGTGAGACAGCTTGCTTTGTGATCCCGCTCCTCGAGTTAGCGAGACATGAGTATTCTTGAGACACCAACAAGCTTTGGCTGAGCTCATTCAAAGACACAGATGTGTAAAAATCGCTCACTTTTTAACCTAAAATCTGCTTGATTGTACAACCAAAACATCTACATATAATCCGCTATAGTTCTGCGTACTCTTCCCCGCGTGATTGAGAAGACTTCCAATCAGAATCAGTGTCTGCGCTCGAGTGGGAAACACTTGTGCGTGTAGTCTGAGAGCGTTTGAGGAGTGTGTCATTTGGAATAATAATTAGATCACAAAAGCAGAAACATCTGCTGCAGTTCAAATTATTATGAATCAGCCAAATTAATATCCTCAATGGTTTCAATTATACAGCCCATTATTACATACCAGAAAAAAAAAGAAATTATGGCTTGCTCTGAAATTCTTCTAACTGTGCTGGAATTATTCCTCCCCCAAGAGGCAGAACTTTTACTTATCTAGTTTCACAATTACCATCATAATTTTGGTATAAAATCCAAACCTGGCTCGGCTCTGAATCACATCTCTAACTACTGCTCTGCTCCAGCGCTAGACAGCTGAAGCGCGGGTTGCATCGAGATGAGAGTGTGTTATATATAAATGTGAAGCAGGGTATATCATTAAAGGATATCACTGAAGGTGAAACATGTTGCTTAGCACACACCTGAGTGATAGCTTCTAGCTCGGCTAAGACGGCGTCCTCGTCTTCTTGTGTCAGGGCTCCGGCCAACATTTCATCTATTTGCTGGAAGAGCAAAACAGATAAGCTGTCAGTCAACTCAAAGCAATCTGTACCATGATGTTGTGAGACATAAACACTATTAAAGCTGTTACTAGTTAGAAATAGGATTAGCACTACCCACGCTTTGAGTATACTCTGGCGTAAAATTAATTTAGGGTCAAACACAAGGTAACACCGAGTTAGACATCCCCCTGAGAGATGAATGTTGCTGACCGCTTGCTTCTGTAGTTACACCAACTTTAGTAACGACCGCAGGATAGCAATACAGAGAGCCACATGCTCAACTGAAACGCCACTCTATAACCACAAATAATGTTCAGACCAGCACCTAACTTCATCAACAGTACATATAGGGTCCTAGCCACAACACTAGCCACCAAACAGTTGTTTAACTTTGCATAATAAGACTCTAAACACAACTCACCTACTCTCTTCCAGCAGCCGCTTGTTTGAAGCGGGACCTCAGGCCAGTCCGTTACAGACTGCTGCGGGCTGACGCAGCTCAAGGAAGAACATTTATGATCATTACTTCATGGAAATGCAATCAGACTGAGACACTAACTAACGCGTCTGCAGTGCAAAATGATTAATATGGTGATTATTACTTCAAGGAAATGATAAAGAAATGATCATAAATGTTCTTCCTTGAGCTGCGTCACCCCGCTGCAGTCGGTAATGGACTTGCCTGAGGTCTCACTACAAACAAGCGGCTGCTGGAAGAGAGAAGGTGAGTTGTGTTTAGTCTCTTTGCTAAAGAAATTAGGCAAAGTTAAAAAGATGTTTGGTGACTAGTGCTACGACCCTATATGTACTGTTGATGAAGTTAGGTGCTGTTCTGAGCATTATTTGTGGCTATAGAGTGGCGTTTTGATTGAGGTTTGTTTATGGCTCCTCAGACTGCTGTGTATTGCTATCGTGCGGTCATTACTAAAGTTGGTATAACTAGAGAAACAAGCGATCGGCAACATTCATCTCTCTAGGGGGTGTCTAACTCAGTATAACCTTGTGTTTGACCTTAAATTAATTTTACGCCGGAATATCCCTTTAACTCTAGTGCCATTTAAATATTTAACTCAAAAGGTGTTTCTTCAATACAAACTTATACAAACTAATAAAAGTGTCATCGTCATCAAGCAGACATTACCCTCTGATATTCAATAGATTCCTGTGTCTCATCCAGGATCCTCTCCACATCTTCAATTGACATGATCTGTGACAAACAAGAAAGTAAAGTCAGCTTTATGGGAACAAAGTGTTTGGGGAGAAAAGTGTTTTTCTGCACATCCTCGCTTGCTTGTGAGTTTTCCTGAGTAAGATCTGTGCACTGTATCCAAGGATGTGCGGCAGTCACACCGCTGTAGTCAAGGCTTTGCCTCTTAATCCTTTAATCTTCAAACAATGTGCACCAGCTACGCTAACACAATCCACACGCTTTCTCTGCTGCACAATCCTCACCCAAGGATCACTTTAAAGAAAGAATGCCTATCTGGGGAAACTTTACGTCTGTTGGAGTATACTCTCGCATATTTGATGCTTTAAGAGGGGGGTTATTATCATGTGAGTGTGGGAGGCACTTTGTTTTAGCACAAAAGGCATGAAAAACCACTTAAAGCATACCTACCTCATGCATACTCTTCAGGCAATCATTTCCAACTTTTAGCCCCTCTATGACTTTCATCTCAATTTGCATGAACTCAATATCTTGAACCTGTAAACAAACATGAGTATGAAAAAATTATGCAAAACCGCAGGCATGCACAGCAGAAAAAGCACATGCTGTAAGCTTTTCCTTGACGTATTAAAAAACTGTATTCTGCCTTAAATTTCTCATGCAATACTGACAGAATATGTAATTTATGCACAGTAATTCCACCATCAAACTAACAGTGTGAACACTCAATCGTCACTCAATCATTCTGATCACATCAGTTGGATTTTGCAAAAAAAAATCTGCTCTGTTTAATTACACGGCATCCAAGAAGATTAACACAGAAAAAAAGGGAAGGATTAAAAGTACAGCTTTCTGATTGTGAAATATGTAAGCAGACCAAGGAAGGTTTTATTTCAGTTATTTAAATATTTAATATCACAGTAAACCCTTCGTCTAACTCTTTAAAAGAGATTCATTAGGTATTACGCCTGATTTTCCCATGAGCTGTGTCTTGTCTGAATAAAAACTTGCCAGCATCAAATATTGTAATCATATAAAACTCACCATGCGCTCGAGGTTCGAGATCTGATTTTCGGTTTTGTCTAGCAGCTGATCCTGATAGCGTTTCTTCTTGAGAAGAAGCAGCGCTCTCCTACAACGACACAAAAAAATATCAAAACAAAAGAATTAGATTCTGATAGTTTGCATCAATCAAACAGATGCAGAAAGCAGATGTGGAAAGTCAGTCCACATTATCGATTCAAATGATCATGGAAAACCTAAAAAAAATAACATTCAGATATGGAAAGAGTTTTGGAAATAGACATTTTTTGGAAATTTGTTTCACAAATGCCTATATGATTGAGTGAATGTCATGTCATCTTACTGGTGTGTAATTTTTTAACAGATTTTTTTTTTTTTTGAATGCACAGACATTTCAAAGACAATATGGTCATAAAAAACTGCTTCAAAGACATTGCAAAAACGGTGTACGAGATGGTGAAGAACTCAGGTTTTAACTACATTAATATCTGCATCTAATTTAGTGTGTTGTGTTCCTTGTTACTGTCACTTCAATGCCTCAACAAAGGAATGAAAATGCTGTCTGTATCACAAGAAATACTGTTTTTGCTTTTTTATACCAGTGATTTCATTGAGTGCCTGAACACACACTGCCTCGCATCTACACATAAAAGTATGATGGCCTTGTTGAGAGTGAAAACACGTAATTTGTGAGAACATATGCAAATACTTGTTAGTAGGTAGATGAAACTGAAATGAGATCAAAATATATCCTATACAAAGCAATGTATGTGTGTTTAGTGGACCAGACATTTAAGTATTTCTATAGTAGTTGATTAGTAGTAGTATTAGTAGTATAGTTGATTAAACAACTACTTTCACTTTTGTTTTTGTACGCTTGAAAGGATTCGGTTGCATTATCTCCAGAGCTGGGTTGTTGTTTGTGGTCTGTTTTTGCAGCAAGTCATTTTAGTGCTGCACATGATTTGTCCACCCAGTATTTATTGTATCTGATGCATTTATTTACAACTATAATTTCCCCATTCATGATTTTTTTTTTCATGTTACCATCTGGAGACACTTCATCTTAGCTGGTCTTCTTTTTTTTTTTTTTTTTTATTTAACAACAAAACAGAGCGACAACAACAACAAAAACAACAACAACAAAAAATTAACAACAGAGAATAACAACAAAATAACAGAGAATAAAAATATCTTAATAAGATTACATTAAAATATATATAATAATAATAACAATATATATATACATTTACATATACATACATACACACACCCATTCCTGAATTTTTAACCACATATAATGTCCGCTTGATGAAGATATTTTCCTAGTTTGCATTAGCTTTATTTTTGCATGTTTTCTGACAATGTGCTGTTGTTCCCTCAGGACCAACACTGAAAAGGGTTAACTAGTTTTCATACTTACTCCCTCTTTCCATCTTTAAGCAACTGCTTTGCCAAAAGCCTCTCTTTCTCCAGTTGGAGGGTGATCCTCTTTTGGTACTGCTTCAGCTTATCCCTCTGCTGCTTCAGTTGCTGGTGAGGGGGGAGAAAATACCACAAAGCCAGGTTTATTTCAATGAGGAACAGAGCCAACATTTACCAACACAAACTTCAACAGGATGCTTCATTTTATGGTAGATGTGATATTCCACATTTGGGGTCATTTTTAAACAGTTTCTGCGTCAGTTTTATGCACAATTTGGCTGTAATGTTTAATATTATTTTGGATGAAGATCTCTATTTGGCTCAATTCCACATGTTACTAAACATTCAACACCTCCAAACTCATTTTTTACATCTTAATAACATTACAATGCAAGCTCGGATGATATTAATTCATGTGTGAATGTAACGGGACTAATCTGTTGTCGTAGCCGCTATCAGCTCACCAGAATAGCTTTGTCCTGATCGGTTACACGAGAAGGTCGGCTCTTTCTCCCAAAAACGTTTCCCATTATTCAGCCACATCCCCACCACATCCTCCTTCACCAACAGACAAGATTTCGCCCTCAACAGAGCGTTTTGCCATGACAATAAAACGCCTAAAATGGCTAGCAGCGCAGAGGCTAGCTGCCTACAACCATGTCCACAGTTTTTCCGGGATTTCTACGGCAAGCGAAACGGGACATTCGAGCGGAGTGAAGCGTTTGGTCTCATACCACTCTCTAACGTCAACAGATTCTCTGTGAACTTTCCAGTAGAGGTATGTACGGTGGCCGAGAACCGCCACTGCTGCAAATAAAAAAAATAAAAAAAAGAATAATAAAAAAAAAAAAGATACCGAAACCTGCTGTGAATAAAAAACGAAATGGTGCAGATTAAAAAAGTCACAACAGAAGTTAAAGACACAAAAAAAAAAAAAAAAAAAAACAAGTGGTGATGGAAAAAAGAAGTTACTTACTGCAAAAATAAAAGGATGCAAACAAAAAAAGCCACAACGGAAGTGAACTGCCGGGGACCAATAATGATGATGCACCGGTGTTTTACAATCTAGGCACAGAAGACGACGGCGAGAAGACGAGCAAAGAAGTAAGTGGAAAGGTTATTGTTTAATTTCACTTTGTGTCCTTTTCAATGTGGTTAGGCCATTTTGTGCCTGAGTTGATTTGGAGTTGAACTGGAGGATGCTGGTGTAGTGTTAGCTTCAGTTCAACTTTATATCGACTCAGGCGCTACATGACCTAACCAAATGACACATTGAAAAGTACATGAAGTGAAATTAATCAAAAACTTTTCCACTTACTTCTTAGCTCATCTTCTTGCCGTTGTCTTCTGCGCTTGGATTGTAAAACACAGGTGCATCATCATTATTTATAAACTGCACCGTTTCTTTTTTCATCTACAAGTGGCTTTGGTCCCTTTCTTTTTTTTTCATAGGTAACTTTCATTGTGGCTTCTTTTTTTTTTTTTTTGCAGAAGTGGCAGTTCTCGGCCACTGTACCTACAGACTGTCGTGAAATAACAATTTAATTTTAGCAGAATATGCAGGTATACGAAAGAGACCGTCCAAATGTACTGATACATTTGTGAATAGAGAAACAAATGAAGGAATTTCAACATAATTCATTGAACAAGCATCTTAATATATTGTTTAAAGCACTTGAATCCTTCCAAACACACTGACCCTGACCCAGTACCCTGGACAGCTCCCGGCTCCCCGCTGGGTCAGATCAGCACCTCGGACAGCAAAGCTACTTTCAAGTAATTCTGAGTTCAGAGACTCACCTGTATCGGACAGGTCAAAGGTAGGCCAATTTAAGCTTGATTAAGGTATCATGGTTGTAGACAATTAGGAAATTAAAATTGTATGAAAAGGTGTTAATAAGGGTTTAATTCTACAAAATATCATTTGTACCTTCACAAAGTAAGTCATTGGAGATTATTACATTTATTAAAATACTTTTGTTATTAAACAGTATTATTTAACAGGACTACTTTGATTTTGGCAATCAAATTACAAGGCTAGTTCAAAAGTCATGAAAATGGCAAGGCTTTGTTGAGCTAAAATTACACTCAGATACAAAAAAAAATCTGTATCACCCATGTGGTGTAACACCAATGTGCAACTGTGGTGAGTTGACCATGTGTTCGCCTGCTGTTATATTACACTCAAACTGTGTTGACTGCTGAGAGGAGCTCCTTTTGAGAGCTGCCAATGCACCACTCTTGAGTTTATCACTACACCCCTTCATGTCATCAACTTGAGACATCTTTGCAGCTTTCTTTGAGATAAATGGTTCCAGTTGGGGGACATTTACAAGTGTGAGATTTTCACGTATGTTTCACCTAAAAGGTTCAGTTGGCCCAATCCAATAACTGCGGGTCAGTCTATAGGTAGTTTTAGTCAGTATTCACACCTGAGATTGGTTAGCTGTTACACTATAAATGAAAAACACAACAACACGCAAGTCTGAATGAAGCATTTATGGTCAAATATTAGTTTCATACATTGTTTTACACAGAAAACAGCATACAACAGATCTCTACAACACTTCTTTTCATCCAAAAGAGGGTGGCTCCGAGTACAAACTTTTAATTTTTGCTTGTTTTTTGTCACTGCACAGTAATTGATAGGAGGTGAACTAAAACCTATATGCTTGTGCATATTCAGACCATGGGGGAATATTCTCATGTGCAACAACTATGTCATTCACAAATTGAAAAAAGCTCATAAAACCCTGCAGCCATGAGTGTTAACACCTTGCAGAAAAGGTAACCGATCATAAAATTGACTTTGGAGCATCTTTGGTGGTTTACAACAAAGAAACTAAGTTATCTGGTAGAAGTTTTCATTGACAAATTTGATAAAATTATCAAGAAAGGATGAAAACATTGTACTTCAATTTGTATAGCACCTTCAAAAATTACAACAAGGCTTATAATGAAGGAATCATCACTACCAAAGAATCAAAATGCCGAGATAGAAAGTCTTTAGGTCAGCCGTCCCTCTCTCGTTGAAATATCGATCCAGCTGATGATCATATCCATGCAGGCCATCCGATTAAGAAAAAAACAAGACTTCAAATCCGTTCAGTTCAAAGGCTCCTGATTTGACCCGAGAGGTTTGACTGTTAGAAATGCTTACATTGAAACAAGAGCGTTTCCATACACCACAACAACATCAACATTAGTCCTCAGGTGACTCTGTGCAGGCCCGTCGCTGTTCAAACTGCATGCAGGTCCTTCAAAACGCTGCATGAGGTAAACGCCTCGTGTGGCCTGCTTTCATGTCTCAGATTGGGACGGCGGGCTGCAGCTCCCGCAAACAGGATTATGCTATGGAGAAAGCCTCCTTGGTAAGGACCCAGAGTCTCAGACAGTCTCAGAAGGATTTAGCGGGTAGCTCGCTACACCTGGAAGTCAGTCCCAAAGTGTCTGATTTGGGCCTCAGTCATAGAAAGATAGGTGGTCCTCATACTGGGCGAGTACTGCAAGGGAAAGGATTGAAAAACAGAAATGAACACATTTGCATTTACACAACATTTTGAAATAGCGTGGCATTAAATATTCAAATGGAGAGATGTGTTTTCAGGTTGGGGGTGAATATCTTTTGATTATGAGCTGCTCTTCAATTAGGAGCGATACGAAATTAGGAGATGGTGCATTAATGTAGAGGAGGGAGGTAGGGAGAGCCAGGTGAAGAGCGGACAGAGGGCATTAGTCAGCGGATGATTAACACTCACATGTAACACTCTGTGGATAAAACAGAAGGTGCCAGAAGGTCAAAGGTCATGCAGCTGAGATACAGTGTTGAGCTTTAAGGGGCAGAAAGGATTCTGCACAGCAAGCGGTTGTTACAACAGAGGAAAGCCCACAGTGTGTTTCAAGGAGTGAAATGAAAATGAAATTACACAAAAACAGAAAACTTACGGTTTTTAAAACTCTGAGTTACAATAAAAAAAAAGATGAAAATAACATAAGAGTTAGTTGCAAAATAAAATAAAGGTTAATATCCAGAAGTCGGGTGCATTGCAGAGATAATCCCAAATCAAACAAACGAAAGAATAAAACACATTTCCCCCTGTGGGTTCATTCACTGCAAACATCTTGTCAAAAGTTTCAAGCATCACTTGTAGTGCAACAAACAGAAAAACAAAGACAGCGCCTTTTAAAAATGTGTATCACAGAGGCGAACTGAAATTTTAAACACTGGTCCACATTTTCCTCTCCTTCAAAGAGGTATTTCATGTGTGTGATGTGCTGTGAATGCAGTTCAAGAAGCGAGTCCGCCCGGGAAACGCAAAACTTAATAGAGAAATAAAAAGAAAAGCCTCAAAGAAACTTAAAGTGCAGATTTACCAAGTGTTATCTATAATCCATCTTTATCCCAGGAGGACAGACCACACGCTTTCACAGTGGGAGGTCTACCGTTTCAAAACAGACACCTGCACTGTCTTTTCTCACCATTTATACACGTGTAATTTCACACGTATCCTTGCATTGACTTTTAACATCACCTTGTAATTATTAGAAATCCATGGCAACCATGCAAAGACATCAACATGTGCTAGAGTGTCTTGGTTTGAATACTAAAACAGCTGTGGGCGAACTATGCATGCACTTCAGCCTATGTCCAGCAGGGAGCAGTCTTCCATCACCTAATCCCTCACTAAGTGTTGCCACCGTGTGCTTCTACGCAGTGTATATGTGCTGTTATGTTCATGGTGCATGCTCGCTGTTAGTGTCGCAGCAGTGTCGAGGTCAGTATTGCCATCATCTTCATCACACAAGGGACACTAGAGGCCCGTAAGGCCAACGCACCGAGGGAGGCGGGGATCCTCTCCCTATTAGTGGCACATTCTCATACCGAGGACTCCCTCCAAACAGCATGTTCTGGTTCCTGTAAGACATGAGGGGGAGGGATGTGGTCAGGGACGAAGCACACAGATACTTGTAAAGTGCTCTAATCTGCTGCTCTTACATGTACTCAGGGGCAGGCGTGACATTAGAAGCAGCTTGCGGAGGTGGATGAAGAGTAGCCTGGCTTCCAAGGCTGCTGGTGTAGCTGCAGAAACTGTGGATGTTGGACCCTCTGGGGTTGTAGGACATGCGGCGCGCTTGGGGGTTGAAAGGGTCTTCCTCGTCTATGTCGTCATACTCTTTGTCCCTGCATCAAAGTGGTACACCCGCATACAACACACACACACAGAGACAAAGGCAGAAACAGAGAGCGAGTGCATGCATTAACACTTTGCGGGAGTGCAGAACTCAGAGTAGGTAATGGGATAAGGGGGTTGCTTGGTGCTGACCTGCTGGCCATTAGTGTCCACACTTTGAAAACCGCACACAGCATGGCGGAGAGTGCGCAGCCAGCCAGCAAGGAAAACAAAGACAGGTAGAGGAGCCCCTCAACTCCATCGTAGCACACACCCATTAGAGCATCCAGGTAGTCCTAGAAGAAAGAAACAATATATTATATAAATATGTAAATAAATGAAGTGCGGTCCCTTTTTGTTTGGCCCTAGTAACATGATTCATCTCACAAATGACAGCTCCTCAGGCACTGGGATAATACGCTCTCAGACAGAATATCATTCCTATAAAATACACAATATTTAATTGCAAAATTTAAAGTAAAAGTTATGATCAGTATTATAAAACTTATGGATATGACATGGGAA